TATTACGTATAGGCGCCTACGAGTACGAGTATATAGATATATAATACGAGTCGACGTGTTGTTTTTGCTAATGGAATCCGGACGTGATACGATATGATTATATTAGTATTATTATTATTATTATTATTATTATTATCATTATTATTACGACTATCCGCGGTCGTTAATTAAAAGTCTGTACGACAATATCATTCCGGCATACGCTCGTCTACACTGCGTAAAGATTTTCGCTAACTGTTATACGAAACCCGAGGAAAACTAAAAAAAAAAATAGCTTAAAAATCGTTTTTAACATTGTATCGCGTCTAAAATAAGGCTAATATATAATAAAAGCCAGTATTCGGCGAAAGTTTCAGAAAGAAAATCTAAAATTACAGAAACCGCTATTGTGCAAATTTACCTGTTTTTCCGACGTTTTTTTCCCAATTATTGAGAAAACCACGAGGGAAATCAAAATACGATCTCTCCGATGCACCGGACAAACAAAATTCTCCTACCATCCCGAACGTTTTTGGTCGGAGTAAGATATTTTTATAGCAGAACAGAGCAGTTAACAGTTACAAACAAAAAACACAAACCATAGTAAAACTGTAATACGCATTACTCGCTATACACTCAGAGCATAGGCGGAATAGATTTGAATTTCGAGAGGTCTAATTATATTTACATTATGCACGTAAGACGTGGAGGGACTTTGATTTGCTCGTCAACAAAAATTAGTTTCGATTCTATCGTAACGTAATATATAAACATATAACAAGGATGTTATTTTATCAAATAGTTAGGATGAAGTCGCCACCCATGGCCATTTTAAGAACTTTTTTTCTTTTATAATGTTATATAATTTAATCTACCGACGGATATTGACCGAAATTCAAAACTAAATCATGTAAATACATTGTAAGTTTACCGATACATATTTCGAATTTCCAAGTCTTTAAGAAAATTACGGAATGAAAAATCGGTGTTAATATATATATATACATATATATATTTTGAAATTACATTTTTCCCGTTCTACGACCATTCTACGCTATTTATGTTTTTTGCGGTAATTGATGTCAACCAGTAAATTCGTTAATGAATACAACGGTAACCATACGCGTTATCAAATTACAAAACTTCGGCATTACAAAACTTACGAATATATTTGACCGTACTGCACACAATCGTATATATCCATGGTGGCTCCACCTCACAAACAGATATTGTATAATCTAAGGAAAATTTTGTTTCTTCACAAGTATTATATTATTTATAATATTTCTGTTCGTTATAAAAACTAAAACTCAAATATCATATTATTTAAAATATCGAAGACACGAATTAAATTGAAAAAAAAAAAATGGCACGATCGATCCCTCGTGCACATCAATACCGGATTCAAATCTGTTTTCGGAATTCTTATCACGTTACTGCACACACCGTGATCTATGGTGTTTGACAAAGAAGGTAATTTCGAATTTCAATCCCCTCAAATGACAAGTTGTTTAACTTTTTCGCAATATTATTTAGATATATAATACGAGCGCACATAAAACGTCATTTAAATATTCATCCTCAAATAATACATACGTACCTTTAGTGTTAAGTCGATTTTTTTTTTTATACGTTCAGATTTTGAAAACAGCCGTGTGTGTATTTGGTGCCTAAGGTTTACGATGTACCGTGTATACCTTACTTACTGTAAATTATTCGAAATCATCTCGGACAACATTTTGACAAAATTTTAGCTAATCATAGCTATTATATCATAGCAATTATATTTGACATTTTCGACGTTTTTTAGTTGTTATTCGGTTTTATAAACTGTTAATCAATTGTTTTATAAATTGATTCAATTGTTGGCCAAACATAGATGTTTGAAAATTTAACAAGAGTTTCATAATTATAAGTTGGACTAAATGTTCAAAAAATAATAATAAAAAATTAACGTATTTTAGAAGATTTATACTATAACGCGATTTAAGTTTCAATTTGAATGGAAATCGTAAAAATCGTGTTATTTTGGTCGGGTAATATTTATTTTGTTTTACACAATTAAATTATTGTTTAGCTGATCAAAAATGTTTGACAATTTAACACGGTATTCACGAAAAGTCATAAGTCATAAGTCTTTGTGGTAAAAGAAAAAAAAAATTAGCTTTTTTACATTGCTCTCTAACCATGAATAAGAAGCTTAACTACATAAAAGTAAAAAGATAAATGGTATCATCATATTTTTGCACAAAAAAAAATATAATAAATAAAAAGTTAAAATATAAACATTTTTTTTATGTCGTTAGAGACGGGTTTACTGCAATATAGAATATAATATCAAATATTTTAATTCTCTGTAAGCCTAAAAGGATACAGGTTTTTTTTTATTTTTTTTTTTTTAAACATAAAAAGTGTATATTCGTTTTATATTTATTTATTTGCGAAAAAATAATACGGTATAGGTAATCTACCTGTATTTTGATTAAATTTTCGAAAATGGAAATATAATATAATACGATATTATATACTGTAGTTAATTTAGTCGAAAGGAAACCCTCGGGAGTTTTGTACGCGAAACGTCAGTTTCGAAATTTATTTTATTTGAAATAAAAATAAAGACGTGCGAAAAACATAATACGGCGGATAGGAGGATGGATTTTTTTTCCCGGCCTTCGTCATCGTGTACTATATTAATAAATATGAGGCGGTCGAAAGGTTTATGTTTCGCATTTCGTACGATTTCTGCGCTCGCCACTATATAGCCGCCGTCGTATTGTACAAAATCTGTCGCCGGAATCTATACCGAAAATCCGTATTATTATAAACGACACGATTCGGCGGTTTTATACCTATACGCCCGACGTAATATCGTCGCTAAAGTCCCTGTGTGTATACTGTCGGGTTGATCTTTTTTTCCTCGCGCTCTCTGCAGTACCTGCGTCTCTTTTACAAAGCCCATTTCACGATACGTGCCGCAGGAAAAACGCTCGACTAAAACGCGATTTAAACGTAACCGACGCCGACGTACCGTACGCGTTCCAAGCGCAATAATAATAAAGTCGGGGGAGGACACGAACGATCCCGGTGAGATATTTCGCAAAATATAATGTAATTTATAATGTTACACTTTTGCGAATACGATGATAATATGATAAATCGGAATTCTTTTTACGCGTCGGGTGTCCAGATAACCTCCCTCTCCCCCCCGAATACATTAAATAGGGTCGACTTGTTTCGCGTTTCGTAATAACGCACTATATCCGTATATTACATTCCAATCAGACAACTCGTACTATAAAACTGTCAAATTCTAACACAATAAACTAATACGAACATTCTTGAAACCGATAAAAAAAAAAAAAACTATAATATCAAGTGGCCCGTACATTATATAGTATATAGAGTGAATCGAAACTTTGCAAACAATAACAATACGACCGCGTTATGTCAAAACGAATGATTCGAACGGCCGGTAATAACAGCGTACTGATTTATAATTTTTTAATAAACTCGACAAATTGTCGGTAGGTTTTCGATGGTTATATTATGGCAATTTTCGAATTTGAATACACAAATACTTACACTATAATATGTTATATGTACTAGAAAATTCGTTGAACAAATTTAAAACTCCGAATGTACAATATAACTAGCTGTCCGGCACTTGGCGATTTTTTTTTTTTTAATTTTAATCCTGTTTTTTTTCCCGTATCAGTATATTAAACGGAAAAAAATAGGTGTAAAGTGGGTGTTACCGTGAATATTCGCACAGCACAGGGATTAAACTATACATTGTCCACTATAATAATACTAAAATTATGAGGTCATAATAGTCAGTGCTGTAATATACCAAGATATTTATTTTGTATCTTAGATACTTTTTAAGATACAATTCTTACTTTTTTTGGTCCAACAAAATACAAAAATAAAACGTGAAATGCAGACAAGACAATCAGATAAACTCTTGTTATAGTTGTAATAACATTTTTATTTCTACTCATTATTTACTTTTTTTGTTTTAAATTGTTTTTCATTTCATCCGTGTAACTAAAAAAACCCATAGTGCAACAAATATAATTTATTTGTTATACCGAATATACCTGTAAGAACCTTTCATTTCCCGTTTCATCCCTTTCTAAGTCTTTAATCGAGATGAAGGCTATCTTATATTTAATTTGAACTGAATAACACATATTGAGCATTATCTTATCAAAATCGGTTGACTGGTTTCAGATTGAATCGCACGTAAACTCGTCGTACACGTGATTTTTATGTGTAACATATATTATAATACGTATTATAGTAGTGATATCATAAAATCTTTTTTAAAAAATGTATAAAATTATTTTATTTTCATACTCTGTCATAATTGATATAAAAATGTATAAGTATTGAAAATAACTAGGGATTCAGCAGAATATTTTACGATTTTTTTTTTTTTTTTATAAGTAAGAAAAATGAAAAAAAAAAGATTTAGAATTCTGTATGGAAACGTTTTGAAAATAATTATACCATAACTTTTACTGCGCCTGTATGAATATTTGATTGAAAAAAATGTAATTATTCGGTTTAGATTACCTATTGAATATTTTATCGATGATATTTCAATATGAACCAAATAAAAAACACACGGTTTTACACGTTTAATACTGTTGAAAATGAACGAAAATAATATTATCGTTGTTCCGTCAGCCGTTAAATAATTTCACGGATTATTGTTTAATAGAAAAAAGCTGTGCGGTTAAACCTTATTAATATTATTAATAATTATTCAACCGAAATACCAAGATATCGATCGTTTTCATTTAATATTACGTTTTTTAAATGATAAAAAAAATATTAACTTTTTCGATCACTTCGAATCGAACTTAATACGAGTAATTCAATATTATTCAATTTTACCAATAAATACGGTGCGGGTAATTTTAATTTAATTTACCCTTAAAGCGGCACGCAATTTATTTTTGTATTTGTATTTATTTCCCATGTACCGATTGATTTACAGATAAACGCGCGTGAAAATGGAATCGGAACCGGTAATCGTTGTCGATCAAGAAAACTGCATCAACGAAGAAGACGAAGATTTAGAGGACGTTGCCGGCGCCGGACAAGGATGTCCCGACACACCGCCGCAGGATCCGTTTTTCTTATCTCCGTTTAGGGACATGCGGAAACGCTCATTACCGACACCGCAGTGCACTTCCGGAATAACTGCCAGTCAAGTAATACTAATGATTTCTTTTAAAAATATCGGCCAGCAATAGTGTTATATTCCTTCGTATTGTATAACGTTTTCTTTCACAAAAACCCTATTATAATTTGTATTAATATGTGTACGATTTTATCTTTTTGATCCCGGAGAACAACGGCTTAAGAGGACGGTATGCACATGCATTTGTTATTTCCGCCTTACAAACGCACGATATAGTTAAAACAGGCTTACGCAGACTACACAGAACTCGTTTAATTTTGGTTTTAGAGTAAAACGCCGATTATAAAATCAAAAGAGAACAATACTCAGCAGGGTCTATTTTTTGTAATATTTCGTATTACACACTTTTTTGTTTGGACCATAAATTCATGGTCAGAAAATTTGCTCCCGTACCCTTAAATACAGTTATTTCACAAATTTTTCTACCATTCATAGTTGTTTACAATTCTTATTTTAAACAAATATTTTCAGGTTTAAACTTTATGGGTAATGTAAGATGTAAACTTAAAAAAAATATTACATATTATCAACTAGTTTGTATTTTATTTATACATTTTTCTTTCGACAAATATGTTTAAATAACGTTTTTCCAGGTTTTATTCCTTACTCAAAGTCAATAAACTAATTCTAACTAGCATTAAAGAAACAAATTTTAAAACATCATAGTAATAAATAACGATTTTAAAATACTTTGTATTTGATCAAATCTCTTTGATATACTTATTCTAAATTTTTTAAACAATTACAAAATATTATAACAACAAAACATAGTTTAAAAATATTTTTTTATAACATTATACATTTTATAATTCTATACTACACATTTAATAACTTCGTATTACGCACAATAAATTTGGTATTACACACAATGTGGCGTATTACACACAAAAATAGGCCCTGCCGAAGAGACGTTGGGGTTTTACCATTTTCTTCGAGTATAACAGCCAATTTACCGTTTATAAATAACGACTTTTTCAAGTTTTTTTAATTCCTTAAAACTTTAAAAAAAAAAACCGCAGCGTTTGTTTTCTATTAATTTCATAATAAGTGTTTTTACCAAAACTAAGTGAGTTCTGTGTATTCTGCGTGAGCATGTATTTTTACTAAATCTTGTATGTTTGTAAGACGGAAACACCAAATGCATGTGTAATGTTCTTTTAATGTCAATATCGTATCATTTTCAATACAAGCAAATGAAATTTTAAAAATATTGCTAAATGACATAATTTCTAAATGATGATTTTTTGCAGCATTATATGTGTCAAAATATCTGCATATATATACACTAAGGAAATTTAAACGGAAAAATAAAGAGAAAAAAATTACATAAGATCCAACTTTAGGAAAAACAAAGTACAAAAATTGAGTTCTTCTTCACAGAGTTCAAAAATATCATAATACGTATAGTACAGTGCGTGTTTTGTTCAAATCATAATACAAAATATTTCACCTGGTCGGACTACAATTGAAACGGTTTTTTTTTTTCAAAGGTCGAGACATTCCGAAATATATATTTTTGAGTTTATTTTAAAAATACGAACCTTTGTGATGCACGTAACCGTGGTAAAAAATGTTGTTTAACGGAAACGGATATTCTTATAAGAATCTTATTATCGATGGGTAGCGTAAGATTCGATTAGTAGATGCCACCCGTCGACCATCCATAACGCAATAGCTACGCGTGACCCAGCGGTTACATACGACCCAGTGGTCCGCACGACTACAATTGGATATTAGATAAACAATTTTCACTTTTCTCCATTTAATTCCGAATAGTACGGGTAATACGTATTTCGAAAAAGTGACCTGTTTAACTATTGTTGGTGAGAAGTTAGGAAAATGGAATACTTAAGGTTATTTCATTTATAGATATAAGCAACGATAAACCGTTGCTTGACGAAATACGTTTCCGAGCTCAGTTCGGAAAGACATAATTTGAAGTGCCGTAATTTGTTTTGCGATTTTCGTTTAAATTTGATTTCAAAACGTTTGTTAAAAAAGGGAAAAAAATTCGTCTGATGATTTTTAAAATGTATCTAAATCTAGATAATTCCAATATAAGTATTATCACCAAGTTTCAAGTCTATTCAAGTCTATACGTGTATTTTATATCTGAATCAGCAAAAAATCTCCCAAATATTAAAATTCCTTAAAAGCTCCAAAGTGGCTCAAAAATTTTGACGATGATACCTTAAGAAAGTAAATCTAAAAGGAAACAAAAATAGTATCTTGTGATTTTTCGATCAAATCATTATTTCTGGTAGAAAACGTTGTCTGTGTTTTTATAAAATAATAAAATCGTGAAGTTATCCTACGTTTTTTCTAACTTAAATGATTTTATTTAAAAAATGGCGACGAAAATCAAAAAATAACCTCTTTAAAGTACTATCTAGTCAATTCGAAACTTTCAGAAAAGTTGCAACACGTTAAAATTGGAGTAAGTTTACTAGGGAAAAAACGTGTCCACAGACTAGAACAAAGAACGACAAAAAAACATATTAGTAAAACCAATAGCTCGGAATCTAAAATGGTACACACAAAAGTTCAGAATGTGGGTGTAATTGTTGTCGTTTGGCGGCAGTTATATGTCAAAATACTCGACGGTCTAATACAAGATTCATCGTAAGTTTCACTTATTAGATAAATAAAAAAAAAAAATTCGATGCAATGTAACTAATATTTTTTTTTAAGCTTTTAAAGTACAAATTTGTATGAAACTCGTACAAATTACAGCGTTTTATAAAATGGTTCACTGGACTGTATACATTCTAAGCGATGCGAATAAGTATTTAGTTTTACCGTTATGAAGATTTTTTTTTTTATATCTTTAAACAACTTTTCTACCAAAAAATCTTGATTCCAATCAAAAACTTCATAGAAACTTCCTTGTTTTATTTTTGATGTAATTTGTACATTGGGAATATTATTTTTTGATTTTTATTGTAATTTTTTTTTATAAATGTGAGGACCAGGCATTTTGTTGTATATTTTTCGTTAATTTCTACAGGGTTATCTTAGTAACAATAGACAAAATATGACTAACAATTCTTTACTAAAAATCGTTTTTTCGTTAGCAATGATTGGTTTATCGTTATCTACTTACAAATATAAAAAAAATCACTTCATTTATCATCTCTTCGAATATTCCTCGTAAAAATGTGGCATACCCATCAGCGGTATCAGTATTTCAATGAAACTGTTTAAACTAACGGAAATAGCAAATAGACTATTGTAATATTTAGCTTTTTAATTAGGCTACGAACAAATACCTCAATGAACACACAATAATGTGTGCATTATGGTTCTGCGTTTTCAGATAGTGTTGTTGGTTTACATTAGTTATTTAATTTCCGTCGGTCAGTCAAATGGAGTTCATATGTTATCTATAGGTAACGAAATATTAGTCTAATGGCCTTATATTACTTTCCAGTTCAATGCCTATAGTTTCGCTTGCGATTACAACGAAATACCGACAGTAAATGATAACGAAATATTAGCAAAAAGCTAACTGAAAATTGAAAAATAGGCGAACCCATGGACATCAAAAAATCGACCCAATTTTATGCAAAAACGATACGAAAATTCGATGGAAATTATTTTTAAGATATTTGTATAGGGGGGGGGGCTATTATTTTGTAAACTGGACTTATTACATAATGTTAAATTCTGGCTTCCGATAACAGATGATTTTTAAACTTTCTGAAACAGTGGCGGCTCAAACTTATTATATCACCTACAACTCGTACTAGATATTACGACCGAAGATATTTTGACTTGGAATCGTACTAGATAACGAAAAAATATTTTTGACTCGTCCACTATACCAACCCGTTTATTGGTGAAAGATACCAAAATAAAATAAATCTAGCCTTCTGCGAGAAAGTATATGTTAGAATCAATTTATACTATTTCCTACATCTACCGACAGTCTTTAGAACTATTTTCACACCCAATGTTGTACTTAGCGTTTTCATATGGAAGGGGAGTTTAAAAAAAAACTTGTTAAAAAAATCAATGTACATATTTTCAGTTAAAAATCGTATTTTAATTATAAATATTAAATCATATTTTCAATTAGCAATACTTGGTACTTACTCCTTTAGAAAATACATCTTTTATCAAAAATAATTCAACATAATATTTCACAATAAAGTAGATTAATAAGTAAATAAATAGAGCTGGGTTTACATTAGACGAGTGCAGCACACGATCAGCAGCTATTATTGTGTCGATTGTTGCTCACAAACGTAGTTTCAAAAAAGGTCATACGAATCGTGAAGATGTTTACACGTGAACACAATATTCGTTCAGTGAGACAGAGACGCTAGTCGCAGAAGCATTCGTTGGCTGAACAATTAAAACAACGATTAACTGCAGAAAGTGAGTAAGGCAACTGAAATATTCAACATGGTTTGATATTGTACGAACCAGTCGTGGCACGTTCGTGAGTGATAATACCACGATCGTCAAGTACGAATATTGTCTGTTAACACAAACTGTGAGCCAGGCTTCCAAAAAAACCACGGTCGTGAAACACGCCTCGTGTAAACCCGCCTTAATGGTTTTATATTGAATATTGTTTCCAAATATCAATAAAAAAAAAAAAAAACAAGAAACAAGAAAGTTTAAATATACTGTTTTGTCGCTGTATTGAATAACGCTGCAACGTTTTACATTTGTTTCAGACAGAAAAGTCCGGTTTAACCTAAATATAATAATATGCTTGTAGTGAGTGTTCAATTTTAATAATCGAATTATGAAATGTATAATTAAAACATGATAATTCTGTATTAAATTTCGCCTGAAGAAAATTCAATCATTCAATTCCGTGCATATTCCTACTAAATAAACAACTATGTGCGATTCAAAACTATTTTCGTATATGATTTGAATATAAATTAATCTTGTATTATAATATGCTCGAGCTTATAAAATGCGTATTATTTGACAACAAAGCGAAAATTCAATAAAAGCATTTTATAAAAATAAGATAACGTTCCAATATTACACCGTAATATTATTATTAAGTTGAATAATTAAATTCGATCGCTCTGCGCATATTTTATGATCTTAATACAAAATATTTATTTTCTATTACGGTTTGAAATAGGTACTTACTTAAACTTTGATGAGTTAAGACTTACGTTGAGAGTTTATGCATATATTTTATATGATAAGGTAGAGGGGCTAACTCATTTTATCTCTTTATCACTTATTGAATGGACCGCTATTTTATATATTGGGACAGTGCGGTCGAGAATCGTATATACTGTTATAGTGTAACGTACATATTATCACTATTATCTTAATAAAATTGTATACAAGGAAAAAAATGTAGTTTAATTTTTTTTTTTTTTATAGAAATTACGTTAATTTGCTCGGAAAAGCTTTAGAATATTAACGGCAATAATAGTTAAATGATAGTTTAATTTGAATCTAGTATGCGAAATGGCGGTCCGTGGATTTAGGTAACTGATCAACCAAACAAAATGCATTTCGCGGTTAAATTCTCGCGTTCTATATGTAGTTTCCTGAATGTAAGTGTTATTACTTATACCGATATACTGATTTCCATTTTGTTTGTCGAATTTCAAATTGTATTAATTTATTTTACGTAAATGCATAAAATAAAATACCTACACAACCCGAACCGGGCTTGAAATGAAACCGATTTTACATTGTATACTTAATAAAAATAACAAAAACGTGACTCGATTACCAATAGGTGTATACGGTATAAGTACCAATGTCGAAACCATCTACCACGCTGTAACTTAGCCTATTGTATCCTGATGATAACGCATGTTTACAGGTGAGGAGACTTAGCGACCAGGGTGCAGCCGGTGCGGCGGCCAGAGAGAAGGCGTTCCTAGCCACCTTGACCAGAGCTCCCGGGCCACACGCTCCCGGTCGCCGGCATTCTGTCATCACGATATCCAAGGCACCGATACCGTTGTTCGGCAGGAACAGGCGCGAGTCGATCGCCGCGTTTCCCAGCAAAGGGGCGAGGGTGAACCGCCGGGATTCTGCGGGCGGAGCGACACCGTCACCCACCGGCAGCCAGTTCAACTTGCAGTTGGACATTATGGACGACATAGCGGACTTCAAAGCGAGGAAAGTGCGCATGAAGATGTGGCAGACGGAGGACAAGGAGAAGGTGTGCGAGCTGCAGTCGCTGGACGGCGAGAACAAGCAAATGTCCAGGTACGTACCTGCATATACGTATATCGTTTATCGCAAAAGTCAACCGCACGATTTCAAAGTTCTGAATCAACTTTGCGGTTAGTGGAATTCACGAGTTGTAGTACAAAAACAGAACTAAGCCAACGTAATAATATTTGAGTGCAAAACTTTTCCCGGTTTATAAATACGACGTTCGTCTAAAATTTTGTTTTCAGGTAAACGAATATGATTAAAATGTACCGCGTGTATTTTTTATTTTTTTAGGTTAATATTGTCAAATAAATTCTAATATTATTAGAATTTATAATTATTTTAATATTATTACAGTTTTAATACATAGATTATCACGATTATCGCTTAGTATCACGATATCTGGGAAATTCTAAAATTTAAATAAATATATACAATTCGGAATAGGCAAACTAGGACCGAAGGAGAAGGGTATTAAGAGGAATATAACCCAGGATCCCTTTGAAATATGGGACCCCAGAAAATGTATAGGGTTATAATTTTTCCTAAAACTATGTAATTGATTTTTTAAAAAACTTAAAAAATACCTACAATAAATAAATAAAAATATAGCATATAAAATAAACAATAAGTAGTAAAAATTTTAATGAAAATACACGAAGGAGAAAATAGGGAGAGAGAAAGGCCGACAAAAGGTAGTTGGATGTGATTGAGGACGGCTGGTGTTTCCGAGAAAGATATGGGAATCGGGTCAAGTGGAATGTTAGAATGAGGGTGGCCAACTCCTAATAGTTGGGATAAAAGTGAAGGAGAAAAAGAAGAACGTATAAAGTAAACGTTTTTTGTATTTATTTATTTTTTGTAAAATTAAGACCCCCCAAAAATGGGCTTATCCTGTGACCCTTATTTTATTATTATTAAACTAATAAATTATATACAATAGTACTATGTACTATAGTATAATGTGTGTAAAACATAAATTTAGTTTTGTTCGACAGTTACAAGATATTGATAGCGTTGGCCAAAACCGAGATAGAATTATAAACCACTGAATCCTATAAATAAGATAAAATCACATACTTTCAAATCTGTCAATGACTTAAGCCTGATCCACTATCGGAATAGTTGCAAAATTCAGAACCGTGGTAGTTATTATGTATTTAACTATCGTCGTATTGACAGGGCGATAATAATTAAACTATCAAACTATCGTGAAAACGACTACCATACTATCGTAATGCCTCCATGATTATTAGTTATTATTAAATATCGTGAGAGTGATAGTAATTATACACGTTCTGCCCATTCCTAAACTAACTAAATAACAGCGAAATATATATACATTAATATCTGAAGTAAACATACTATCATTTTTAATATTAAAAACATTCTTTTGAATTATTATTAAACAATTTGTTTTTTTCTGAAATTTTAATAAACAACCCGTGCTATACATTACGTTTATATAATGATGTCTAAAAAAGTATCGGTATAACATTTTCTTCTTATTAAAACGAGTTATTTGTTTAAAACTTAATTATAACTTGAATAGATTACATAACATTAATAATATTATTATCATACAATAAACCGATACCAAATGCAAACAAAATCATTGTATAATTATTATGTTACAGTTCAAGTAACAATAATATTTACAAATTATATAAACATTTTTCATTTTCTTAATATTATTCTATTCAAACAATTTTAAACCAAAGTAATGTTCGGGGTTTTTTTAATTTTTATTTGGTAGATACTTTTGGTACTGATACAATTTATTTACCAAACAAAAATGCTTGAAAATGTAACCACTTAGTTAATCAAAATTAGAAACAAAACTAGAACTTTAACGAAGATAATACACAGTTGCCTATGCATAGTTGTCGGTTCAAACAAATTTTCGCCCCTCTAAGTTTCATATAATTTAACACCCTGGAATTTTCTCCCCCCTTAAATATTGCTATGAATACAACCCTCACATGAAATCACAAAAGACGATTCCAAAGGAAAATTAATCCGGGATGAAAAATTCAAACTTGTACGAAAACAATTATTTCTTATTCTTAGCTTGAAGATGATTACTTTAAAACAGGTCAAGAACTATTCCTAATTAAACATTCAAAATTGTTTATATATACAAATAAGGCTTTTGATTTTTGGAATTTTTTAGTCTAGTTAAAGTCAATATTTTCAAATACTTAAATTTTTCATAACATTTAAGAAATATCCTGTGGCGATACCAACTTTGGTTTTTTCATATCAGAAATCACAATCTTTTAGTATATTATGCTTAGTATAGATACTGTTAATATTAAAGATTTGGCAATCTAAGCAAAACACAATATTATAAACAATCAAATTCAAATGCATTCGCTGGATTTGGTTTGTGTACACAGAACTGCTAGAGGCCTCTACACGTTGTTTTCCAAAAATGTATATAAATTAAAATTAAAAACAAATAACATTAAAAACTATTGTGCTGATGAAGCATCAGGAATGATAGTCTTTTAAAGCATATTTATTAAACTACATAATGAAATATAATCGTAAATGAATGGATATGGTATTATTTTCATTTCACATCTTTTTCGACAACTTCTTGCATTCGAATTAATATTAAAGTGTTATTATGAAACGATGCATTTCCGGTGCAGCCACGGCGCGATGAAAATGTTACAGCAAGAAACGCACGACGAAATCGAATAATATTTTACCGTTTATTTTTTTACGCCGTTTTGGTTAGGACGAGTTTTTGTATATTAAGTTTGCGTTTTTATTTTAAAATTAAAATCACGGTGCGTGTTCAGAAAAGAAAAACGTATTAACCTGATGAAGAAGAAGTTTTCTTCGAGTAAAAAATAAAGTTTTTGATGACATATTTTTTTAATAAACAACGGAAAATATCGATATACGATGAATAATAACAATAATTATCACTGGTCTGTGAACAATTTTTATACTTGCAGATATTTTAGCAAATTTTGTCTCATTGGTCCATTAGAAAAATAATTTTTTTTTCCTTGTAGTTTTCTTAACACCTTAGAAAAAATGGCGAATATTTATACAATACCTAGTTTGTTTTTTTTCCGATTTTTAATCGAAAAAAAACTAGCGAATATAAAGTAGTAATTTGTTATATTATAAGCGTTTATAGTTAAAATTTGTATAGAAATCATAAAAACGCGGCATTTCAAAAAATGTTCGCTCAGAACCAATGAAATGATTTAATTCATCTTTGCGTATAGAAATAAATTGAATTACCTGACGCGTAATTTTTTTTTGCATAATCATATTAAGTACCTGGCTAAAATTTAGATAACGATACCAACCATTTTTCATCATTAATACCATTACGTACCAATGATACTATTAACCCGATTGTGTCTGAATTCTATCCGCACATTCGCCCATAAACGATCGGTCCGAGCACATTATCTAAATTTCTATTTGAAAGGGGAGCCGCTATTTTTGCGGTTCTGTTGAACGCACAAACGATCGCTCTGGAAATAACGCGTTAAAATTCCAATTTGAAAAAATGGTCCTGTTTTTTCATAAATATCATAGATTTTATTAACCAATAGTAGACGTGATTGATCGTTATTTTTAATGTTTCTGTGCGTACGTTTGAAATGCCATCGGGAATAATATTTCGTTTTATAGTTTTGCCCAAAAGTACATTTTTAACGATTTTCTCTCATACATAATAATTATACGTACACAGATAACCGAGATAATTGATTTAAACATTAAACATATACTATATATCTTTTAATAGCTACTCGGATAAAAGTATCGAAATAGATTCGCACAGCAACAATAAAATATCAAACCAAATTAATACCCATCATATAATAGTGTGCGTATAAATATAATACACTGCTATGGGTATTAAAATACAATATATGATGCGCTCAAAATGAGAAAAAAAAAAATTAAATTCTATTGATTTTACCATCAAGTAAAACGTGTACAGAGTGACTCCAATCTACACACGGTTATTTAAACACGGCGTGTATTACTTCGTCGAGGTTCAAAAAAAAAAAAATATGACGTGACGGGTTTGAAATAAAGGTCTCGGTTGAAAACGCGAGTTATTATGACTATATAGGCATTTATCTACGTGAAAACAGAATCCGTGTAACATTTATACTTACGTTTTAGCGTCATTCGCGCGAATACTTACAATGCAACTACGTGAAAAAATAACGAGAAATACGCGAACACGCACACATCGACGTACACGTTGAAGTAAGAAAGTTCTATAGTTTGAAAAATTTAAAACCGTTTAAAATTAATTACCTACGTATTATTGTACTACTTATGATGTACACCTATGCGTCCTAGACCATAAAGATTATACAATTTTTTTTAAAATACCTTAGCAGCCACACCCGCCCCCGTTCTCGCCAGTGAGGCCTGCCTACCGATAAGGTCGAAATTTTGTAAATATCTTCGGGGCTCCGGGATAAAAGAACCGCCCCGTTATACAGTGATATACTGGCCTATAATAAAACCGCCTAATCGAATGGTTTAATTAAAGTGTAAAATATAACCCGGCCATCGCCGGCCCTTATATATTACGAGTACCTGTATTATATGCATTTAATAAAACAGTAAATTTAATTAAAAACGTTTACATTTTTCCCATTTTTAATATTGATGTAATATTGTGTACTGAGAGATAAATCTGTAATCTAGTGGAAAATATACCGTAGTCAAAAAAATAAAAAAACGTATCTCTTTGATATGCGGTTGTTTGAGATAAAATAATAGCGTATAATATTTTTCTCCCCCGCTCTGTGTAACTTTTCAAAGTATAAAAAATATTCTGTTAAGAAAAACATTTTTTTTTTCAATTTAAATTTACCGCAAAGAGAGGAATAAAAACAGAAGATATTTTATGTTTATTACCCACGACGACGGATTACAGGATACCGAGCGAGAAACTTTTACGAATATAATATTCGTCTCACTTTCGACAGATTTCTGTTCGAGTTTTATTGTTATTATAAATAATAATATGTGTGTGTGTTTGTGCAAACTAATTTTTTTAAATTAAGTAGCAAGATTAAAGGGGCTTCCGGGCTCGAGCCCCCCCCCCCCGAAATGTTAGACGACAATAATTTTATTAATTTAATTGAAAATACAATTTAATATACGTGATGCCGTGATAATCTGCTGCCACGAATACGGCGAATAGCTAAAAACAAAAAAATCATCAACCAATTGTGGTGATAAAGCAACGCCTATCTTATCACACTTACTTTTGCTCACGGTTAACCGTTGTGACGTACGTTACGTCTATACTGTTTGTAGTTTTATTTGCGTCTGCGTCTCGAGCGATCATAATCTGTTGCCCTTGTTTATCTATAATTTTGCCCTTACTCGTTGCGAGACGTGATTATGCAAACGTATGTTTTATAAACAATTTTATTATAACAGTGTTATTGGTTTCGACGTTTCATCAATTTAAAGTATAAAATGAATAAAAAACGACAAATTCCTTTACCCAACATACTTACTTGACTTACGATTAAACGTAAAAATATTCAGACCCAAGAAGATACAGCTGAAATCGCTAAAAATATTTATGATCCAGCTATTGTTCAACCATCATTTCATAGTCAAGCGCCTGCAGAATTATCTTAAGTATTTTTTTAAATAATTAATTTTACATTATATTAGGAAATCAAAATCATTTTCTGGCTTAAAATAATTTTGTGAAACAAGGTGGGTGGAACGTCATGAGTCGATTTTGATATTGTTATGAATTTGCAAATGCATTAGAAGCACTAATGGAAATAAAGGAAAAAGTTGCTCATTGTCTGCATAAATCTTTGTGTAGTTTTTCTTTTATAATAACTGTATGTATAATGGATACAATTATTGGAATAACACACTCTATCTCCAGATTTCTTCAAACGGAAAATTTAGATTTAATAACAGCTATTGAATCAGTCGAATTAACTGTGCAAAAACTACAAAGTATAAAAAAATGAAAAAATATTCATTGAGATTTTCCGTCGACCTTGTAAAATTGGAGAAAAAGTAGTCGTATTTCCGACTACACCAAGAGTCGCTACTCAAAAACACCGTTAAAACTATGAAATATACAATAATGACTGCGTTTCTTATTTCAGGCAATCTATTTTTTTTCTCATATTTAGATGATATGCTGGCACCATTTCATAAGAGATTTAAATTTAACTCAAATGTTATCATTTCATTTCATTATCTTGTGTTTTGCCAAATAATATAGAAAATTCTCCATTTAATAGTTTAAAACCAACAATTGAATTTTACAAAGCAAATTTGAAAACTCACAATACCAATGTTGATTTCTATATGGTATTACTGGAAAATGAATTTTAATTTTGGCAACAAAAATGGTCTAATGTGGAATCAAAAATGGTTTCAAAAAGCCCTTTAGACGTTCTATCAAAATGTCCTGAAGAGTTATTTCCAAATATTCATTTTTTGCTGAAAATACTAGCCATTTTACCAGTTTCACCAACGTCAGTTGAAAGAAATTTCTCTACACTAAAAAGAATAAAAAACTATTTAAAGGACTCAACAAGTGAAATGAAGCTAAATGGTCTAGCACCTATGAATATTCACCGGGAAATAATTACTGACCATGAAACAATAATTAATATGTTCGCCTCAAAAAAAGGAAGACGCTTGGGACTTAATGTTATAATAATGTAATCTATTATTTTTTTTTTTTTTTATGTATTAATTATATGATTTTGATTTGATAATGTGCATAATTATATGAATTATATTGTCAGCAATACCGTGCAAACTTAATTTGTTGTCCTTATTGGCTATCAAAAATTAAGCCCCCCCCCCCCCCCCCGAGAATAAATCTTGGCTACGGCACTGCACAGCTCTTCCTTACCGTTACTCTTACTAGTACATGCCTTCGTCTTACTTTCTTCGCGCGAATCCCATCCTACGGTCCATCACTATGTGCCGCATATATATGCCAATCGCAGGTGTTCCCCAATAATTATTACGTTCCACACACCCTTCTATAATAATTAATCCAAAGCAGTCCGTTGGCGCAGATCAAATTTTTTTTTTCTGTTACATTTCCATAAATTTGAGATTTTTTTTTGTTGTTTTGTAGTATAGGCCATAATTTCTGTTGTTTTGTACTATAAGCTATAGGTTTTTGTATTATTTTTCACTGTGATTATTATTATTGTTTGTCTATGCATGTAAAGTTTATTAATTTTGTAAGCTTTAGATTATTAATTAGTTTTACTTTGTATATGTTACATGATACTAAACCCTATGTATTTATACTGATAATTATAATAACGAAATTTATTTCCGTACAAGGCAATAAATAAATACTTCTTCGTTAATCGACGCGTATCCGTCCCACATATCTTGAGCATTCTACTGTATAACACCACGTCTCAAAAGCTTCTATTTCTTTTTTTACGTTTCGCCGCCGTAAAACATTATAATGCTTCCAAACGGATGTTTTTTCTCGTACCTAGGCTAATATTCTTCTTCAATCTTCTTTGGCATCTTAAAGGCCGGTGAGGTCCATCGCCGCCATAACAACGCCCTTTCACTTCTCCCTATCCCTTGTCACTTCCTCCGCGTTCTTCACCCCAACCATCCTGAGATCTTTTTTGATTCTATTAGCCCGCCGTTATCTGGGCCATTTTGTGTTAGGTCTCTATCTTGTTATTTTCCCCAGTACTCCTTCGCATCACCACACACGACCGACATTACCCTACTACTATTTGCATGATTCCTATAAAATTGGCTTCTCCAAATAATCGAGGTTAATGGTTCTCGAAGTAAAAGGCGCCCCGGTTTTTATGATTAAATGTTATTTTAACTCGGCGTTATTTTTGTTCGCTATTGTTGCATTTTTCCGGGGATTATGTAATTCGAATATAGAGGACTTTTTTACAGTTTTTAAACGTCCATCACACCGAAAAAAAAACTAATAATAAAGAATGTAACACAACTATATCATATTAAAAAATTGTGTTTCAGATTCAAAGAGACCAGGAGATATTCGAACATTGACGTGTGCGAAAAAATGGCACCGCCCATTCCGCCCCGGCGACGCGCGTCGGAGCTGCCGCCGAGCTCGGTGGCCGCAGGCAAGTCGGCGGCGGCCGGCCCGTCGTCCGGGATCGTATGCACCAACACGGATTTGCTGTCCATAATGAACTCGCTAAAGTCGACGGCCAACAAGGCACTGCAGTCGACGGGCCGACCGGGCAGCAGCAAAACGACGGACAGCCTGCCGGCGGCTGCGGCGGCGGTCAGTGTGGAACGTCGTCGGGACGTGCTTAGGACCGGCCGGTCCAACAGCGTGGACGTGGCCAACCTGGGTGTGACGGCGGCTATGGCGGCCGCGGCCGCGGGCAACAGCACCCGAAACTGGTTCAGGAAAATTTCAAACCGCGGATCAACGGCGGCGGCCGCAGCGTTACAAGCAGCGACAGGTCAAGGTGGCGCCGAGTGCAGCGGTGAACTGCAGCGTGCCGCGACCATAGGAGGCGGCAGCGAGTACGTGGTGCAAAAATCGCCGGTCGTCGTGACGTTCGATAACGACGAACGCCCAAAAGTATCGCTGTTCGTGGAACCGTTAACGAGCAAACCGGACAGACAACCGCCTCCGCCGCCGCCGCCACCGCAACCGCAACCGCAACTGCAACCGGTACCGGAGAGCCGCAGCCGTAAGACCGCGACCGCGTCTGATACGAAGGGCGCCGACGTGGTGGTGTGGGACAGGCCGACCGGTTCGGTGGTGAACGCCGAGGTGTTGGGCACGGCCATCGAGGGTTTCTTGGCGGCCTGCCAAGAGAAGACTGGCGACAGCGGCAGCGACGGTTCATCGGCGTCCGACGGTGAACAGCAACAGCAACAGCCGGGCGGGAAACCCGCGGCACCGCCGAAGAACCCGGCCAACGAGCCCACTAACGGCCGTACATGCGACACGTCCATCTGTTCGTCGCTCAAAGACCTTTTCGTCAAATAGCTGTAAGGACCGCTCGTGTTGGTTGACCCTGTAATCGACGCATTCGTTTGATTACAGCGTTTAGCAATGTGAACTATACGCTCTATAATATCCATTCCCGACTAAAAAATATCAAAAAAATAAAATTTTGTTTTCATTATCTTTAATAATTATCGCGTTTAATAGTTTGTAAGTTATTCGATTGTCGACACGATACGGTTATCGGTGTATCGTGGTGTTGGATCGAAATATCCGATAACGTAGTATCCGTAGATTTATACATCTGAACGGAGTGTTTCAATTGGCCGTCCGCGGTGTTCAAATTCGCTCTCTCTCTCACACTGCGCTTTATTATCGGTCTATCTCTCTTGACGCGAACGATCCGTCTAGATGCACAAGTCTACGGTGGCATTCGACATTTTTAAATATATAAATAGGTGGGTACTGAAACAGTTTATTAATGTTGTTAGCACAAAACAGATTTACACGCTAATGCGGTAGGAATAGTAGTCGCGCGGGAAATTTTAGGAAAAAATCGAAAAAAAAAAAAAAAAAACAAAACAAATTTATCGCACAATAATATTCAATATTGTCTCTCGGTTAGGTAGAGCGTTATTTCGTTTGCCGTCTCGTCAATACGCGTTTACAAGTAGGTAACCTATGTGTGTATGCACGTTGTTCTCTTAAAATAAACCGCTGCAGTGTCGCGCACTGAAAATTGTGCGAGCGATGGCAAATGGGACGGCCCGGTGTGCCCAGGACTGGCTTGGAAAATATAGAGGCCCGTTTTGCGGGGCCTCAATAAGTCTCGGATCCGGAACGTGTTCTGTTTGTCCACCCTCCAGCACCGAGCGTAGGCGGTTCTTTGCAATACGATTGTACCTCGTTTCGTTAGTCGCTTAATGTTAGTTTTCCTAAATAACCATTCGGAATTGCCGTCCAGCTACGATTGCGTCTAGACGCGTGACCCATAAAAGCACGGGCGAGAGGGAAGAGGAGGGGGGGGGTGTTGGGCTCCGTGCTAAAACCACCTCCAAGCCGGCCCCGGGTGCACGGCTCCCACGCGCCCCGCTCCGAAATCACGCCCAATCGACAATAGCTGTACGGGTTCTTCAACAATTATTAATGTGCACGATAATCGATTTCTTTATAGGATTCCCAACGTAATGTACACGTGTTTCTAGACCGACTACCCGGAACCCAATTATCGCGTGCGCCACTGCACGGGTAGCGGTGTACACCCTGTGCATTATGTAATATTGTACTTACCGCAACCGTATCCAAGCAAACTAATAATGATTTGTTATTAATCTCGCGCTCCTAATTAATTATTTCGATCGAACGGTTTCGGTACGGGTACGGGTTAGGTTAGCGTCAGCGGGAGGGAGGGGGGTGGGGGGTGGGGGTGGGAGGTAAACGGAAAACTGGTACGGTCAATTGTGTTTTGGATAAAAGAAACGAAACGGGCGGAACATTGGCGTTATAAAATATTCTGTGTTCGGTGGTCGAAAAAATGTGTCCAGAATTGAATTAAATGTACACCCACAATGCACAATGGTTTTCAGTGGTTCAATACTTGAATAGTTAATATACCGAAATGAAACGAACGGTATTTACACTTTATACGATACAACACCCCACGTAAATATCGAATTGTTACTCATTTAAAACGTACGGGTTTCATTGAATCCGTTTGTAATTATCCCCGGACATTTCAATGCCGCATTTTGTGAACATTTCCGCCTAATAGTATTTTTTTTTTTTCTTAAAATTACACGCGCGTGTCTTTTGCGCAGCATTAATCCATTTCCTTTTACAGTTTTAAAACTTTCCATCGTAACAAAATTATATGCGCGTGATAACAAGCTGAACGTTTGCAGTTCAACCAGATCGCATGAAACCAAAACAATATCTTTAATCGTCGTCATTGACATTGTCGTGGGGATAAATACAGGACAAGTTTGAGAATCCCAGATTTTTAACGACCGTACGCCAATATTCCGCATTCCAAATGACCGTACCAATTTCCCGACGATCAGTGGCGAATTTAAAGGCGGTCGGACCTCTTTGACTTTTTTTTTTAAATATTTTTAATTTTATGTCATAAGAATACGTTTAATCTATAAAATACCATACGCCACCGGCGTTTAACGTTTTAATTCTCCCCGACGATCTGGCACAGCCGTCGGTTGTTATCGTTGTATCATTACGGGTTGTCGTCAATCGACGTTCCGTAACTTAAACAATAATCAACACTGAATAAAAAAAAAAAACAAACAAAAATGGTCAAAGAAAATTTTTACAGAGTCGACGAAAACGTATTTATTTTTCTTTCTATTTTTACCTAATGGGTTGTTTTTTTTTTTCTTCTCTTTCGCCTTTATACCGTAGGGTAGGTACTTGTACAATATAGGTATTGAAATAAATAAACCGTGCGGGGGCTCGTGTTCCGTATAAAAGGTCGCGTATCCGGCAGGGGGTCGGGAAAGGTATACACGGATGATGACATCGACACCGGATGAATATAATAAGGGGAAAGAAAAAAAAATAGCCGCCAAAAAAATATACAATATTATTATGCGCACGTTGCGTAAAAACTTCATCGTTCATAATGAAAAAAAAAAAAAAAACCGGTAATTGATTAGCTACGGAAACACGATCAAAAACGTTCCGCGGTATTTCGAACGGCGCGCGTAATCGATTTGCGCGAGAAAATCGTCCCTTTCGACGGCGGCGGGAGAAATGACGTGATCGGACGATTTCGTGCTTTTTTTTTCCGGGCTTTGCACATTTTTCAACGGCTTTTTTTTTTTTTTTTCCGCGAAAATTATCGAACGCCGTCGTATTTCTATCGGTACGCATTGAATACCCGTGCGTTTTCGTTTTTTTCGCGTATCGTTTTTGGATTTCCGCCGCGAGTTGTTCGTCGCTCGCCATGCGCTCACCGTGTCTATATATATATACGTATACCTAACCCCCTACCTCCTACGCCCCCCCCCCCCCCCCCCNCCCCCCCACCCGTAGGAGACATCAGAGGACCGCGGAAAATCGAACCGGCCCGAGAGTCCGCGTCGGCGGCGGCGGTCTCGGCGATTTCTTTCCGCGCGCGGGCAACCGTGCAAAAGGTTTTGTTCGGCTTCGCTCTCCGCGCGGTTACTGTTATTATTATTTGTTTTTTTCTATTCGTAATGCAAAACGCGCGGATATTATAGACGGGCGCGCGTGCATAGTTGTCACGCACAATATTGGACGTCCCGGCGGACCAACGGTTCACGTTGTGGCGGCCAAGTGCGTATGGTTCACATTGTTAACACGCGCGAAAACGGTGAACGACCACGAGTTCGTATTAAACGCGACCTAAACGCCGCGTGTTTTTGGGTTTTTTTTTTTTTCTTTTTCGTTTCGTAAAATGCACCGCGGCCGCACGAGCCGGAAACGTCAAATTGCCGCCGTGTTTGTTGCACTGCCGCTTGTACAAGGGCCGAAAACGGGTGTTTGACGGACGTTTTGGGCGAGACGCCGGCATCGTCCGACGACCGCCGTTTTACGCGCGCATGCAAGTAACCGACGGCCGGCGATATCCCGAACGTCAATCCAACAGTTGTTGTTGTTGTTGTTGTGCTGTTGAAACGATTCGGACGATTCGACGCAGATAACAGTGTAGGTTATTTTAAAACGAGAACGGCGTTTTCCCGCGTTCGCCTGACGTTTCTATAAACGTTACACCGAACGAACATATCACCCGATATAACCTAACCGGGATTCATTCCCACCGGAGAGGGGGGCGGTCCGAACGCTATAGTAAATGATTTCATTGCGCAACAAAGTACACATTTTTCAAGTTATGCGCAATGTACAGGCATCCACGGTTCGGGACTTTTTGCACCTAAAAGTTTAAATCGACAAAAAAGGGATTAAAAACGTTAAAAAAAAAAAGCGTTTGAACAATTTTTAAAACCGGTAAAAGGGTTTAAATGTTCACCCCTCTAACGGCTCTAACTTATTAAACACAGTTTTTCAACACTAAAAAAACGTTATTTTATAACTTATAGCTGTTAGGAACTTTTAAACTCTCCTACCGTTTTTGACGGTTTGAATGTATTTTAAGTGTTTTTTTTTTTTTTTAATTTTAAGTACGAAAAGTCCTGAGCCCCGTTGGCGGTTAATGCAATATAGTAAAACGCCATAACACACACAATAGTAAAGCTGCGTTAATGATTCAAATACATATAATAGTTACCTATTACATGACATGTTAATACACAATTTTACATGGCGTTGAATGAAATAAGGTTATTCTTTTCTTTTTTTTTTTTCATATAAAATTGCATATTTCCCTTAAATGGGTACCTATACTTAAAATAATTAATTCGATATCCACTGTGAAAATCCCATCTCCGTTTCTCCAGCGCCAATACATTTACAACTTGATTAACCGCAACCGACATATCTCCGTGTGTCCTATCATCGAGGAGATCTTATCCATTTAATCGGTTTTCCAAGTTTGTATTTCTGAGATATTATATTTTACAACATTGAAATTATAGAATTTTTTTAAATGATAAACAAAAAAGTAAAATCGACGTTATTTTTTTTTTCACGTTTATAGGTACGATCCGAGTGGGGTAAAGGTGCCCGTTACTGCAACGGGTATTCGGGAAAAAAAAGCGAAAATTCATAACATAATGTAACAAATATATAGGTAGGTATGTAATGATTTTTGTGATATTTTCGAAAAAATACGGCCGTGATATGCATGCTTCTTTCGAAAATATTCACTCTACTCTAAATTTCGCGTTATCTGCGTTTATTTCAATCTAAACGTCACTGTATGTTTTATGTACGTTGTACGTAAACGAAATAATTTCGTTTCGCTGTCCGCCGTTAGTTAGACTGATGAGGCAGTATGTGTGCGGATTTCGCGTCGTCTTAAATCGTTTTCGCGGTTCCTTAAACCGCATTAAATTATATTATTCATTCGCTAGCGATTATTACTAGGCGTTATTAAACTATGATTAAATTTAAAACGTATATTATTAAATGTTTAAATCTTATACAAATTTGTTTCAATTTAAGTATTAATGATATTGATGTGCCTATTGTTGTATTCTAAACTGTAATATATAATTAGGAGTACTGTCGTTTGAAAATGAGATTCATGCGGACGATTCGAAGATAATAATATAATGGAACTAAATTCAATCAAAACTTCAATAGATTATGTTGAACAAGTAGATTATGATTAGTTTTTTTGTGTACAGAATTACATTTTATTTATTTATTTATAAACGCGCTAGGGCCCTATAGAACAATAATAGGTGAACATTACAAGACGAAAAATTTGTAGAACGGTAACAGTATACACGACAATTAGCACGCATTATAAAAATAATAATTTGTACATTTTACCTTTTATTCTCAATGATAATTCGTTTTAATAGTCTTTGTGGATATAATACTCGAAGAAAATAAAAATTGACTACAATAGTTTATCGCGTTCGTGTACCGAAAACGCAGTCATTCTATTCGTTTACAGATAAACTGAATATAATATTAAATCTATCCGATAAACGTTGAACAAATACGAGTGGTACCTATTGTGTCGAGTTATTTATTTCCGCAATATCCTATTATATAGCCGGTTTACTTGCGTGTCAAAGACGTTAAAGTATCTGCGTACAATTTATCCAATAATATTTATGTGTACAAATAAATGGATTGTAAATATTATAGTACATAAACAGTGCAATATTATAGTTCGGTAGACAATTTTGAAGAGAAAAAACTGTACGTGGTAGGTATATTGCCGTGATGGTCACTGTTCTATATACATTTTTAACCTAACCTGGGGGGGGGGATTCGGATTCAACCCCCACCCCGAAATTATTTTCCAATATTACTACCTTGCAATAGGTACTTTGCGTAGGTACAGGTACTGGTTTTATAAACAAAATATGTTTAACTAGAATATTATAGAATAGTTATACTATTTAGTTGCATAATGATAAAATTATATAAAATTTATTATCGAGAATTCGAGACGTATATGGAAATGTATATAATACTGTTTTGGTGAAAAAAAAAAAAAATCGAACTTCGTTAATATATTCATAATATCGTATAATATTCTAAAATATTGCATCGGGTACGTGCCGTGACAAAATAATAGAATGTATTAGTTTGTAATTTCGTTACCGCTGTAAAATACCTATACTTCATTATTGCAGTAAAATAAAAACTTAACCGATCCTTAGGGGTTATTATCCTTTATCATAATATTATAATGGTTACGTGCGTCTGAATATTGAAATACATTATAATTATTCGATATCAGTGGTGTATTAACTACCCCTTCCCCTCTCCGCCGATAGGGATGCACGATTTCTATTATATCGGTATGATTTATATGGATTTAGCTGTCTAAATTGCGTTAACTTACACCTCACCTCCCCGAGAACAAGTGGTAAATACGCCACTTATCAGTTTATATTTTATATATATATATATATATATATATATATATATATTTATATATTTATTAAAAAATAAATTTAAACCTTCAAATAATATGTTTAAAACAGTTTTTTAATTCCATAAATGGCAATCTTATGCGCTATTATTGTATAAATTACCTATAGTTATTATCATAATTACTTATTCTTAGGACGTTATAAGTATAAAATCTTGAATTGCACAATGAAACAGTGGCGTATACTGCGTAAAATGCGTTTACTTCTGGGGTGATGTAGATATATTATAATATAGTAATGAGATTCAATATAATAATTATGAAACTATTATATTTTAATTGTTTGAAAAACTGTTTATATTCGAACGAATTATTAAAAAAAAATTACCTACGTCAGATCCTCCGCCCTTCGGACCACCGTGTTTTTACTATTAAAACGTGCCACTGATTTAGGCATTTATTAAATAAGTACATTTATTTTTTTTTTTTGGTTTTATGTTTTAAGTATAAGCTAGGTGTACAAATAATTTCTACCGACCGGTAGAATAAGGAATATAACACCAACGTAAAAGTAGGTGTCTTAAAATATATTATTATAGGAACCGTTTAACTCGTGTCCGATAAGTGGTAAATACACATTAATCCCAATGAAGGGGGTTGAAGTCGTGCCAATAAAACTAGGTTTTTATCATATTACAATGGATACATAGATCAACTGATATAGCATAGACCCTATGAGTGAATGGGAACGATGACAGGTCAAGAGAGCGCAAACTCTATTTATCAATCCGTAAAGTAGCTAAAATATTTTCAGAGAGACATGTTACCATTGGACAGCGTATGGGAGTGACGCGTCAAAATATCCCGAAAACCAGAATATCACCGGGAAAATGTTCCGTTACAAAATATAATTATAACAATGCAATTATATTTTATTAAAAATTAAAAAAACAAATGTAAAAATGGTATAAATTAGTTTAAATTTAAATTTTAAAAAAAAAAAAAACCATAAATAAATATTAAAATATTGATATTTTTCCTCCGTTTTTTCAGTGTGATATACTGAACGAACGGCCGTTAACTATTAGTAATTTATTGCCTATTCGGTTTCGGAGAAATGCTAACGTTTTCGATTTTACAATTGGAAAGACGGTGTGTGTTGGTTCGTTTAACACGCGTGATGTAATTAGGAACAAAACAACACGCGGTACCATTAAACAAAATAACGAATAACACATACGGCGCGATACAATCAGACGGGTAACTCGCGATTATTGCACTGTTAACCGTAGCTTATAAAAGCTATGGTTGTAATAAAGGTTAACGTTTTGAATTGTGTATTAACGCGGGATATTTTGACGCGAAACCAGCGTATAAGGACCACACGTGACCACGCTGCATCCACTACAGGCCATGTACAGCGGATAATAATATCGTTTGGCTAACAATAATATCTCGTGTATTATAATGAGAACGGCGAGAGAGAAAATGCTTAGTTTGGGCCCCGGATCTCCCTCATTCCGTATCGTCTTGATGGTCGATCGGTAGTGTGGTTGACGAGGCGATACACCGCACAGTCTGATACCCATCTACGGTAGTTGTTTTACCTACGATTTGATCGCGCGTTTATCGATCTGCGCATATAATGATAATATGTCCGACTGCCGATAACGGCACATTTCGCTTATAATTAACATTATCAACAATTGAACACAATATTGATTTTGGGCGATCTCGTTGGGACGGATGCCGATAGGATGCCGTGCATGTTGTGTAGGTGATTGGACAAAAATCAACAGTCGTAATATGGGGCGATATTGTTGCAAAAATTCGTATTAGGCAATATTATCATTAATATTTTGGAGCAAACTTAAATTTATAGATTACACTTAATTTACACAATACACATTTCATATTAAATTATTGCCGTTTGCGTTTTAATGTCATTAGGTAATGGATGCCTTCTATGTAGGCATAAGGGTATCTGGGTGCAGTGGCGCAACAAAGATTTCTCTTCGACAGTGGTAGGTAGAGGAAGGTAGTTAATTAAAAATCGATTTTATTATAAAACATTACATTAGACATTAAATAATCGAATCCGCGTGCATTTCATAATTTCACGCGTTTTAATAAATTAAAAATAAGTTAACAAATTTAATTTTGCACGTTATATAATTGCATTATACAAAATATTCAGTATAATATTGCATACATCTGTCGAAACTATTAAAAAACGTGCAATACGCTTGATTATTAGTGACTTGCTTATATAAACTATATTACTGAATACTTAATTGAAAACCAAATTTTATATAGGTATAATAATGTATAGGTAATACACCTATCAAAGAATTAGAATTATTATACATATAATTATTATTAATTATTATGATTTAACATAATACTGTAACTGATACTAATATAAGTAGATATTATGTTTTAAAATTATACTCATATTAATTAAAAATATTATTTAACATGGCTGTTGTAGTGAATTTCGGTATACCTAATGTTTAGCCGTTAAAAAAAAAAAAAATATTGCAATTTATTAATGTTATGTAATACGACGAGTTAGACATTTATTCAAGATAATTTATTATATATTATAATATTGTTTAAAAAACATATATTTTAAGCATTTTTATTTCAGATATATAACATTATTATTCATAATTATTAATTATTATTATTGACTAAGAGATCTTGAATATAATAAATATAATTGATAAATAATTCATTTATTATGATTATAATTCAAAAACATATACCCATATTATATTGTAAAAAAATTTAAAATATACTAAATTGCAAGTATTTAAATTTTTTTAAAGTTACCTTTTTTTCTGTTTTCAAACCATAATATTATTATTATTATTATTATTATTATTATTATTGTAATTATATCAAATTTATGTCTGTGTGTTTTTAATAAACGAAATAAGTATATTAAGTGTATACCTATACCTATTCTTGTTCCGTAACTAATACAGTTGTCTAATCAGTTAAAATAATTGAAAACCCAATCTATAACCTAATAAAAGACGCAAATATATTAGGTCCTTTGTAATAATAATCCAGTGGCGTAACCATGATTTTTTTGAAAAGAAATGTAACATGTCTACGTTAAAAAAAAAAATAACACGGTTTTAAACACATTTTAATAAATTTATATTAAATATTTTTATATTTCTTAAATAGAGGTGTCCATGTACAAAAATATCGTCCCTCCCCTCAATTGCAAATTTATGCCACTGAACGTTAAATCCAAATTACCTACAGCAAAAAGACAAATTCGAAAATAATGAAACCGTTATTTCAGTTAACTTTACAGTTTTTCCTATATTTTTTACCATTTATTAAAAAAATCTACACAGGAAATCAACATACGATGCACTAACTACTACTAGATCCGAAATGCTGCGAAAAAGCTCTCTTGTCATTTTTAGGTGAAAGAAAAGTTGTTTACAGAATAAAAAAAAAGCACAATACATAATATCATAGGAAAACCGAAACATTCCTCGCTGCGCTCTTAAATAATAAGTAAGCTATTCATTATGCTACGTGGCTATTTTATATTTATATTTAAAGATTCCAAAGCCCTGATGAATATCCACTGATAATTACAATTACGACTATCGCGCCAAAAATTTCGAACCACGAGTGTAATCCATAGATATTAAAGATCTTCAATATCTATGGTACAATCACCGAACAATACTCTATCACTATTAAATAACAGTCGTGCTGATAAAGTGATAAAGTGATAACAAAGATTATAAAACGTGCGTCCAACCAGACACGTGCTGTAGGTAAATAGTAAATACTAAATACTTGAAATGTTTTTCACTTAATAATTAAAGTATCTACTAACTATTAAACCATATACTTTACTTACTTTTTTATGATATTACAGTTCGTAAATTGTGCAACGTAATTGAAACACCGATGTCATAAATATTCAATATACATATTACACACTTTATACCATTTTCACTTTCCTTCAAATTAATTTGCAGTAAATTAATATCTACATTACTTACTAATTTTAGTTATAAAATATAGTACCTGTTTCACACTATGGAGAAAATAATTGTGGTCCCGTGGTCTTCTGAGTGAGTTTTCTTATCTAATGTTTTAATGCGACACTTAACATCTGCGTGTTTTATATTTTAGAATAGCGGTTGTGTTTTTTAAGATTTACATTTTTATACTACGTACCTACCTTTTTTTCTTTTAGGTGGCTCTAAAATTTGTTTATTGCCGTGATTATTATTAACTGTGTACTAACATTAGAAATTACTAGTTAAATATTATGATATTTGATCACAGGTCCGTACTAGCTACACCTATGGGACAGTTACAGTTATTACTTAAACCTTAACCAGTAGTGTACCTAATTAAGGTGTAGTTTTGGGAATATCTACTATCCACTTACCACCCCCAGTGCCACAAAATGTCCATAATTTGTATCGTGTATCTAAAAAAAACATAAACTTTTGACGAATGAAAATTAACAATTTAATTTCTTTTTTTTCTTTTTTGAAGTAATTTGTGGTAATGTTTTGTTCAATTTCATCCATTCTTGTAATAGAAAAATGCTTTCAAAATATAAATAGTTGATACTTCTCACAGGTAGAATGTACACTGTTTACAGGGCTGGCTTAGAATATATCAAACAAGGCTTCAATTTTTTCATTTAATCTTTCCAACATTTCTGCTTTTTCGACTTATAGATAAATCTTTAAAATTTGTCTTTGTCCATTACTTATAATCTATATTTTTTAAATAATTATGTGAAATGATGAGCTACAATTTGAACGCAATGCAGTACTCCTAAAAGCACAGGCTCTGTGCATGTGCACATCTTGTTTCACCTTCAACCCAGCCTTAACTATTAGAATAACACTGTTTTAAGTGAGTAATTCTGAAGGTTAGATATACAGGGTATCTGGTTTTTATTTTTTTACTTCGTAAATAAGGTGATCCTCAAATTAACAATATTAAGACCAATCTATTGTCATTTGTTGTAGTTTTTTAGACTTAATTAAGAACATTGGTAATTTAGTTAATTTTTGGAGTCTTCTTACTAATTAAAAAAGTGTTATTTGAAAAAAAAATAGGGCTGTACTATTTGAAATTTCACAAAATGATTCAAATAAAGTACCATCAGATTATATTTTGCTTATAAAAATAAAAATAGTTTTGCTAGTTTTCAACATCAGGCGTCAACGGTTGCTGTTAGAAATTTTTTCAGAATCCCTGATTATAATAATATAGCCACAGAAAAAACTTGTACAATGCAATAATATGACAATGTACTATAAAGTAGTATTTCTGGATTTTTAGTTAGATTATATACCTGTTCTTCCCTATTAATATATCCTCAAAATTGTAATTGGACCTAACAATGTAATGTGATATAAAAGCGCATTGTATATTTGCCCAATTGCCCGGCAGGCCTGATTATATAAACAAAATTTAAAAAAAATCAATATATTCTTATAATATTTAGTACTTTCCAATTTATATAGGTGTATGTGTGTGATTAAAATGAATAATTGCCTATTGTATAAAATGTTTATAATTTTAGCTCAGAGTGGCAGTTAGTTCGACAAGATATATATGCTGATAGAGATACGAGAAATTACCAACGAGCTTTAAGACAACTTTTATTATGGAAAACTAAGTTAGTTTAGAGGATTATTATTTTTTTAACATGCTGTTTAAAAATGAATTATATTTTGTTGTAGAGGAGGCCCATTGTCTCGAGGTTTACATTGTACAGAATTAATTTTAGAAGTAATTTCTAAAGATACTTATTTCTGTAATGTTGACGTTATCATAAATACAAGTGATTTAGTCCGATTGTATTCTATGGCAATAATGAAGTAAATTTTTTAAATTCTTTGTAGTTATTATTAAATCTTAATGATAAATGTATGTCCACAAAGATTTGTCAATCTCACTGTAGATGTTTTGGGAAATGGTCCACAAAAGTCAATGTACTTCAGAGCGTCACGTCTAGATATTCCACCATGGTTAATTGATATGAGGCACAAAATTTCACATGATCAAGATTTACCTACACTAGAATCATTAAGAGCAGCTACTGAATTCGCATTAAAATGGTTAAAAGTAAAATTAAAAACATTATATATTATATTAAAATTAAAACTTTTGATTAAAATAATAACAATATTTTTATTACATGATTTCAGACCAAATATTGGAATAATGATGATAATTTTAAAGTTATTACAACAAAATTATACACGAGTGTCACTGATGAATTTATAGACATATTGGAATTGTATATGTTAAATAAAATTAAAACCAATACAATTGATAAAGAAGAACGTTTAAATGCTTTGAAGTAAAAAGAAATATATATTTTAAGTGTTTTAACAAATTGAAATAAAATAAAAACTATTTTCTGGTTATAATGTTTCAGAACCAAATTATCTGTGCCTTCATTTTCATATAAAGAATGTATTAAAAAAATAAAAGAATTTTTAGCTAATAAAGTATACACATCACAATTAGTCAATGCATTTGTTACACGCTATTTAATGAATGCTCAGGAATGTAACAGTATTAAAGGTATACAAAGGTTTTTTTGTATTTTCATAATTCATGTTTCAATTATAATTTTCTGTAAACAATTTATAAAAAATAATAATTTTCATATATTTATATTTTTCTTTTGTAGGTAGAATTTCTAAAACAGATAAAGATGTGTGGAGTGTTTTATTGAAATTATTCACCACTTCTGGTCTATTGACCAATTTGTTACAATGTTTAGTTACTCAGAATTCTCGTGTTGCTGCTTTATGGATCATTGAACTATGCATAGTTGTATTTAAAAATAGTAAAAAAATAGAAATCAAACATAATGAAAATGATAACTGTATGACATGCAAAACTTTAGATTTAGATTCAAACCTTGTTTTAAGAACTGCATTAAATTCACCACATTCACATACTGTAGTGTTTTTAAAATGGTAATTTTATATTAATAATAATAATAAAACCTATTTGGTTATTTACTAACATGTTGATTGAATTATAGGTTATTACGAATACAATCAAATCCATTAAAAGTAAAACAAGAGTACAATATTGTCAAATTAGTAAAATTATATACAAGTTCAGTAAAGATTAACTCTCAAAATACTGCAAAGGTTTTTACAATCAAAGATTTAACTAACAAAAACAGTAATTTACAATCTCAATGGTCATTAGCCTTAGGTGAGTTATTGTTATTATTTTATGTTTGTTTTTCATAATTTATTCAGGTACATATTATACAATTATAAAACTTACAAAATTCAATTAAATCTTTTTTATAATATTGTAGTTGGAGTTTGTATTGTAGTTAATTTTGAGGAATGCCTGAGTAATATAAGAAATTGATGGTAAATAGTTAAAATAATGTAAAAATTTGATGAATTTCAGAAACTAAAATATTGAAAGTTTTGATCATATCAGATGGTTTTATTGTTAGGATGGTATTCTTTTTTCAACAAGCTTAATCTTAAAATTATATAATTTAGATTTATTTATTAAATAGAACAAGTCGTTATTTTATTGTAATCATTTATTATCATTTTTTTTTTCATTTTCCAGGTGAAATGAATTGGAAACAAATATCATTTGGTACTATTCTGTAAACATATTTTATAACATTTTAAACAATTTTTATTTTATGTCTTATAGCTATGAAATATAAATATTACTGTTAATCATTTTACGTGAGTTTTGTTGGCAGTTGTGTAATTCACTATAGTTGTTACTTACAAATTTCTTAAATTATGGGACTAGGCGTATTCACATTTGCTACATGTAACAAAAGTAGGCAATTTTGGATACTGTGTACAATAAAACAATTATTTTAAACTGAGTATATTATATGTTTTACTGTGTCATATAACACACAGCTAGCAATACAATTGGTATACACATGACTAGTATATTAATTTAGTCTGTGTAATATACTCAGTGGTGTATTGGAAATTATTTTCTGTATTCTATGCAATTATTATGGTAAATATACTAGAGCATTAAGAAGTTATCATAACTACAAACCTTACAAAGCTATTTTTATTTAAAGTAAAAAAGGCAAACTATCGATAAAAATAGTAATCTATAATTCAATTTTATTTACACATTTAATTTATTAAGAAAATAAAACAATAAATTTATATAAAATAAATTACTAATTCGCTATGCATATAAATGTAACCAAATGCATGGTTTTTTTTTTGAAGTACAATTGTATACTCATAATATAATATTTTTATTTGATTCATACAAAATAGACCTTCAAATACACCACTGAACATATCATTATAGCATTTAAACGACCAAGTGCAAAACAAAACAGACAGATTGTATACTGATGAGTTAGCATTTAAACTATTTAAACAACAAATAACATTTATAATAAAAATAAAACAGACATATTACGGAAAGCAGCATTGTATGACTAATTTAGTCTTAAACAATAAGTCAGTATTATAGTAACATGTTATGAGGTTCTTCTATGTATCGTCTAAATGCTTGTAACCATTGGGCTCCTACAGCACCATCTACTACTCTATGATCACAACTTAATGTCACTTGTAATGTATCTTGTGCACGTGTTCCATTAGTCTTATCTGGTACAAGTCGCTGAGTCATAGAGCCGATTCCGAGTATACACGATTGAGGTGGATTAATTATTGATGACACACTCTTCACACCAAACATTCCCAAATTTGAAACACTAAATGTACCTCCCTGCAATAAAAAAAATATATATATTTACACAACGTAAAGATTTTAATTTATCAAAACCTTTTAAAATAATACCTGGTATTCTTGAGGCTGTAGTTTACCTTCTCTGGCTTTAGCAGCAAGTTGTTTAATATCGGTACTTATTGCCACTAACCCTTTAGTATCTGCATTAAATACAATTGGTGTTATAAGTCCAGTTTCAGTACTCACAGCAACACTTACGTCAACTGCGTCATATCTGCAATATTATAGGATAATTAAATATAATTTCAATGGATGGTCAAACACATAAGCACTAATAATTGTGGTAAGCAATCTTAGCAACCAATAGATTTTATAATTTATGAACACCTACAATTTACAATTATTTTTAAAAATACTATAGGAAGATATCCCTTTAAAAGATAAAATATTATATTTTAAACATTCAATAAATTAATTTCCTCCCTTGGATCTATTAAATGTTATTAATCGAAATCAAATGTGTCACAATAGTATTAAGATATAATTTAATAAATACTAATGGATTATTATTGATATAATATATTTACTGTCTAATAAAACTATCCATCCAAGATGAATTGGCTTCTGGAACTTTTTTACAAGCTAGAGCTGAAGCTTTAATAATGAAATCATTAATGGACAATTTAACACCTTCTTTTTCCAACAATTCATTCATACGTTTTCTTAATGACACAATGTTATCCAAACTCAAATCAACAGTAAGATAATAATGAGGTATAGTCTGTGAATAAACAAAAAAAAGATTAGTGTTAGTTATAAAAAGTTGTTTTTTTTTTTTTACTTGTTTGGATTGTAATAAACGTTGTGCAATGATTTTTCGGACATTTGTCACTGGATTATCAACAAATCCATCGCCACGAATTCCGTCTACAACAGGTTTTTTAGCACTAACTGAAGCCGTAGAGGCTTTAACTAGATCTGTAGATTTTATTGAACCAAACAAACCAGAACCTTGAGAAATAGACTGAAATTTAAAATGTTATTAATATTAAAGTATATTTAGTTTAAATAAATTTAACAATTCTCACACTTAAATCCAATCCCTTTTCAGTGGCTAAACGTTTTGCAAGTGGACTAGCAAATATACGGGAGCCTACATTGATTGGTGCTGCAGTTTTTGGAGCTGTAGGTGGTGATGGAATAGGCGCAGAAGTTGCTGCTGGCTTGGGAGTTGAAGATGCTACTGGCTTGGGGGCTGATGGCGCTGCAGAAGGAGGTGCAATTGCTGAGGCATCATCAACAAAGTCTTTAAAGGCAGCAATATCAGATTCGTTTTCTACAATAATACATACAAGCTGGAAAAAAATTTTTTTTGGTTTTTTTATAGTATCTATTCATATCTAATAATATTATGTTTAACAAATTTTATTAACAATGTTACTTCAAATGCTTATAAAAAAATTATTCTATAAAACCCAAATTATTATTAAGGTTAAAAAAACATTCAAAGTATGATTTATTAGATGATTTATGGAAAAAAACAACGTATAAACATAATTCATGTATTATACTTTTAATAAAAATAAACAAATTATTTAATATTATGATAAATTGTATACAAAGAAAGAAAACATTTTTTTTTCATGTTGATAAGTCAATGTGATAACCTTCTTAAGGTAAACATATCTATACAAGATACAAAAAATATGTATATTTAATAATTAAAATCAAATCGGTTTTTATCAGTTCATAATTGAATAATTAAAATATATATATAACAAATAAATATAATATTTTATTTAAAGACAATTCACCAAAAATAATATTTAATGAATAATTTTAAAATATTGATATTTAAGACTTTACTTGAGTTAATACATTAATCAACATATTGAAATATTCCATTAGCAAAATTATTGTCTATTATTTTATTTTACAGATCATAAATAAGAATTAAAAATATCACCCAACATATTTAAAAATATCAGTCCTAAAATATAGCTTATCCTGTGACTTAGACAGCCTAATTGTAAATTTGTCTCTGAAATAATGCCCTTGAAGGTCACACCATTTATTGTATCATTAAAATGACCGAGAGAATAATAATATTATTAAAAATTGATTTATTATATGTAGGCGTATAAATTAATATTTTTATCTAAAACAGTAATAATGTTTACCTTTCCAACTTTAACATCTTTTTGACCAGCAGGTACTACAATCTTAGCAAGATATCCTTCTTCGGGAGTTTCAAAATCCATAATAGCCTTATCTGTTTCAATTTCAGCTAATTTATCACCTTCGTTCAATTTTTCTCCTACAAAACCATTTAATACAAAATTACGTTTCATATTTTGTTTAAATTATGAACATTATATTACCTTCTTTTTTTGACCAGTTAATTATTGTGCCACTTTCCATTGTAGGAGATAATGCTGGCAATGCAACTTTGATGTGGCTAGGGAGATCTGTGGCATAAAAACGATAGCCAACATTTTTCATGGATGGACGTTTTCCAGTACGCCATTGTATGGCATTTTGACATCTACAATAACAACGTGAATGAAATAATATATACAAAATTAAGTTCAAACAATTCAGTTGATTAATTATTAATATTACCTAAAAGCTTGAACTACTTTGATAGGACATTTAGTAGTCACCGTTCTCACAGTATTCCTGTTTAAGTTTCTTAATAAACGAACATTATTCATAATTATAGTTCTATTTGATCCAGACATTATGTATACCTAATTGAAGATTAAATTGTTAATGAATTTGTACGTTAAAAAGTGACAGTCAAATTAGCGGCCCAATAAGCAATAATGAACTTCAAATAACCTCGAAGGACGACCTACCCAGCAGTGAGTAAATTTCAATCGTTATCAAAGATCATCGGTGAAATTGATAAAAACTCGGCACTTTATTACAGAGTGACCATATTAAAGAGCCTAGATTATCTACGCTCTCTATACCATATTATACAAATAATTTATTACAAATGATCGAATTTGTATTTTTATAATGATACAATTCATAAAAAAAAAGTTTTTCCGTTTTAACAATAGTTAAATTTACTGTTAAGTTAAGGAATTATGAAAGTGTTTATATAATAGGATATTTAATTAGGTACTTATCTGTTTAAATATTAAGTATTGTTTACCCTTAATTCTTGATTACCATAAGACATAATTCATAAATCGAAATGTAAAATTAAATTAATCGTAAAAAATGAAGAAGTTTATTATTTAGAATGGATTTTCTAATCTCTATAGATTTTATACTATTAATAAAATTATGTAGGGGTTATCCGCAGGATTTGACAATTCCCTAAGCAGTCCCGAGCATATGACTTTATTATTCTTTAAACTATTAGTACCAACCGCGGTTTGTCTGCTCTTTAATTTAGATACGACTAGGCATATTATGAGCATTTAGCATATTATTACACTTACACTATAATTAAGGACTCCCGGAAAAAATCCTTGCAAATTAATCCCCAAAGTAGAGGTTCTCAACCTTTTTTGACTCACGGTACCCTTAATTATTTTCTAAAATTTCGGAGGCACTATATGGCCTATACTCTATACGTAATAGTAATATATCGTGTATTTAAATTTATATTTTGTGACTTCGGTTTTTATTTTGCTAAGTGACTTAGTGTGAACAAAAGTAATAGGTATCTGGTATACACACATATTATATTTTATAAAACAAACTATTACATTGAACATTAACTATAGCAATCGAACCAGTATGAAAATTAAAATAGATTGAACATCGCAGTATTACTATGTACAAACTTTTTGTATTTTATAATTAATATATTAAATTATACTGTATATGATTAATTACAAACAATTATTTGTATATTATAGAGTTTAGTACTATAGTCTGTTTTATTAGTCACAGTGCTATATTTTTCATGGAGTCGTCTTTTAAAAAAAAAAAAATATATATATATTTCAAATAATTTCGTGGCACCCTGGTTGGATACTCCTGCCCCAAAGCAGCTATACTGTTCAAAATTATATGTATATATAAAAAAAAAATTTGTATAGTTTAATCATCAATGGTTAGAGTGTATATAGTACCTATATTGTGCACACGGCTGTCAAAAATAATAATAATAAGTAATTTAAAAAAATAAAATATCATATGTGGGTATAACCATTAAAACATTTATTTTTTTCTTGGGCGGACTTAATAATGTCCATAGTTGCACAGTCGCACAGTCGCACAGTTCGAAATTACTCAACGGGAACTAAAGAAGTATTAACCGTAATGCCTAACAACGTGTAGATCCTAAATAAGTAAAATCTAAATAATTATTATCTAATGTATTTTCCTAATTCCAAAATTTATCGCTCTAAACATTTGATTTTAGATATTTAGCAACTAAAACTAGTTATAGAGGCTTCCCTTGAGAGAATATATAGCACAGTCGTTATATTCAACAAATTATCTTTTTGGAATATTTGCTGTTTCGTTCGTAATCTATAGACTAAAAAACCATACGGATGACAATGATGACAACGATAATTTATACATACACGTATAAATAAAATTGAAGTAGGTATGCCTTTAAACTTTTTTAACTGTTATTATTATTGATAGTATAGTCTTGGGGATTTTTTTTTTCGGATTACCATAATTAAATTGTATGGCGTACTAGAGTACTAGTTTTGTTGTCCTATAGCAGGGGTGGCCACAACGAGGGTCACAAGCCGCTGAGGCTCTTGAACCAAGCTTAGATTAAAATTAATAAATATACAATTCGTTAGTGTTTTGATTGCGGTCGGTTTCGTTATCAATTACAGTCGTTATTATAGATTGGCACCAATTGAGTTCATTAAATCTAAATATCGATCTGAACTAACCTATGAACATTTTAGTAAATTTGTGCGAACCGCGTTTAAAAATGATCAGCCAGATTTCAAGACTTGCAGAAAAAATGAACACTCGAAAAAGCACTTATCATAAGTAAAACAACGATAGTATTATTAATAATAATGTCAATAATAGTAATGTTTTGTGTAGTGTAAGAAATAAATGTTCCTTCATTTGATTTAAAATGAAAAATGTTTCTTTATTTTATGAACATCGCTTTACAATGTGGCTCGCCTTGAATTAGTTTTATAAATTTGCGGCTCCCAAAATTAAAGTTACTGGCCACCTGGAAATAACCCCTGTCCTATAGAGAATAAAAATATCGGTAAATCATTTTCATCCATGACGAAACAACCTCATTTCGTCATGAGCGAATCTAAATCCGTATTAATACCAAACTAAGTTACATCCAAGGTGGTTAGGAGGTTACATCTAATAAAAATAATAATAATCTATGGTACATCTGTAATCTTACCTATAGTTTTCATTTTATCTCCTGGACACACTGTAATCTACTTTTTTCGTTGTTTTGTTTACATTTTGTCTTGTATTTTGTTTTATCACAAAATTAATTAAATTCTTAAATGTTATGAAAATAAATAATTTAATTTAACAATATTTTTTCTATGACAGTGGTGCAGTTCTTTAAGAAAACCATAAAAATGAGTAAACCCTACAGATCGTCCAAAGAAAAAGATCCAGTAGTATTGAGCTACGAGAACTTTCTTCTTCACCAATCTGATATAAGTTTACTAATCGACGATCAATGGCTTAATGATTCTGTGATTGGCTTCTACATGGAATACTTAAATAACGATGTGTTTAAGAACAGTTCTAAAGTATATTTTATCAGTCCGGAAATAGTTCAATGTATTAAGGAATGCAATGTAGATGATATAGCTGTTTTTCTTGATCCACTTGTCAAAGACAAATCTTATTCTTACATTTTTTTCCCGCTGAATGATCAGGAACAACTGCAATCAGTTGGTGGTACACACTGGTCGTTAGTGGTTTATGGGACAAAACATAGGCGTCTTTTCCATATGGACTCTATATGGGATTCTAATGAAAAACAAGCAAGAAAGTTAGCATTAAAGCTGAAATTTTATTTCAAAGATATTATAGATATTATTACGCCATTACCAACCAGACAACAGCAAAACAGTTATGACTGTGGGATACATCTGATGTGCAACGCAGAAAATGTTGCTCGGTATGTATGTGCAAATTCAGATATTCGTGATGTAGATCCAGTTGATATGGAAGATCTTGAAAATAAACGTACCGATTTAGTTGGTCTGATTTATAAATTAGCAGGAAAAGAAATCTCTTCATAAAACATGTGAAAATATTGTTAATAATTTTTTTTTTTGTTCCTAAATCATATTTTAATCCAACACTTTTCTCAAATTAATAGCACAGTAAATATAATATAATTTTATTGTTATGTTGAAACTAACAAAATAGCTGAACCGTATTTTAATCAAACTATATATTCATTGTAACATGTATTATGATTATCGATAAATTATAATGTTGACACCATAGGCACAACTTGACCACCAACCTTAGAAGTGCTAAAATTATACACATCACAGACCAATAAAGGTAATACCCCCACACCATAATTATAAGCAACTACACATTTTATTTACAATTTTCTATATGAAATCATTTCATAACTTTATTTTTTATACACACACATTATATGTAGGTTTAATTTGTATTTTGTTTTGCTTATTAATTATGAAATACATGAATAAATTAATAAAATATTTAGTCTATACAATAAAACAACTAATTAGGTATTTTTGGGGATGCTAAAGACCCTCAAGTGATCCCCGTGTTGCGCCTATGGTTGACACCTAATATTTTATGAAAGAATCTTAAATTCTCATAAATAGCACTGAACATTTCTTTGTTGATTATTTATTACCTTATACGAATTAAAGTATGTAATTATAGTTTTTATCAGTAAAAAAAAAAATTTCATAATGGCAGTTATATTTTAGATTCTGAATGGAGTGACATCTGTTAGCAAAAAAACAATCTAAAGGCATATTTTGATTAACTATCTCAGTCCAATGGGCAACACACAAATTATGTAACTTAGAATTAAAACTGTAGTTTTTAGGTTGTGATTAAAGTTTAAAACAATACTAAAATATATTGTCAATCATAAGAGTTACATCTAAGTTAGTTTTTACTTGTTTTAAATAGCTGTAGATTAAATAATTGAGTATAACTACCTGATCAGGTAAATTTAATGCCTAACATCTATCTTAAATAAAATAATCTTAATATTATTATCTATACAAATTGTATTATTTTATTCTGTACTCATCTAACCATATTTTATTAACTTGTTATATTTAATATATTATAATTAACAGTGTTTAATGTTAATTAATTTTAATTTTAGATATAATAACAGAAATATTTTAGGAATCATTCAAATAAATTGTACATTTTTATGTACCTACATCACTTTAAATATGTTTGATCTTTTTTTCTTTTATTACAAATATAATATTTAAGGAATAGTATATTATATTTAGTTCAAGATAATTAAGCATTTGTTACAAATTATTATTTAATGATTTGATTTAAATAGAACTATAATTTTAAAATCAGTTAAATTATTTATAAGTATACTTGAAAAAAAAAACTAATTTTATAGTAAAATGAATTATGTTGTACGTTTGGGCTGGTAAAAATATTTTAATGGTGTTTTGCATTTTTAATTTTTATATACATTACCATGAATGAGCACCTTGTATAAATTTATAAATTTGTCCATTATTAAGTTATCTTTTTTTATTTTTAACATAAACTTACAACTATATGTTATTTCACATTAATATTGTTTAATTTTGCAAACCAAAGTTCTTTATTTCTAGCAGCTGCTTCTTTTTTTTCTTTTCTTGTAAGACGATTTTCATCCCAATTAAAAAATTGCTCCCTAAAAGAATTAGTACTTGGAATTGTACAACTACATTCATCAGTATCCTAAAATAAAAAATTTGTTCGTTATATGATGTATAAATTATGTTAATTTTGGAAAATAAATTCTTTAGTTTACTTCTGGCATTTTAATTTTTTCAAAAATTAATAGTCGTCTAGCAGTGAATGTTGTCAACACTTGTTCACAGTTTCCAATCAACTTAAAACTACTATGCCTTGGTATTTGAGATTCATCATAATGTTGTTTAAATACTGGTACCCAAAATAACAATCTCCCATTTAATTTTAGTTGCTTGGACGAAAACTTCATAAGATCTTTAACAATTTCATTTAACCCATAATCTACTTTAGAAGGGAAATGAATTGTTTCTTTCTTAACAATGGGTAAGAACTCTTTTGAGCCTATTCGTTCAGTTGGTTCTCTAATACCATAAGGCGCTGTAAATATTCAATATTTTTGATTACACTGTTAATGAAACAAAATAAATAGTTTATATTACGGTCTGCCAAGATACAGTCAAATTCTACATCACTGCGCCAACAAGGTATAGATGAATCGGCTACGATAACATCAATATATTTATCAACACAAGAATATTGAACCATATTAGCTTCAATACTTTCATTTCTTCTAGGTATATGCTGAAATGTATAGGAATATATTAAGATTAATGATCAACAATTGAGATCAAATAGAGATCATATACAATATACATTAATAAAATATCAAAATATGTAACTATTTATAAATAACCTGATTCTATAACATTAGTAATTACATAATAATATAAAATAAATTGAATTACTCTAGTTTGCTTTCTTGTAGGTCTTGTACGTCCGTGAAGCATTAAGTAGTCAATATCTGTTCCAATTACGTGACCGCCAAATTTTGCCGCAGCTACTAATAACGAACCTAAAGAAATATTAAAAAATAAGTTTAAAATAAAATAAATACACAATATAATGGTCTCAATATATATTTAACTTTGCTTGCATACTAATTACTTATTAAAATATTGAATATACCAGAATAATTTGCTTTAAAATTAAAATGTTAATCGATTTTGAAATTAAAAAAGTCCAGTATTCTTGAATTTATATCCTTAGTAAAATATTGCTTTATAAAACCAGTCATCGGAATTATATGTTACTTTAAGTTATATTATTTAGTCAAGGTATATATATTAAATATGAATAATAATGAATTCGCCTTTGTTAAGTAAACAAAATATATGAAATTTTTCATTCTGTAATTTTAATTGGAATGAACTTTTAGAAAATTTATTTTCATTCTTCATGTAGTATTAATTAGTTCTATTGACAAGTGCAAGAAAAATCAATTTTATGCATATTTTTTGATGGTAATTTAAAACAATGTATCTTAATAGCTTTATACCTATTAAGACTAAAACATGAAATGTACACACCACTTCCGACAAATGGATCCAATACTAAATCACCATTTGAAACTTTTCCTAAATTTGCCATCAACAAAGAAAGCTGTGGATCCATACTAGTATTGCCAATAAACGTGCGGTTTTTTAATGACAACTCGTGTATTAAAGATCGTCCACTTTCAGCTACCTGAAAAAACAAGTTTGATAGATTATTAAAAAATAAATTACCAAATAGCAATACATACTACTCGTCCAAAAAATGTACGTGTAGGAAATTCAGGAATATTTTTTGGGTCTAAACCATAATACTCAATATACTGAAATGTAACATCTGGATTTTTAAGATTAACTGGACCTTCAAATGGTATATAACTGAAAGACTAATAGAACAATATAACATCAAACTAAGATTAAACACGCAATATTTTTCACTTTACTTCTATTCTTTCAAGTTTTTCTTCTTTTGTTTGCGAATTACAAAATAAATCTACATCTACTTTAAATGATTTTAATTTAAATGGTTCAAGTATACCATTTAAACACTTTTCTTTTAAAGTTTCATGAAGTTTGGATATAGTTGGTTCATCAGCCCATAATTGCAGGGCACGTCTCATAGTTACTGAACGAGCAGATATTTGTTGAACAGCTTCTTCTGACGGCAGTTCAACAAGATACCATGGCTATAATAACAAATAGTAAGTATAAACAATCTATAGTCAAGACAAGTTAGTTGATACAGTTATGTAATAACTGATCAAAACGATTATTAAATAAATAATATTCTTACTTCATCGGATGGTGGTTCAAGCCATTTTATTGGTATATTCAACAGTGAAGCAATAGATTCAATTTCCTAAAAACATGAATTTAGAACAAATGAATCTAGTTATCTCGTAAAATTTGTAAATATTACTATGTTGATCTTACATGGATACGAAAAGCCACATGTTCGTGAGCGAACCAAAGTAAGTATATAAAACGTTTCATATTTCGTACAATGAAAAATGAATTGGTTCTTTTACGGGGGCAAGCTCACAATGATTAGTGTACAGGTTTTAAAGCATTAACATGTTAACTTTCTAATCGAAACTGATATCAAAAGAATCAACACGCTTAAGACAAAACCTACTATCACTGCATAGTACTGAATAGCACCAAAAGTGTATATTCGAACTCGGCACCCATATTTGTTTTCGGTTCTGTGATTGATTGTATAAATCGTTGAACATTTTATTTTACTTTTAAGTTGTTCAACCCTGTTCAGATTTATGGTCGATATTATTTTAATAAATGAAATTACGGTCCGCACATAAATTGCCGCCAAAATATGAATACATGCGAAACAGCCAATCGCGACATCGAAAACGAATACGGATGCGGAGCTGCATCGGTACACGGAACGCTGTCACCGGGTTGAACGAAATCGTCGAAATCTAATAATCATTAAATACCGTGGCAACTCTTTACGATTTTCAGTCGTCACAAAAAAATGGATGATTTGGACGTCAGAATATTAAGTAGTAATAAGTAAATAAGTAATGGTAGCGGTTACAATAAACGGTTTTTTTTTTTCAATCGATTTTTCATTCACAATCGTATACGATTATTACAAAAACAAATCGTAACCGCGGTTGAAAAATCGTTTATCACCGTCGTCGTTGATAATCACTAATCAGTAATCAGTCGTTGTCACACGGTCCATATAGCAGCTGCCGCTGTGATATCCCCCCGTCCGCGGCGTTTCGTATTGGCAACGGTATCGGTGGTTATTTTTTTTCGTTCTTGACGTTCTCGTGTTTCACACCGTGTGTCTGTGTCCCCCGTGCGGTCGTGCCAGTGTCGTTTCCCGTCGCGTTCCGCAGTCGCGCGTCCCACACACGGTTCAATTGGCAGCGCCGGACAGGACAGTCGGCCGTCTTCTCGTTAATTTCCCGTCTAAAAGTTTGACGCCAGGTTTTTGGTAAGCACGATAATTAATAAATAATAATAATTGTACCTGTTTACCTGTGTAATGCTCGGTACCGAAACGGTCGGTCCGGTACGCGAAGAACCCCGACGTCCGAGTCGGCGCGATAGCCGTAGGTTTTTAACGATTTTTCCCCCGGTCGCGTGTTCATCGATCGAAAGCACGGACATCCCCATTAGTTTTATTGTTAATATTATCCGTCGGTTTTGTTTTTGTTTACGCCGAACAGTTGTTAATCTAGTTTACCGGCTACTGTTTTCTCTACACTCATTTCTTTTTTTTTCCGTCTTTTGAAAGTGGTGTTGTAATTTGTTTTTTTCCGTGGGAATCATTAACTAAGGAAGTTGTGGAACTAAACCTTTGACTTGTTGCGCAAAATCACGTCGGGTAGGTAACGAGGAAAAGTAAAAAAAAAAAAAACACTATAGCTGCACTATTTAGACGTTATTAGACACTTCACACTTAGGCGGTGCATTAAAATACTGCACCCCGTTTAAGACCCGGTCGATTATTGTTGCACTTCGCCCAATATGTAATTGTGTTTTAAATGGTTTTGCTTTTCGCCATTGAAAAAAAAAAAATCTCCCCACGGGAGTGCGAACATCTTTATGTTATTTGATAACGCGCGTGTTTGTCGATTCGTGCATGTTTATCACACGTATCTTGGTTAAGTCACACACGGACATTAGACGCGTGTTAACGGGCAAAAAAAAAAAAAATGTATTTAGTTAGGTAGTTGGTATCGAACTTTATACAGCAATTTCGAAGACCACCGCGTCACGGTCAAATGTGAAGAAATATTCGAAAAACAACTATAGATAGATTTAAGCGAAAACGACAAACTTCCATAACTTCCTCATTAATGGTTTCCGCCAAAAAGTCCAAACACTTTTCAAATCGTTGTCAAAAAACACATATTTTCAGAAAAAAAAAAAAAAAATTGAAAAATAAAAGGTGTCCGGTAAATTAGATTTTTTGTACCGTTTACTCGGACCCGACTCGTTTCATTGCTGTTGGCGAACGATTCTCCACCAAAAAAAAAAAAAATTACTCACGAATCCCCGAAGTAAATTTGACGTAATAGAATTTCGATTAAAAACAATTTATAAATCAATGAAAAATGGTTTTGCCAACCACCGGGCGTCTTACCACAGTTACTCCGAGTTTTTATGTACCGGCAGGCTCGTAGGCTCGTAGGCACGTCATTCACATATTAAAATTATAAAGCTCGATATAAAATATACAAAAACCCATTTTTTTTTTTTTCAAATAGCTGTAACTTTTTTATTAGTTCATAACTCAAAAAACACCTATGACGTTTCCTTCAAAATATTGTTCTCTGTAACTTGCTTAACGGGTAACTTTGCTCTAAAATCGAAATTAAGCTATAGTTTTACTTATTCCGCGTAAACGTTGTTTTTCGCGTGTTACCCGATGGTTGACCGAGACAGTAAATGCGGGTGTAACCCACTCTTAACAAAAATACTTAGAGTAACCAAAAAAACTCGGCCAAAAATATGCAGCTGTGGAGGCCAGTTGATTTAAAAACGTATTTAGTTGCGATAGAACATTTGGATTTCGTGTCACGCGGACGTATCAGAATTCGTTTGTGATGCTCCGGAACTGCACACATGAGTCAAAGTCCTTTACGATATAAATAATATAGCTGTGTTATATAATCGTAACATTATATTGAGATCCGGTTAATATTGCCGGTACGCGAGTCGTTTTTTTTTTTTTTTTTCCGTCTGTTAAAATACTTAAACGATTTTTAAACCGGATGAAACAATAAAGGCGGCCACATCAGCTACGTCCATATTATGTAATAAAATGACAATGAATTCGGACTTATTTACAACGGATGAAATAGAAACGTTTAGATTCTGAGCGGAGCGAGGAACGTATTGGTTTCATAATGATGTTTATTTTATTATTTTTTAGATTCTGAGTGTAGCGGAGAATGTATTGGTTTTACTTTGATCATTTTTTTCTTTTTTTTTATTCTGTATACAAACATTTTACCAGAAATCTTGCTCAGATATATACGCGCGGCACCATTTCTGAAAAGGAATGTTATCCGGGTGGCACTTTTGGGAGGTCATTTTTTTATTTTCCAAGCGGTTTTCATAATATTTGGGAAAAACAAGGTTAGACAAATTTATGAAAATAATGATTTTATTGTTTTTCAATTTTGTTATTTGTTGTAATTCAGTTAAAAATATTCGTAGAGACTTGAAATTTATTTGTGTAGCAATGGTTTATCGTTGCTTATCTGTAAGCATACATTAAATTACCTATAACAGTGGCTGCATCGGTCTCCATTATTCTAGGACGTCTTTTTTTAATCTGTTAACAACTTTTCTACCAAAAATTTCTCTCTGATTTTCAAGTATAGTATTATTTCTAAAAATAAATCTGACTGGGACGGTACTTTAAGGTGGTAATTTTTTTTTCAGGAGTTTTCATAATAAATGAGATAAAACGTAGGAAAAACGGGAAAATGTGTTATGACCTATCAAAATATGTGTAACCGAATTTCGTTCAGAATCGTTGTTCGTTGGCTGTAATTAATCTTTTCGTAGTTTCTTCGTATATCTCTTCGATATATATACAATTTTCCCTGCACCTTCCCAACTTTTCACTTACAACAGTTGTCCACCCTCCACCCAAAGTGCAAAGACTGTCCGTTTGGTTTTTTTTGTTTTGTTTTGGCATTGTAGTTTCTAGAAAAATATATTTATCTACAAATCAATCCATAACAAGTGTTTTATAATAAAAGCTAAACAACGTGACAATTTCAAATGCTAATAAATATAGGTACCTAGGTCGCTCAAATCATTTATCGTGTGTATATAAAATAATCAAAATATCCATTTACTATGAAAATTTCATAATTTTTAACCGAATTGAAGCAAAAGAACAAATCCAAAAAAAATGAAACCGTACTGCCGTAAACTGTCTTGTTTTTCTCAGTTTTTCCCCGGGTTTCTCGTAACTGTTAAAAAATTACAAAGAAAATCAAGATATCAAAATGAGCTATACTGCTTAAGAACACCAACTAGAGACGATTAGCTTTCAGAAAAAAAGGTACACTTGAAAATCGAAGCAATATTTATGATAGTGAGTTGTTAACAGACAGAAACAAATGCGCACATCATAAAGTAAAATCTAAACGTGAAAAATAATAATTTTCAAAGTTTAAGCACGTATCTGCAGTGAAATCTGAAACGCAAAACGATCTATAAACAGTATCTGATACATGTCGGTTAAAAAGTAAAAACTGTATAGTATTCTGCAGAGTGTAATATCGTTCATATTATATTGTATCCCCCGTTTAATTTTTCTTTTAATTTGTTGGTATACTGTACCTATACAATATACTACAGACGTTATTATTTGTTAAATAAAAACACAAAAATAATGATGAAATATGATGAACAAAGTCGTATTCTTCAATCGTCGTCTACATATAAAATCGTTTACTTCGTTGTTACGTACTAATTCATTATACAATATACTATATACTTATACAATGCATGTAATTTGGGGAGTTTTTTTTAAAGTTATGCGATATCTCCAATACTACATATATATTATATTATATTACTATTATAGATAACGCATCGAAATACATAATTGTTTAACAAAAAATACTACAGCAACCCTCGTTGTAAATTTAGGTAAATATAAAAAAATACGGTTTATAATTCTAGATATCTATAATACATAAGTATACAGAATATATAGAAAATGTTATACGTAATGCTTTTTTTTTTTTTTTCGTCATATTGAGTATATTTATTTTATTTTAGTTATTGTTTACTACCTACTGCAGTTATTATATTGTCTATACAATACATTTTTCGATTGAAGCAATTGCCTATTAAATGTGTTCAACTTTTTTTTAACACAAATCGCAATAACCGTACTTGTGTTTATATATAACGGTACAATGATATTTTTATATAGTTTACACCGTTATATAAATACAAACATGGCCATTGCGATTTGTGTGAAAAAAGTTTAATATAATTGTAATACCTCTAATATGTTTAACTGTATTATGAAAGCATTTACATATATAAAATATTATAAACAGTAACAGTACTTCGGATTATGTGCACTAGTATTATAGGTATATATAGATTGTAAACTGTGAAATGGCGATGATGGATATAGATATGTAGGAGGGGGACAATGATAAGATGAGTAGCTAAACTTGCGTGGGAATGTGACGTAAAACCGGTGGAAAAGAAGATTTAAATATTGTGAATAGTATTATAATATATTAGCATGTGTTGTATATATCATAGTCATGTAAAACGTATGTTAACTTTCTATTTTATATAGGTAGCATTATCAATAGACTAAGCATATAACGTACAAGTATATAACTTGTGCGCATCAGATCTATGAGTTTTATACTCACACTGATTATTGACCCCCCTCCTCCCAATCAAAAATCATGACTACGCCACTGTGAAGGTTCGTGGTATTTCACCCCGGATCCATATAATATCGAATATACAATATTATATCGTATTACCAATGTAAATTATAAGAATGCAATCTAACATTATAATACTATTATACCTATTGTATCGCAGTAATACTCGTACTTATGGATTGGACCGTTTTGGGTCCTGCATGTCATACATAAATGGATACATATATAGAAAAGTATACGAAAAGTAGGTTTATATTACAGTGTCCTTGTGACACCTCGAATGCGCCACTGATTTAGACGTACGTATATAAATTACTGCAATGACGTAAACCGAATGCATGATTTGCGGAGATAGTCGAGCAAAAGACTATTGTAGAGTTTAGAAACAGTAAATTATTTTTTAGGACTCTATATATGGGAAAAGTTATTAATTTAAACTTAGATTTTATCTCATTAGACGCAATCTGTCAGCCTCGAGGATATCAAAGATTTTCTTTTTGTGATATAGCTGCAGGCTTATTTTCGAGTGGAAATTATTGCCATCATAATGACATTACGCTTTATATCTATTTTTGTACTTACCCATGTTTTTGGCGAATTCCATACTTCTGGAACAATAATCTGATACTGCGTTTGGTACTTCTTTTATAACACCGTGTTTTTTTAATATATCTGGTTAATATATTTCGATTACTAAAAATTACAAAACAATTTAAAACTCTTTATAAATTTGATGCCGTAATTTTATTCATGGTTTGAAGTGGCTAAAATTACAAAAGGTACCTGTGATCACTATTTTATTTGGAGCGTCCTATGTAGTCCTCAAACCCGACATCTTTTAAACGCACGTTTAAAAGATTTCTTTTTTAACATCTTTGAAAAAATCTTATCTTTTATCATGATCAGAATTAGGGAACTGATTCCTATAGTGTACCTCCACTACAGTATACAACCTTTGGTAATGTTTTTTCTAAATTTCTTTAGACTCCTCACTCGCTCAGAATTTCGTACGGCCGACAACCAATTTTTGAGTTATACGTATACCAGCTATAGTGTATTACGAGACAATACATATAACGAATTTAGGTGTTGTGCTACAGAAAGGCGTGAAAGGTTCGTTAATCAATTTTTTGCTGTCGTGTACCAAAGTACCTATATTATTATAGTTCTCGTCGTTTGTAAATTTATATAATATAAGAGTTCGAAATGAATTGCCCGCACTATAAACCTACAATAAAACAATTATTATTTTCTATGGTTTATTTTTCTTAAAGTATATAACCCGCGGTGGCACCCTGCAATGATGAAATATATGATTCAGTCTCTTGACAATAATAATATAAAGTTAACACTTTTATATAATACCTACTATTGGTAGGCCGCAGATTGTACTATACAAATATGTACTCTATCAATAGAAATTTAATATTTATAAATGGACTAACGATGGTAATGGGATTGTATTTTTAAATAATAAAACGCGTTTACACAATTCGAAAATCTTAAAAAGAAATATAATACTATTATTGTAAAACAGCACATTATCTACAGCTAATTCGAATAGTTTAGAATATAGTACGAATTAAATTTTTCTATTATTAATATTCTTCGAGGCGTACAAAGTTCGTCTCGATTTGATGCTCGTACCTTTTAATCTGGCGATCCCCCTTCGAGGGCAGGGGGGTTGTCTTGCAATGATGAGTTTCACGTTTCTCTTTACTACATCTTCCCATCTTTTTCTTCGTTTTCCAAAGGGTCTTTTCCAGTACTATAAGAAGTAATGCATTTTGGTTTCTTCAGGCGTGATGACCTGACCATCGTAGTCTCTTATTTACGAATTTAATTTTAAATCAATAGTTTATATTTTAAACGTATAAACTGTATCTATATAATATTATTTGGTCATTATAATAACTATTTTTTTATTATTATTTTTTTAAAATTTCGCGATCTGGGCATTTATTTATTATACTATTGTTTGACCTCTAAATTGTTTAATACCTATACCGAATATTATCGTATAAAATCACATAACTTATGCAATATTTTAAAATAATGTTGATATCATTGATATTTATATAGGTAAATTGAATAAATAAAATATATTTTACTATAAGCGATTTTCTAATATTTGTGTATTATTATTACGAAATCCGAAGTTATGCACGACTCGTAAGAATTTACACATTATCTGGTTCAATTTTATCGTATATACCTGCATTATATTATAGTTGACCGCTATGTTGTGAAATTTTATTTTTTAAAATTATGAAGTTTTTTATAACTTAAAGTCACGTAGAAAAAAATAGAAAATATTGTAAAAGTCAATAGGTGTAGGCGTTATGCTTAACACCATAATAATAATACTCGTTAGTGTTGCATGCTATCTCTTTTTCTGCGATGCATTTTTGTACAGACGTATAGTGTATATATCGTTTCTGTCTGTGCAGCTCAACAAAATAACATGTGAATAACATTTGAAAAGCAAACCGTAAAATTTAAATTTAAGTGGTTCAGTTATTTTAGACGAAAATTATCATACGAGATATTCGAACTAACTATTAATATAGTAAATAATGTAAATTTGAATGCGATTGCTTATACATTTCTCCCGGGCATTTTTTTTTTCAATTTTTCTTTTATGGTTTTTTTTAACTATACTGAGAAATTCTATAGGTTAATTTTGCTTTCGTATTATTTTTCACAATTGCATTGTCTCGGTGTAATATAGAAATAATCGGAAATTATAATGCTGTTTTAAACGTATATACTTGTTGCAGTGATGTAAGTATGTATTGTGAAAATTTGAAAATCGTGCTGAACAATAAGGTCAAGTTGGATGTTATCTGTGAATGGCTTGAACTTAAAAAAAAAAAATAATAAGACGATTTTCAAACGAATCGTGATCGCATCGTATATAATATGATGTTAAGTAACGAAATCAAATATCCAGAAAAACGACTGATGCAGCATTTATAACTTGGAAAAGTTGTTTATTTCCAACGCAAATCGTGATCATAGTTTTCGCTTTGATACCTTGATAAATTCGCAATAAGTTAAAAATATGGGAAAATAATATCTAATTTGTTTGTCGGACATTTTTTAAATGTCTGATAACGCGAATCCGCGGTCTTTAATAATATTGAATAAAAACACGTTTTGTAAAAGTATTTAAATGCAATTTAATATAATATTATACAGGTTGTAAACATAAGTATTATTTTTTTCAGTTTTGGTCGTCAAATATAATGGATATAATATCTAAGTGAGTTTGAAACTTCGATTCAATACATTTCTATGTACACATATCAGACGTTATTAAAATGTAATTATATACAGTACATAGATAGACATTTGTATACATTGACTTATAACTTAACTATATAAATAATATATTTAATATTACATAAACGAATAATGAATATCATTGCGAATTATTTCCACATTAAAAAAATCCAAATCTTTTTTCCATACGTTTTCTATTTAAATATGTCCGTATTGTCGTTAGTACCGAATGTATAAAGCAGTTTGAATTATTATTACTTTACTGTAATGATGAAAGTCATTGGCGGGATTATAGACTTTCATGGCAGTAGTTTTAAGCAAATATTCAAATTCCGCTCGAGCTTAATTAGGATCACTTCTTTTAAATGCACCCAGTGGCGTAACTATAATAGGGCAAAGTGAGACAGTGCTCCGGGACCCCAAAGCTCGAGGGGGGGGGGGGCCTCGGATAATTCTAAAATTATTTCCTTAAAATAATTGCAAATTTTGATGTATTTAATAATGAATGTTTTAAATCTTACGTGGTAATTTCAGTCACGATCAGTATTTAAATAGAAAATAATACACACAATAATATTTATTATTTTCATTTGTGGTTCCATAGTAAGTATTTAGATTTAAAAAAGCATTGTTACGTGTAGGTATATTTCGAATTTTCATAAAGATTATATTAGTATATAGAGTTTTTTAATTGCCGCGGGGCCCTTTCTCATCTAACAACGCCACTGAATGTGCCACCGGTAATTAGGACTTTGTAAGTACAGAATTTCGATATTTTTAGACCATAAATACTCGTGTACATGTCTACACAATCATTTATAATACTAGATGTACATATACATTTACAGCGAAAGCATCTGCGTATTCTGCTTTTCCCGTGTAGTACCGCCTATTATCGAAATTAAACTAACGATCAATCGATCAATTTATAGTATTAATAATTTGATTAGTTTTGCAAAATTATATAATATATTATTATTTCGCGTGAAATATGGATTATGCATAATTCGTAATGCATATCATACGCGACTGTTTTGTATTTTCACTACGGCCTGAATACGATCACAATAATAACTGTCGTATACGTACACCTATAATATCCGCCTGTAGATTATGTGCACCGTAAGGTGTATAATAATATATAATCATTATATTATTATTTCGATAATGTTCAATTATTTTGCTGCAGCCGTGTTATTTAGAGGAATTATTACTTTCATCTTTTGTATACTTATATCTTGTGTCTTTTGGTCACTGTAGTGATATATGTGGGACAAGGCTCCTGTTTCAATCTGTTTTATTGTTTCCTATGTACATACACTTTTAAATGCGCATTGTGTTTTATGTGAAATATTAAATATGAATATTTTTTGACTTCGGCCGAGTAACTGCATAAAATATTATTAATAACCCCCGTAATAATAATAATATGTTAACATTTTTGCGGTTCACTTTCTCCTGCCGCAGTTATTATCGAAGGAACGTCTACGAAAATTTATCTTTCTTTATACAGTAGGGTACCTATTATATAGATCGACGTGCTATTATAGTTCTTCTAAAATTATATTTGATTCTTTACGTTATTCGAAATTCGTTTACGTGTACAATTATTATTGTATTTGTATTATATTTACAGTAACGATATTATGAATATTACTCGTATACTCAGGAGCGTCCTTATGGGAGGGGGGCGATGGGTGAGATCTTCTTTATGAAAAAATGTGAACGATTTTTGTTTTCAAGCTGACGAAAGTCAACTGTTGTTAATTTATTAAGTGATATTTATAGCTTGTTATTTAAAATATTATAAAATATTTGGACATAACTGTATGATGATTTTTAGGGCCTTAGTTATTATTTAATTTTGTTTTCGTATAAATAATTATATAATTGATTTGTGAAATTCTCCTAGGGATATAAAGTGACATACCTAACCTGTACTTGCAGCCGGGGTTATGAACTCACGAATAAAAGTATAAGTACACATTCCCGTTTACCGCGCGCGTGATGTGTCATACCGGTTTTCCCTCCTGACACTCGTACACGACGGCGCGTTATTTTCATGGTCAACTTGTGCATATTTTATACCCAAGTGCCAAATCAATATCATTATGCACACTAAATGTATAAATGTGATTTAACAAAAAAGATATCGACTTACGATCGGTAAGACGCGCAAAAGTTGGGTTAACATATTAGCTAACTATACATATTATATAGTTACTGTGATAATAATAATAAAAAAAAAAAAGAACTGAAAAATATGTAGATAAAATTAAAAGTAAAAGTATTTGATGTATTTTATATGTATAAGTAAATATATTATAATTGATTAACTTTCTCATAGATAAATCATTTTAATCGATATGTTTTTTTTTATTAAAAACTATTTTGTTTTTAATAACTTCAGCAACTTTGATCATTATATAACCACATAACATTTGGTTAAAAATTAAATACTGTACATTGTGAAACATGGGCAATAAATAAATTGATAGAATGACTTAGTTATTTTCAGGAATCTTATCGTCTGTGCTGTTTCACGATATTTTCGATATTTACACTGATAAGCCAGAGGATATAATAAGTAGCTTGTGGGTTATGTAAAATTTGAATAGGTCTTAATTCTGTTAGCATATTATGTGCTCAACCGTTAGGCTGATGATGCCACAGTTGGATCGACTTGAGGTTGTTCCTTTGCCCTTTCCCGCGTGAGATTTTGTTGAATGTAAAATATTTTTTTCCATTTTAATGGTTGAATACCAATAAACATATATGTATATATATATATATATATATATATATTATACATATGTTTACTCAATAATCACAGTATATAAAAAAAAAATTGAGCATTCTGAAAGTACAAAGTAAATTTATAAGGTTATCATACAGCTACTATTTTTATGTATTTGACAATCAGTTATAATAGGTACTTTAAAGTTTATAAAAAAAGAAATTATAAAACTATTTGATTTTTTAATTTTTTTATGTACTCAGACAAAGAATACCTACCAGCTGTTGAGGAATGTGTATATGTGAATGCATACAGTGTGAAAATATTGAATGGTGAATGAGAATGCATTACTTTTAAAAGGAATCTTTTAAACACCAGATTTATTTTATATGATTAAATAAATATTGTTACTATTTTTATCGCACATGATATATTCGGTTTTTTTTTTATACATATATACCGAATAACACGTGTGAAATAGAATAAAAGTTATGAAATATACATAATATTAAATATATTGCAGTGATTTCTATGATTTTTACCGCTAAAACACTCTTACTGGAGGATATTTTTAAACACGAGTAGCTGCGATAGTATATACTTTAAGTTTTTTATATTTTCATCAGATACGTTTACTGGGACGTGTTATTTTTTAAATATCATGGATTGCTGCGGAAAACAATAATCGTAGTAAAATTAAATCGATTATTAAAAAAAAAAAAAAATAGATATACCATACACATCGTATTATACGACTTATTATGTACAACGACATCAATAAACGACCCGTGCGATAATGTGTCGTCCATTGCCATTGTGATATTATTTTTTTTTTCTATCCAGTGGCAATTGGCCAGAACGATACTGTATATTATATGTTAATTGGATTGGGCCGGCCTTTTTTAATGCACTAGTGACGAGTTCCCCGGCATATAAAATAAATATATTATATACATTATTATACATTAATCCTCAAATCCGTGTATAATAGTCGTTATATATACGGTCTATGCAGAAATGATTAAAGATAATCTAAATTTATAATGCATGCATAATTAATAATTATATACCTATGTAGGAAGGTATTATAGCTAGGTATGTTATTATTTTGTCAATTCGTCTCCGTTAATACAATTCAATATTTTAAAATGTATATAATATACCTATTCAACATAATTTTATTTTAGTCTAATAAAACCTTTTAAAAATATTCCAATTGTCCGAACAAAATTCGTGGATAACCACTTATCTTTATCTATATACTTATACATATCTAATAGTATTATTTTCAGTACAAAATTCTATTTCTATAACTATCTGTTAAAGTGCCCGGAGGGGGGCAAGCATTGAAAGACGAAGTCTTCTGTTTTATTTAAGTTTAAATTATCCATTCCCTTTAGTATAATTCGTTGAGGTCTGGAAGATTGTTCAATACTGGCTTACACATTATAGGTTCAGCTATAGAACAGGCATAATATATTATATATATTATAAGTACAATAATTTTTGACGGTGGGTTTATATTTAAAGCCTATTGAATTCTATATCATTTTGTTTTATCCTATTTTGTACAATATTGTTATGAACAAATGTGTATAAGAGAATAAACATTTTGAAAGTTTTGACTCCGCGGGTTTCCAAAAAATTTCGTTGGATTTAGTTAATAATTAGTTAATAATCAGGTACGATCCTCAATTTTCGATAGTCCTCCCCCTCCGACATTTTTCTTTAACCAATGCCTATAACCTGAACGCGTGTATATTATTATAGTTACAATTGTTTTAAAATTGTGAATTATCGTAGTCTGTATACATATTTAATGATGTATGTATCTATTATTAATTAAAAAATATACTAAATTCTCAGCTTTTAAACTCGTTTTAAACAACAAATTATAATTCTATATTATAAATGAAAATTATATAATACGATCATGTGTTGGAAACGTAATTAAATTAAACGCGGTTATACGGGCTCAATTATATCAGATCAAATTGATTTTAGATTTTGAGCGTGGCGAATGAGGGGATCTAATGGATTAACTATGATGTGTGATGGTGGTTTTATTATTTTATTTGTAAATAAATTTACCAGATGTCCAGATATTTCTCCGATTAAAAAATAACAAAAAACCTTTTTTGTTAAATTTTGGATTTAGTTGGTGAGTAAAAGATTTTTTTGATTTTCTAAACAGTTTTTATAATAATTGTGAAAAAACTTAGGAAATACAGGAACGTTAATGATATTATAATATAGTTTCGTTATTTTCGATTTTGGTTTATATTGTTATCGGTTAAACATGATCGTTGAATGCTGAAATGCCCATAGAATACTTATATTAGCCTTTTCTAGACGCGGTAAAATGTTTAAATATTATTGTGACGATTTTTATATAAATAGCTAAACAGCTATTCATAGGCATTTTATATTTTCGAATTTTAAAATTGTTTGACCAAACAGAAATGCTCAAAAATTTAACACAAGGTTCATTAATTGATGTTCTTGGAAATAATAAAAAAAAAAATTGAGCGTTATGCAATGATTATTTTTTTTTATAATCGTTGTAAAATCAAATTTTAACGAAAATCGTAAATATTGCGGCGTTTGAACTCGCGTTTAGAAACTTAAAACTTATCTATAATGCTAGTCGTTAACTAAGAAACATAATATCATTTACAATGATAACGAGCATAGATAATCTAAAAACATTTAAAGAAAAATTCTTTCGCTCTTTCGATACATTATAAATGTAATACTGTAGACCGATTATAGAGATGTTTGCGTGTAAATTTATAGGGTTTTATTTTTAATTTTCAGCGGCCAGTAATTAATAATGAACGATTACGCGGCTTGAATGGAATACGTACCCACTTGACTTGTTCGTGTGCGTGCGCGAGCTAACAGGATATATGTCCGTGCAGCATACTCCTCTTCTACGTAGTACCTACTTATAATAATATGCTCGTGCGCTTTTAATATATTATTCAATATTGCTTAATATCAAATTCTTTTGAAACTGTCCGCTTTTATAGTCGTCTCAATTAAGACAATTTATTCTACTTGGGTACTTAATATCGCATCCATTTGCATCAAGTAATATTGAATTTTAAGTATCCTAAAACCGTATGCGTTGTTATACCTGTCTAATTAGTATTACCTAATTAGTAATATAGTTGATTTTTTAATTTGTTATTTAAAATACGAAACTGCGAAAAAATGTCGAGTATGAATGATAGCTGTACAAATATAGGTACCTAATAATATTTATTTGTATCAGATTTTTAAACATGTTTTTACTATTGTAATAGACGATGATGTATAGACTTTTAGCGTTAATAAATTATGTTTAATTTTTTTTTCACCTGGCCAAAGTTTTTTTTTTATTAGCAGAGTTTAACAACTTTTCTTTTTTTAATTTAGTAGAAACAAAAATTGTTATTGTATAATTGTCTTTCTGTACAGTTTCTAATCATAGTACACTATAATCATCAATTACATATGTGTAAGTAGGTATTGAATTTCAAATTTATAAATATTACATTGTAGATACCGGTTATTACAATTTTTGTACATAAATCGCAAAACAGCTTTTTCTCAGATTCATACATGGATATAAAAAAAAAAAGATTATAAAGCAAAATTAAGTCCCGGTTGGGTGTCTGATTATAATAATAAGTAATGGTTAACGTTTGTACTATAACGTGTAAAAAGTGAAAATATATTATCTCTATAGCCGCAGGAGAGAAGATGTCACGATTCCTCTGTAAGGTCATCAGGTATTGCATGAGGTTAAGATAAGGCATTGTGCTTTGCAATAACAAATTCTAAACGTGCTTTTCATCATTATCCCTTCTATATTAGCTACACTAGTATAGATAACTGTTTTTTTTTACCATTAAAATGTGATGTTCCATGATCGTATAAATATTATACGATGTTACAAAAAATTCAGGAAATTTAAAAAAAAAATAATAATATAACTTTAGTTCGAATATTGTAAATTATAATGTATAGTCGATAGGAACATCAAAAATACAAATATGTCATGTTTCATACAAGAGAAAATAAACGATTGTCGGTCAAGTTAAGAACTATCATTTTTAGATAATCAATCGTCGTACAAACATATATAAATATAAATATATATTTTAGAGAACAATTGTGCCACGTCGTTTTTATTAAGGAAAAATTTTTTGCACAGTTATACATTGTGCATTATACTTGAATATCTAAAAACATTACCCCAAACAATGATTTTCGATTGGGTTGTTCAGACATGATACACAGTTTCTAAGAAAAGTAAAAGTAATTGTTGCATAGACACCATACGTATACATTTATTAAAATTACGTCTAAATTTTTTTTTTTTTATAGATTTGAAAAAAAATAAAAGGCTGCTACTGCTGATATAGGTTTGTCATTATAGTTCTAGAACTGAACTTGAAAGGGAGGATATACAGAGTAATTAAATTCATAATTGTTGCAATGATTAATGTTCGTTAATAATTCGTTGCTAACGAAAAATCATTCTGCGCAGAATATTATTAATTATATTATTTACTAAAGTTATACAAAAAATATCAAGTTTTCCCTTTTACTTATCAAGAAACCTACAAGGAAAAACAAAAAAAATGACCTCCCAGTGCACAAAACTATGGACAAAAATATACTACAATAAAGTTTCTATAAAGTATTCGATTCGAGCACGATTTCTGGTAGACCCAAAAAAACATCATATCGTAGTAAAATATATTCCTTCATTTCACTCAGAATTTAAAACTGCTGAATCATTTGAGAATAAAAATTGCCATCGGGACTTTAATAATGTCTACAAATATCGTTTCATTCTGGGGGATTGTCTGGGATTGTTTATCGAAATTAACGGTGGCTCCAATTACATAATATAACCGGAGGGAGTGAGTTTGGAGAAAATGCATATTAATTATTTTCGGACGTACCTAAGTGCATTCATAATATAAATTATGATTAATGACTACTAATAACATATTGATTATGTGGTACAGTTTCTTTTTTGTTTTAATTATTAATTACCATCTATGTTTCTATAAGGTTATTACGTTTTGTACATTCTATAGAATAGACAAAAATATTCCTACTTCATCGCTGGCCCACTGGATTTCACTTTCTTGAACGAAAAGTATGTTTTTATAAAAAAGGTTAAAATGAATAAGTGCATTATACAATTATCATTACACCAATATTATATTATTTTTTTCTGTAGAATTGAGTTTAAAATATTGTGAAATAGGTCGTATACCTTGAAAAGTCATCGAAAAGTTTGTATCGAAATACTATTAGCCATGTAACATAGAACTTACATATATACTCGTATTAGTATAAAAATAGAATAGTTAAGCGTTTACATTAAAATATAGTTCACTATATACCGAAAGATTAAAACAATAAAAAAAAAAAATGTATACAGGGTGTTCCACGAATATTCGACAAATGAAATAACTTTTGTTTCGTTGAATGACTCTTCTATTTTATATTTTTTAAAACTAAATATAAAAAAGGATTTTTTAAAATTCAAAATAGCCATTTTATAAATATATTTTGAAACTAAATGTCAATGTTAAAAATGTATTTACCAATGATGAATCGTTATGTTTCTACAGTTTTTTGATGTTTACAAAAATCTATAGCAAATTTATTTTTTAATACAAAAAATGTGTAATCAACTACAAAACAAATTTGTTAATGATTTTTGTAAGATTCGACTATTTTTAGAAATTTAACGATTCATCGTATTAGTAAATATTAGTAACGCCAACATTTTGGTTCAAAATATATTTGTAAAATGCTTGGATTTTGTAAAAAAAAAAATTCAAAATATTGAACAGAACAAAATGTATTGCATTATCGTATCTTCATGGGATAGGTACCCTGTATGTATTATAAATTGTAATCATGTTTTTGGAGATTAAATTCGAATTTGTGTTAATTAAAACGAAACGTTATTCATATTTATCTAAAATGTTTATCTCTAGAACGCCGCAGTTATCGTGTATAGGAAATAAGATTAAAATAAAGCCTATGTACATCCTTTGGGTTTGGAGCCATTGCCCTCCTATAATATTATAATATTATAGTGTATGGCATTCATTTTCATTTTATAATGTATGTACCTAAAGCAATTTATATAATACATTAATTATGTAGGTATTAAACTATTATTATACGTTTAAACAATAGAATTTTATTACATTGACCGAATATTTTAGTCGTTTATGTATTAATCAATTCACGGGTTTCCCGATTCAAAACAATGGATGGTCTCGAATATTATTTTTTTTTTTTATATTATAAAATACGAATCAGTGATGAGTAATTGTGTTTATAATTGTATGAATAGGTAACATATTATTATTATAAATTGCCCAGGTGTTCAATTCAAATTTACTATTCCATTATTACAAAGTACAAATAATTACTTACATAAGTACACTTATATGATTATCATTATTAATTAGGAGGATAACACTATTCTTCATTTGGCCCATTTTTTTAGAGTACTTTATAAGACTTCGAACGCGTATTAACCGTCTCTGTCAATTTAACAGGCAACATAGCAAAAATATATTTACGTATTTCCAGTAGCCCTCGGGTCATATTAACTTGTTTTGCAGGATGCCAAAATATAATATGCTAGAAGTTATACTAAATAATGTGTTGTATTTTGAATAGGTATTTGGTGAGAAATTGGTATAATTTTAGTAAAAAAAAATAAATGGTTGAAGGAAAATGGAAAATATGTTATATTATATGAATCTAAATATTATATTAGTATTTTAAATTATTGTATACTTCAAAAAAAAAAAAAAAATGAACTTCAATATTGTGTATCAATTACAAATAACGTACATTTTTATAGGTTTTTATAAATATTATATAATATGTAAATATTTCTTCGGCGAACCATTGTTGTTATGGATCAGAAAACTTGATTTAATAGTTTAAGCCAATAATATTACCTATACAGTATAGATAGTTATTTAAAGTGTTGATAACATATTAATATTATTTTTTTTTTTTTTTTATGTTTGTAGGAATGCACCCTGTATGGGTGGCATTGCCATTATGGTTGGCTCTATGTACATCACTACGAGCCGAAGTGTATACAGCACTCTCCGAACTTGAAGAGTTGTTAGAAACTGAATCTGTACTTTTAAGAACTTTGCACCAATATATTACTGATCAAGAGCACAGAATAGCAATATTAAAAAAGTATTAATCAATGATTATTAATATAATTTTAAAACAAATTTAAAACTAAAGAATTTTAATGTGTTAATTTAATCCTAAGGCATGCTGAGGACTATGAAAAAGAACACTCAATTGCAGCCAGAGATGTTACTAATTATCTATCAAATCCGATCAATGATTATTTACTGGTGAAACGTTTAACCAGTGATTGGCATAAAACAGAAAAATTGATGCAAGACCCATATTATGATGGTAAGTTCATAATACAAATAAATTATTTATGATAATAATTATTGAATATTTTTAGCTGCTATGCAAAATCTTACTCAATATCGTGAACTCCTTAAGTTCCCAACTGATGAAGATTTAACTGGTGCTGCAACTGCCCTAATTCGATTACAAGACACATATAAACTTGACACAGCTTCAGTTGCCAGAGGAGAACTAAATGGAATTCAATACAGTACTCAACTCTCTGGTAAATATTCTATATATTTAAAAATAAAAAAAAAAAATTAGAAGAAATTCATCAACTTTCTTTGTTTTAGCTGGTGACTGTTTTGAACTTGGACGTCAGTCCTACAATGGCTATGATTTTTATCATACAGAACTGTGGATGAGTGAAGCTTTAAAAAGACATGAACAAGAGAGATCTAATTCAACAGTCCGTTGGGAGATCTTAGAATATCTTGCATACTCCACTTTTATGCAAGGTAAATAATAAAATATAATTGATAAATACAATTTTAATACAATATATTGTATATACCTACTATATTTATTTTTACAGGAAATTTAAAAAAGGCAATAGATTTAACTACTGAACTGTTGGCAATACTTCCAAACCATGAACGTGCTCTAGGTAATCTAGCCTACTATGAAGCTGCATTAAAAAATGGAACCACCGAAATTGAAAAAAAAGAACCATCTCCAAAAGTTGCTTCCACAATGTTAGATCCAGAAGAAAGAGATCGCTATCACATGCTGTGTAGAAATGAAAACTTAATGTCAATTGAACTCAGTTCTCAACTTCGATGCCGTTATACACATAATAATAAAAATCCTCTTTTATTAATTGCGCCACTTAAAGAAGAAGAAGCTTATTTAAGTCCTCGGATAGTTCTTTATCGAGATGTTTTATATGACAATGAAATAGAAACTATCAAGCGCATGGCCCAGCCACGAGTATGTTTGTTTTCCTGGATTAAAAATGTGTTTTTAATAATTTTAAATTTAAATTTTAGCTTAAAAGAGCTACTGTGCAAAATTATAAAACTGGTGAATTAGAATTTGCTGATTATCGAATAAGCAAATCTGCTTGGTTAAAAGAAGATGAAGATGTTGTAGTGTCAAATGTCGCTAAAAGAGTTGAATCTATGACAGGCCTTTCAGTTGAAACAGCTGAGGAACTTCAAGTTGTTAACTATGGAGTAGGTGGTCATTATGATCCACATTATGATTTCGCTAGAGTATGTATATTAATTGCTAATATTCAATGATATGTATTTTAATTTGTAAACATGAATAATAATTACTTAGTCAGAAGAAACGAATGCGTTCAAGTCATTAGGAACTGGAAATAGAATAGCTACAGTTTTATTTTATGTAAGTAATTATTAAATCAAAAGCCATATGAATGTTTTATTTTTTTTTTTGTAATTATCGTTTTATAATTGTAGATGAGTGATGTTCCTCAAGGAGGTTCTACTGTATTCCCTTGGTTAGGCGTAGCATTACAGCCTGTTAAAGGAACAGCTGCTGTGTGGTTTAATTTATTTCCTAGTGGAAATGGAGATCTTAGGACTAGACATGCTGCATGCCCTGTACTTCAAGGATCGAAATGGGGTATTTATTTTTTAGATAATCGTTTATCCATTTTTTTTTTTTTATTTTATAAACATATTTTCAAATTATTAATTATATGTATTTTTATTTCAGTGTGTAATAAATGGTTACATGAAGCGGGACAAGAATTTAAAAGACCATGTGATCCTAAAGAAAATGTCGAACAAACTTCCAGTCAATAATTTTAAACAAATTTGAATTTTTTAATATAAGTTGATTTTTTTAAATGTTTAATATTATGACATTATAGAACAAATATACAAATTCTACTTTTGTACTATATACAATATTTTTACAATTGTGATAATTTTTTTTTTTTTTAATTGATCTTATAATGTTTGTATTTAGTCAAAATAAAAAACATTTATATGAACTATAAATATGAGTTTATTTAATGTATAATTTTTACTAATTGATAGATATTATTAATATTAATACTATATTATTCAGAATATCTAAATATTTAGTTTAAACATGTTATCTATATATTAGTCATTGATTGAACAATCAAGAATTGTAATTTATCAAATATAACACAAGACTTGATACGTTTTTAACTATGAACAATCTACTTGATATTTTACTCAGGGACTGAGTTTAAAAGTTCAAATGAATTCCTAATAGTTATTAAGTTCTAATAATTATTATGACATGGTTATATTAGTTCGACTTTATTTGACTGTTTAATTATATTTAAAAAAAAATATTCTTTCAACACTCAAAAATAAATTAGATAAGAGGTTTAACTATATAAATCTAGAAAATAATATTTGAGTGTTTTTTTTTTGCATAAATAATAATATTGAATTTAACAATATTTTTCAGGAATAATAAAAGTAATTTAAGAGTTATGTTTTTTAGAAAGATATTTTCAAAGATTCGTATAATTATGTTTAATAGATCAATAAAGTAAATGTTGGGAACAGTATTTGTCAGGACCACTAGGTATTTTGCTAAAAAATATAGTAACAAATAGTTTGATAATGAACAAAGTATACAATTTTCTAATATTTCTACACAATTCATAAACCTAACCATTTAAATGTTTTTAAGTTCATATGTTTACATATTTTCAATCTCTAAACATTTGAAACCAAAAAAGACAAATTATACAATTTTTTTTTCAAATTACAGCACAACGATTTCGTTATTTTAAATTTATATAGCCTATGTTTTTTACCAGAAATATTGCTCCAACAGAAAAAAATCAAGAGATTTTTTTGTTGAATTTTTAATCTAGTTGGTGATCAAGACAATAATTTTTTGATTTTCTTAGTAGTTTTTTTAATAATTGAGTGAAACCGAAAAATACGTAGAAAGAATGAGAAAACGTATGAAAATAATTTTATTATTATTTTAAATTTTGTTTTTTTTAATGTTATTTAGTTTGAAATATTCGTAGACTTAAAATGTTGCCCAAAAGATTATATTTAATTTTTCTAGACGTGGTAAAACTTTCAGAAAATTTGAGCAATTTTTCAGGTATTTTAGACATTTTAAATTTGCGAGTTTTTTACGTAATTTTTATTTAGTAAGTACAGTAGAACCTCGATTATCCGTCCCCCGATTAACCGTCTTTTACGGTTAACCGTCACGCCACTTGTGTATGAGTAGGTTATAAATAATAATACATATATATAATCCGAAAATTTCCGGCAATATCTACGAGATAAGCGACAGGTATATATGTATATACATACATATATATTTAATGGATGAGATAAAACAGTTAATTGCGATAGTGATCGCATTTTGTTTTTGAAAATTCAGTCATTTATGTATTGCACGTGTGTTCGTTCGTTTGACCGTTCGCGTTTTTAGTCTCTTTGTGTGCAAATATTTTAAGTTTAAAAACAATGAGTGAAAAACGAAAGCGTGTTGTACTTGATTTATCTCAAAAATTGGATATTATTAAGTGTTTACGAAGGGGAGTAAGTGCAGTAAGCATAACACCGATTTACGATGTTGGCCGAACAACTGTAAATGATATTAAGAAAAATGCCGTTAAAATCGAAAGAAAATGACAAAAGTGAACAGGAATTTGAAGAATAAAAAATACAAACAAAAAATATCACCCACGCTGAAGCAGAATCCATGCTTTCCCAGTGCTTTGAACAACAAAACTGAAGCTGATGCGACTTAGCTATTACTGCTTCGGAGAATTAGAAATATGGCAGCCAAAAAAGCACGTAATATGTTAAAACAACAAAAATTAACCGATTTTTATAATATTAATTAAGTATGTATGTAATTGTAAATAACAAAACTTTTTAATAAATTAAAAAATAATAATATTAATGTACCAATAAGTAATAGTACCTAATTATATCAATATATATGTCATAATTACTAAAAAAAAAAATAATAAATAATATGTATGTATGTTTAAATTGTTGTTGCTCGCTTAACCGTCTTTTCGATTATCTGTCAAAGCTCTGGTTCCGAGACTGACGGTTAATCGAGGTTCTACTGTACTCTGTAGATAAATTTTTAGACTTAACAGAAATGCTTGATAATTGATAGGGGGTGCATTATAAGTAGTACTAAGTGGTAAAAAAAAAATGTAGTTTAATGTAGAATTTTTAATTTTATATTATATTATAAGAGTTCAAATAAAATGTTGAGGAAAATCGTAAATATTACGACCACCATGTAGATAAAATTTATTTACATCGTGATTACGGCCTTTTAAAACATGTATAACTAAACTTCGCTCCGAATCGTTTTTCGTTATCAATAGTTTATCGTTGGATACAGACATAAGTTAAAATTAAATAACTTTATGTATCCTACCTTCCCCATTATCCACCTACAACATTGTCCGTACCCGTTTCCGGTATCATCTCTTTTTCGATTTGCACCTATGCAATCCAACTAATCCGATCGATCCTATGCTATTCACCGCGTTGTCAACGGTGCTCATAGAAAAATTTCTAAATTTTATAAACGAATTGTAATTTTTCTGATTGGCCGCTTATCATCACCTGCAATTATAACCGTTAGACCTGTACCCTATATCATTGGGTAAAACCTAAGGGCTTAGTTCATTATAATATAATGATCGTATTCGTATATGATTTAAACAAACATGGATAATAATTTAATATTTATGAAAACAAATGACAAGGTTTATAGATAACGGACAATCTATAAACCTAGGATTAATACGCCTTGTATATAACCACTTGTATAACAAATTCATCCCGTAGTCCACCTTAGTTTATACGCAACCTTATCACTCATCAGGTAGCCCGCCATAGATAAAAGATAATAGTTGACCAATAAACAATATTTTTGAGCTGACCACTATAATCACTGACTAGATTAGCTGCAGCTGATGATGATTTTGCGAGACCACCGCGCAAGGATGTTGCAAAATCGTTACCACCGACCGGCCGCCGGGTTTCGTCAAGGAGTAAATTGTAGTGTGGTGTATTATGTGTGGTAGTTGCCTCTCTGAAACCGCATAACCATAAAAAAAAAAAAAAAAAAATAAACTATCAATGTTTTTTCACGTTCCTAACAAAAAGAATCACAAAAGTTTTAACTGTGACACCGTAGTTCATTCACGTTTCAGTGTCTCGACTATGAACGCGTCCCAACGATCCTTGATAATGAATGTAATGCTTCCGTATTTATAGTAGTCGTAATTCGTAGTGCGTAGGTACGCGCCGCACAAGAATTTGTTCGTGGTGTCAAGTCGATCTTTGGGATATCGCGTGCTGTTCAGTTTGCGGTGTGTCGGCGCACGAGATAACGATTTCATAGTAATCTCTAGTCAAGCGAGCCGGTCCGAACGCGGCACTCCGCTGTTATACTGTTGCTGTCGAGTTATCCACCGGTTTTCTCGAGCTGTATGTCGAGTTGAAAACGTTTCGTCTCAGCGCGAACGGCACACATACCGCCGCGGTGGTCACCCATGAGTGTTTAGGTATGTTTATTCTATTCTTGGTGGATAGTATGTTGTACGATATACTCCACAATTCATGTAGTCCCATCGACATTAACCAGTCTTGATTTTCGTGTGTATTATAAATAAATTGTAATATATATATGTCCTGTTAGACTAATCGACTTATGGAAACCTCAGAAGTCGACACTTCCATGCTGAGTACTTTGCACAGTAACCGATACGATTACTTGCGAACAGACGACAAAGAAAACTATTCTGACTCGGTGTTTTTGGAAGAGAACCTTGATAAAGAACTGCCAAAAACATTACCTGAACTGTCGGACATCACGGATAGCGATACCTACCTACGTACTCACGAACCTTCTCAACAGATGACCATTGATAGTTCATGGTGAGTTGTCAATAACCTGTTGATTCAATTATTGTTTATTTGTTAATAATGAATAGGTATGTTATTCATATTTGTATCGTTCCTACTCAGTCTATTTGTTTATTACTTTATTTGACTTTTTTTTGAGAGAAGTTACCATAATTATTTGACCACATACTTACTATCATTATACAACCATAACTGTAACTTAAGTGATAACTACTGCTGTCATATTTAGATTTCCATTTACCTAGTTACATATTTAAAAAAAAGTATTTTGTCCTTTTGATCCCAAAATTATTATACATTTAATTACATCTCTGTGTACTTAAAAATTAAAATAAAGTTGTAATATTTTATACCCTTTGCCTGCCCCTATGCTCGATTGAATAGGTGTTATTTAAATATTTTGGAAAACATCCCTACATATTATATTTGAACGCTTTATTCAATTTTAGTATAAAAATTAATATTTTAATAATTAATTTAAAAATAATATAAAATAACACTACCTAATTATTTAGTTAAGTAATGTATTTAACAATTTAAAATAAGGTAAACATAACTCTTTCCTTTTACCTACTAAAAAAACAAATGCTTAGGTAGTAAGTAAAATTTATATTATACCTACAAAATTAATATAAATTTAAAATTATTTAAATAAAAAATATAAGTCTTTAACATTAATTTATTTAGAATCTGCAGAAATTGTTAGCATAGTTCTAGTTTAGCCACCTAGCTAATTTTGATTTTTTTTTTTTCAAAATGTGTTAGGGTGTAAAATAATAAAAAAAAATAGTCAAACTTTGTTTGGAATATATTTATGAAAAACTTCAAAAAATTTGGATTTTCCGTATCACTTCAGGAGGCTTTGCAGAACATTTCGTTTGAAAAAAAAAAATTAAAAGTGTACATTTTCAGCTATTTTTCATACATTTTAGACTAATTTCAAAAATGCTATTTTCAAGGTTTGAGTACAGGTTTAACTTTTAAAGTAAGTATGATAGGTAAGTTTTGATTTTAGAAATCGATTATGCATTAAAAACCACACATTTTGAACCATAGAAAATATTTTATTCTAAGCATTATTTTTTTAAAAATTGCAGCAAACTATATAGGTACTTTTTGAAAGTTTTCACTAATATCTTACAAACAATGTTTATTTTATTTCTTTATTTTATACTCTCATTGTACCTGCAAAAATATATTTTGAAAAAAAAAAAATGCTAGATTGCTAAAGTAAAATTATTCAAAATCATTATTCACTTAATTTAAAAATATACTAATTATACAAAACTTAATAAATCTATTATATTTAATCTTATTTTTTATAATCCCTTTTATTAAATGAAGTAATACATTTTATATTTATTTTCTTATAGGTACTACTGCTCATTTAAAATGTGGGTATTTACATGGTCACATCTAATAACATTCTAAATATTCTAATGATTATTTTAGATTCTGAGTGGAATGAGGTTTTACAATGATGTTTATTATTATTATTTTTTTTTATGTTTACACTTTTTCTACCAGAAAGTATACTTTGATTGTCAAGAATCGAGCACCTTTTTTTGAAATTCTCATTAATATTCCAGATAATGAGAAAACCTTGGTCTTAAGGTTAAAAAATATTAAAAATAAGATTGTCATTGGCAACCGTTTTTATTTATTTTTTGTTATTAAATTTTTATTATTTTAATCTTTTTTAAACTATCATTGTTGTCATGGAAACACACATTGTTTTAATAATTTTATATTAATATGACAATGCCATATATTGTTGTATTGTTAACAATGCAACATTATTAACTTAATTCAGCTCGGAATGGTTTTTTCATTAGCAATGATTTATCGTTGCTTACAGATATACATTAAATTCCCTTCTGTAGCCTACTTTCACAACTTCCCACCTTCACCTCCAACATTGGAAACATCAAGTATCAGCTCGTTTTTTTAGTATTTTATTTTTAATTTTAATTTATTTATATTATTCAAGTAATTATGTCTCATCAGTTATATATAATAGAATAGTAAGAGGAATGAATACCAATTGTTTATTTATTTTATGTAACATGTACCAAGATACACTGTAGTATATCAATTTTAATCAATTTCCTTCAATCAGTCTGATTGATGTATTTTTTTTTTATGTTTTTATGTTTTTTTTTTTTGTGAAGCTTCTTAATTTCTGAAAACAAATTTGAATTAAACATAAAATGTACATAATATCTGTCACATAACTTTTTTGAATAATTGTGTATTTCATTGATGTATATAAAAAAAAACTACATATAATTGAAAAAGTGGCCTGGCATGAGATATGGTTTTCTTTTTACACTGAGTGACTGAAATCAAATTTGTTTTCATAATTTGTATAGCTTTACTTTCTAGATCAGATTAGTTGAATGTAAATTAGTCTAAATTGCTATACTGTGTATCTTTGTGTTACATAAAGAAATACATTATTTGTATTCATTCCCCTTACTATTATTATTTACATGAATGACAGGATATAATTACTTAATTAATATAAATAAATTATAATTAAAAATAATCATTAAAATATTTAGAATATTATTAGATGTGACCATGTAGATGCCCACATGTTGTATGAGTAGTATGGGCATAAGTTCCCCCAACTATATACCATCTTAATATATTATTATTTGTTGGTAATACAAAAACATTAACACCAATAAATATTGTTTTTTTTTCTATTGAAAAATCTTGAAAATAATGTAATAAATTATATATATGTATATATTTTTTTAATAAACTTACAATTTATAAAATTACCACTGACTAGTATGATTAAAGTTTTAAGAATCATCACTGTACTCTAGGTTGGGAAAAAGTATTTTTACACACTATTTTAGTAACATAAATTCCTTATTGATGCTCAATAGTGTCATTATAAAAATTGAATTTATACACAAGATGGTTTTAACCCGTTCTTTTTTTTAAATTGTACAGCTTGTTTATCTTCTTCTTGCATAGCTAAAATGCTTCGCAGGACCATCATTTCATACCCAATCCTCTATCCTATCCAATGATTTTTCTTTACAATTTATGCCTCCGTCTAGTATGATTCCAAGCCCTTTTTAACTTAAGTCTAACAACTAGTTTATAAGTTTTCATTATTCAAAGTATTATACATGTATATATTAACATTTGCAGAGTTACTTATTTAATCTATTACAGTATACTTAATTACTTATAAATATGTTTTTTATTTACTATTTTTAGGAATGATGATTCAGCATCGTGTTTTCCTACATCAACAAACTCAAATTTTCCTATAGCGCTTCCTGGTCCCGCTGACTTTGAAGAGTTTAGTAGTATTCAAAACGTGTCTAGACCTGAAACTCCTGGACTAGGAATAAATGCAATTTTCACTGCCGATGAGGATTTAGCTGACCCAACTGCTAAAATTGGTGTTTGTGGCCTTAGGAATCTTGGTAATACATGTTTTATGAGTGCAGGCTTACAAGCTCTCTTATCTACTGAGAGTCTAGTATCATATTTTTTGCATTTTGATGGTGATGGATCAGAAGATGCATTAATTGGACAATTTTCTGATCTTGCCAAACGTTTTTGGAATGGCCAGTTCAGTATTATTAATCCTCAACAGTTCAAATATGTGCTAGGTAAACGATATGCACAGTTTCGAGATTGCAGTCAACATGATTGTCAAGAATTTTTGGCACTTCTGTTAGATAGCCTAAATGAAGAACTATTGCTGCATTTTGCCAAACATTATAAAGTAACGTCGCGTAAAAATCGTAAATCTCCAAATCCTAGGAAGCTATTACCACGTGATGTTGATGAATTTGCTATTACTTCGTCTGAATATGAATTACCTCAAAATGTATGTGAAATTTTATCAGAACAGACAATTATAACAGACAATTTATCTGAGAATCAAGACTTCTTACAAAAGAAATTAAATAATTCTGACTCTGATCAGTTTCTGTCACCCATTGATAGTACTATATATTCAGGTGAATCAGAAAACCTCAAAGCCAAAATTAATGTTAGTGATTTGATAAATGGAAAAAGAGAAATTTGTTGTGATTCTTCATCTGATTCGAGACTTTTAGATCTCAAACGTGTAAAATTAAATGATAATAAAATATCTAAAGCAGAGCTAGTAGAAGCTGATTCCATTGGATCTACTGTTATTGAAAAGCGAATTCAACAAGAGTCTATAATTAATAAAATATTTCAAGGACAATTTGAAAGTACTGTGAGTAACAAATGTATATTTTATAAGCCAAAATTTAAAGACATACTACCACAAAAATTGTTTACAATTAAAAACTAATTGGAAATTTGTTTTGTAGGTTACTTGTCTTGAATGTAAATATGTTTCTGTGATGCACGAACCTTTTATGTATTTATCTGTACCTTTACCTTATGCTACTCAACAACAAATGTGTAAGTTAAATAAATAATAATGTTTACCATGAATAATATTTGACTATATAATATATTTTTAGATGTAACATTTGTTAGTGCTACAAACAAACCACCTATTAAGTACCTGATTACAGTTAATAAGCAGGACGAAATAAAAAGAGTTAAAAGTGAATTGGTGGATTTGATAGATGAAAATTTACATCCTGATATGCTTGTTGTAGCCGAAGTTTTTAACAGACATATTTCAAAAATATTAGTAAACATATTAATTATTTATACTTTGGTTTGTATTTCTGATTTATAATTCAACATAATTAATTTAAACAGAGTGATGACCATCTTGTGAGAAGTGTTGATTATATTAATCGTGATTTGTACGCCTTTGAAGTATTGGAAATAAATTGGGATTTTATGGCTGGTGAAAATGAAGATTATACTGAAGGAGAAATTAATACTGTAAGTCCATTTTATTTGTAATTATTTAATTTCCATAGTGTCCATTGCGCTCAGTATTTTTCTAAAAGCAAACGGTTTTTACAATACATTCTTGAGATTTTGTTTTGTTTTTTTTTTTTTCCATATTTATAATCTAGCTAATAAAGTTTTAACTATCTAACAAATATAATTTTATAATTTTTAAGTGGACAGTAAATATTAAAAAAAAAAAAAAATACATATGAAGTTTAGATTCTGGGGTAAATGTTTAAACATCAAAAATCATAAACAATTATTTCATTGAAATATCATATACTTAGTAGAGTTTACATTTTTAAAATAAAAAATATGTAATACATCTTTATTTTTCAATGTCTTCTGTTTTTAAAAGATGAAAGGTACAAATTTCAAAATAAAAATTTTAAGAAATATAATCACTTTATTTGCTTTGCTAATCATATGACAAGATACTATACTGTAGGTTATATCCTAGAAATAATATGCCCAGTTACTAATGTTTGTACAGTTATCTCTGAATGACCCATAGAATATTTATTGATAAATGGAAAAGACCATTTGATGAAAGTTCAATTGTCCTTGTTGTACTATTATTTGCATATGACTCCAGCCAAACACAAATAAAATAATAACATTTTTAAAAGATTATGTAAAACAAAGTCAGTAATATGGGACTAATAGGACTAAAAATAAATTATATTTTGTTCTTATTGTTGTGTATGATCTTATGAAGATCTTTTTAATAGACCTTAATCAAGTTACTAATTTAGTTTGTTCTGAATTTTAAATGAACAAATGTATTTTTCATGCAATAGATATTAATATGTATTTATTTTACTTTAAGATTGTTTTATTATTATTAAATTAATATTATTACTATAGGAACCAATGGACATAGATTCTGGAGGAGCAGCAGAACAAGGAGATACTTGTACGATATGTTTAGAATGCAAACCTGATATGGTTTATCATAAGGATATGAAAGATTGTACTTGTGTGTTGTGTGAAGAATGTATTAAAATGAGCTGTGTTCATTCTAGTGGAGAAGATGATAAAATGGACTGTCCTGTTTGCAGAGAGTTTATAGACCCAAAGATAGACCTGATTCCAATTGATCAATCTACCAGTAATGTAAATCAAATATTACGACGTTTGACTATTCCAATTGTGATAAAACAAGTTGATGATAAAAGTTTAATTGGTCGACCTGCATTAGTTCGTTTACCAAATGAAGTTCCTGCTGAGATACTTTATATTGAAGTGGCTAAACTACACCCTTATACTGAAGACTTTTCACTATCTTTAGTCGATGGTCAAGGGACCATGTGCTCCAGATGTATGTGGGATGTACATTGTGGTGGTTGTATAATACCTAAAAGTGGTATGGTTAGGTTTCGTAGTGGAGATACACTAGCTGTAATTTTTGAAGATTATATAGATGCTAATTTGTTGGAGACTGAATTGCATCCAGGGTCTACTGAACAAATGCGATCAAATAACCCACTCACAATATACGATTGCATAAATGATTTTTGCAAAAGGTAATAATTTTTCTTTTGTCTATGAATTAATTAAATCCTTCACGTTTGATGATCTTTTAATTAAAATATTTCAAATTTGTTCACGGTTGCAAAGGTTGAGTTTTATCTCTAATTAAAATTCACTACAAATTCATTAGTCTTCAATAAGATTAAGATTATACTTAACATTCATATTGGTGTACCAAATAACCATGCTATTATTTAAAATGTTCAATTTCACCATTTTATACCAACTATTATTACTTTTTGTTATCATTCTGGCACACAAATATTAATGATATAGGTGAAAAATAATAAACTAATAATTCATTGTCATTTATTTAAAATTAAATTATGGTTTTAATTTGTTGTATAGTGAACTATTAGATGAAAATAATCCTTGGTGGTGTCCATACTGCAAAAAGAATCAGTGCGCCACCAAAACATTGTCCATATCTAAGTATCCTAGATGTCTTATTGTATACTTGAAAAGGTAATAAAAAAAAAACAAAAACTATTATCTAAAAAATAAATTTAACAAATATTTACCATTTTAGATTTGTTTTTCATGAAAATTGGGGAATAAAACTACAAGACAGTGTAGTATTTCCTCTAGATGGTTTAATATTGGACATAAAACAAGAAATTGTATATGATTTGTATGCGTGTGTTTGTCATACTGGAAGTATGTTTTATAAATAAAAAAAAAAGTATTATTGGATAATAAAAATGTAATTAATAGTTATTTATTTTTATTATAGGTACTTCTATGGGTCATTATACATCATACACTAAACATTGTGAGTTAGAAGATTGGTATTGTTATAACGATGAAATTGCAACTAAATGTAAACCTGGGCAAGAAGAATATTGCAATGCATATATTTTGTTCTACAAGAAACAAGGTAAGTAATTATTTAAAACATTAGAGTTTATATATTAATGAATAAAACACTTGTAAAATAACTTTTAAAATACTTAGTAACTTAGCAATTTTTCCCAAAAGGTTGACTTTGCAATTAATAACCAAATTTGTTAATTTATGTATTATTTCAATATCTGCATATCAACTCTTAGCAGTTTTTAGATAGTACTGTCACGTGATAGAGCAAGATTTAATTTATCTCTTACGAAAATGACCAAAAATAATTTATGTGTGTCAAAACTAGGTGCTCAAAAAAAAAAAAAAAAAATAAAAAGTTTAATATCAAAATTAATGTTCAAACTATCAACTTGAAAATTTGAGTTACTACCGTTTTTGTTATGGGTATCTATTTGAAACTTGTTTGTTTTGGTATGAAAATATATTAGAAAGTTCAAAAATATATGAGTTCCATTTATATTTATAACAATATAAATTATTTATAAATTTTAAAATATTTACAATATAATTATAGCATATTTCAATTAATGTTTCAGGTTATGATGATGTGGATTCATCAGGACAATGAAGATATTAAAAATAAATACTATAGGAAATTGTGGAAAAAAAATAATATGACATTTTATACTTATGCTTTTAAAAAGCTAAATTAAAAAAAAGTTAAGGTAAAAACCTTGAAGGTTAAAATTTACTTTTAAAAATTGTCCTAAAATTATTGTTGCTCTGTTATTATTTTTATGATGATTATTATTATTGATTATTATTATTACTATTATTATTTTTAGTATTTCTTTATTTTATTATTATTGATTAGTAACTCAAGGATAATCCTATGTGTACATTTTAAATGGAAGTAAACTATATTATTTTGTATGGATTCATTTTTCACAAGAATACCAGTATTATTATTTAATATTATTTTAATACAGTTCTGGAAACTACATATATTTTATATTTTAATAAAATTAGCTATTAAGCTATATTATAAATATTTGTTTGTGTGTGATAACTCAACAAAAAAAAAAAAAAGAAAAAAAATAGATAAAAAAATATATTGCTCTCAATATATGTATTTTTATTTTGATATTATACTTTATTAAACTCTTAATTATTTTGTTATAATATCACATTAACATAACTTGTACCCGCCATCTATTAATATATTTATGTATTAATTTTATAATTCAATCAATTATATTATACATACACAGAAGTAGGTATAAACACTTGATTGAAACTGTTAAAAATAAGTTAATCTATCTTAATTTATTTAAAATTCTAAGAATAATATTTTATGTTTTTTAATTTTATACAAATACATCAAATACTAGAAAAAAATAAAAAAAAAAATGTAAGAAAATGAAATCAATTTTAATAATTGAATTAGTAAAACAAAAAAAAAAAAACCTATATTAGGTATATTCAGCACTTACAAGTTACAATTAAATTAAACACAAATAATAAATTTAAAAGCAATTTATTGAATAAAAAATTGCAATTTCTATTTTGTTTTCTGGTAAAATATAGTTAAAATCAGAATAGTTGTAGTCTAACGGTTAACTTTGTCTTTTCAAATAAATTTGACCACATCTAGAAAAGGTAAATATTAATTTTCTGTCTAAATTTCAAGTCTCTAAAAATATTTTAAATCTTATCGTGTCCAGTTAGGATTACCAATAATTTACACTTAAAAGTTGTTTAAATAATTTTAAAAAAAAATAATAAGCTGAGTAATAGGTTATTGTTATATGTAAGTAGTATTCATTTTGATTTTATTATAGCTACCCTATTCTATTAATGGTTTTCCATAGATTCCACGGTAAATCTTTTCCAGGTTGTAAGTATTGGATGGGTTGGATCATCTGATTTTGTTTCATTTTTCCATCTTTATAATATAGCTTGGTGTGGAATATTTTTTAGTTCTGTCGCTGAATGGATTTAAGTCTTGTTTTTTGGGCTTCATACTCAAACATGGGGTGTCTCTTGTTTTAACTGCTTTGTACTTTCTAGGTCTGTTTTTATGATCTTTATTTCTGGTGGGGCAATGCCTGATAGGCAGTATATCTTGTTTATCTGTATTGGACGAAGGCATCTCAATTACATTTCTGCTCTAAAAGTATTATTAAGTGTAGTGTTTATGTGTTTGTTATGTTTTGACCTACTCCACACTGGGCAAGCGTATTCTCCTGCTAAAAAACATAACACCAATGCTGTTATTCACATTGTGTGCGGCCATGTTCCCAGTTGAGTACCAACAATTTTCTTAAGTTAGTTGTTTCTAGTTGGTACTTTAATTTTTGTTTTTATGCATTGTTCTTTGAATTTCGGTAATAAAATGAAATAAAAACAAAATTGAAACTTCCCGAAAGGACCACCACAGTCAAATTTCTTTTTAGAAAAGTTGTGACACTTGAAAATTTGATCAAAATTTCTGGTTGAAAAGATATTCACAGAAAGAATAAACATCAAAAATCAAAAAAAATATCTTCCAATGAAATAACTAGACAAATTAAGAAAAAAAGATACTGTACTTGAAAATTAAAAAAAAAAAAACCGTAAAATCAATATACTTTTCACTTCATTCAGAATCTAAAAAATGGCTTGGACTTTTTTTAAAATTTTTTGGGGAATATGCAATTTTGAAAATACTTACACTTATGCATTTTAGACCGAAAAATAAAGAAAAATGTATTATATTGTAAAAAAAAAAAACCTAAAAATTAACATTTTTTTCTTTAAAGACCAAATATATACTCCAACATTATATTGTATAAAATAGCATTTAACATTTTTTTTTGGCGTCTTTAAAAGTTCTTATTTATTATACTATAAATATGTTTGCGAATTCAGTTCACAAATTAATTGTCAAGAAAACTCACCTAATTAGAGCAGCAAGGTCTCTGCAAAAACATTTAATAACATACAAATCTGGTCTAGTAATAATATAAATATAATAGAAAGCCAATTTTATTTTAATAGGTTCATTGCGTCATAATAAATTGATGTAATTTATCCCACCAACTTATTTATAAATATAATATGTATGTGATATAGGCACTTTTAATAAATAATATACAAAAACAAACAATAATAATTCTTTGTCAATATCTGTTGACCTAATTTAATTGTAAATTCTATTATAACATAACTAACTTAAATATAATATATATATGTATGCTTTTATTTGAAAAAATATATATAATAAAGATTGTTGAAAGATAATCAAGTCTTAAACATAAAATTATTTAACATTGTGTATATAATATATATTATTATAATATTTGATTAGTGATGTTACAAACTGATAGATTTTCAAACCAAAACAAAATTGAAAATTGCAAATTTATCTGAATTAAGTACCTAATACTAGGTACACAAGAAGTATCAAAAATCAGACCAATTAAGTGGAAGCATGAAATACAAATGCACACTTATTTTGAGAATGCGCTTGATATAAATATTGTAAAATTCACATATTATCAACTTTTGTCATAAAATTATAAAGTTATGCTTCCAAATAACAAATGCATTACAATTTTTATAATGTTTGATTGAGGTTCATTGATTTTAAGAAAAGTTTGTTTTCATCTTGAAAAAACAGGCTCATTATTCTACATAATATGAAAATGGTATATTAATTTAAAAATACATGTTTAAGTATGTATTAACGATAAAGAAAAAATAATTATAATTAGAAGCAAATTTATACCCTAATCTTAAATCAAATCTCATAAAGTTTGAAGTGAATTAGGATTTTGTACAGGTTCTACGAGATTAGATAAGGGTGGATGATGTTTTTTAATATGTCTTTGTAAGAATGTGTTGATCACAAATCTATCGTCACAAACATCACATTTATATGGTCTATCTCCTGTATGCCATCTGGTATGTATCCGTAATGATGTTTTTTGAGTAAAACCTTTTGAACACAGATCACATTTGAATGGTCGCTCACCTGTATGTATTCTCTTATGTTCAACTAAGTATTTGCTAACTGTAAACGCTTTACCACACATTTCACAAACGTGATTTTTTTCACCAGTATGTATACGAACGTGAAGTTTAAGATGGTGCGCTGAACTTAATAGTTTATTGCAGTACGAACACTCGTATTTTAGACCTAAATGTGACTGTATATGTCGTCTGTAGCTGCCTATGCGCCTGAATGCTTTTCCACAGGTTTCACACTGATAACTAACAGATTCAGTAGACGTGGTATGAACTTTCATATGGCTATACAAATTAGTTTTGGACGTACACAATTTGCTACAACGATCACATTGGTATGGTTCAGCACCGTGGTTTTTTATTTCATGTGTAGCCAATTCATCTTTGTTAAAAAAACCTGCTTGACAAGTATCGCAGAATACACTGTACACTTTTTTATGTCTATTTTCGTGATATTGCATACGGCTTTTATATGGTGTGCGATAGTCACACGTGTCACACGAATAAGTGATACTAGGATGTTCTTCCTTTTTGTGTTTTTGACGCGCACACATTGTATCAAAAGTTTTATCACAACAATTGCACTTGTATGTGGTGTGAGGATGTACATCGTTTTTATGCTCTTTTAATGCATGTTTAGTGTTAAAAGATTCTTCGCATTTTGTACACTTAAAAAGTTTAATTTTTATCTTGCGAGGTGTTTTATTCCTCTCTGTATTTTGATCATCGATTTCATTGGTTTTGTGTCTGTGGGTAAAACATAAAAAATATTATGGTAATTAAAACATATAATGATGAGTGATGATAATGTAATGATATTCTACCCATAATATAGAGGGAATATTCAATAATTATTACTAAACAAGTACATAATATTAATATTTACTGGAATTTTTGTATATTTCTGATTATTACAAGAACTATAAATTATAAGTACCTACATAACGCGAAACAACTTATAATCTAATTTTAAATTACTTAAATAACTTACTTATGCATTTTTACAGTGTCTTTAGTATCAACTTCTGATTGATTGCTTTCAGACCAACTTTCTGGTTCATGATATTCCGATTTATATTCTGTGTTTTGGTCATAATTAATGGTGACCACTGGTTCAAAACTAGTGGAAGCCTATTAATAACAAATGAAATAATATCATTTGAACATTTTCTTGAACTAACAATTGAATTAGCATTACAATTTATTTAGTTAAAAATATTTTGTAAATTGAACTGTTTAATTTTATCAAAACACTTCAGATTTTTAAATCGTTTAGATAGTGTTAGTCTCCTACTCAAAATTTAAAAGATAAGTATGTTGAATTGTATTGACTAAATTAATTGTATAACTGTATAATAACAATTATTTATTCGATTGGAAAGTGCGATTGATTAAAAAATCAAATTTAAGATTGAATTATTATATTCATAATTTATACTTGGTTGAAATAATTATTATAAAATTATTTATTATAGCATGTTGATAAAACATTTAATTAAGTATTAGGGCTCAATTTAACTTGCACTAACTCTGTCATCACCATTTAAATTGAATACAGCAAGATTTTAACAAAAGCTAAATTTTATTTTTTGTAAATAGACAGATAATTTAGTATTTGTGCTGAACAGCCACCTAATATTCAATAACCTTAATTTGGAGTAATGGGTATTTAAGTGGTTTTAAAATACATTATTATCGATTATTCACAACACATTTGCGATAGCTGTTATAGTGCTACGAGGTATTAGAAAATAATAAATTATTTAACTGTAAACATTTTTTAATTGGGAATTGTTGGCAGCAATTATCATTGGATAGCTGCAACCGGATGTAATAAATAAATCACTTGTTAGGTACTAGGGGTCCCGTTACCCAGGGAGGTAGGTGAAGGTGGTCATGTACGTGTACAGCGTATCACTTACCATATTATTTTGTTGGACGTCAACCATCGGCATCAGCAGCTGATCGAGTTGCTTCTGACATACGAGGGTGTTAGAGTAGTACGCGTGAAATTCATTGACGGTGTCTTTGCACTTGACGCACACGTGCTTGGGCAGATGGTCGGTGCGGGATATACGGATTTGCAAGCATTGGGCGATTTTGCCGGACAGTTCGTCGAATACGCTGATGGGCCATTCGGTGACAGCCAGGCACAGCCGGCACATTTTGTTGGTCAGTTCCATGAATGTTGTGTATACGTGGTCGGTTACGTTGACATTGACCGCCGTAGTCACAGTCAGCAAAGGGTCGTGGCCGGAGGATGGGAAGTCGTCGTTATCAGCAGCGCAAGTACTCGCCAGTCGTTTTGCTGGGCCATGCACATATTTTTGCGCGGTGTATTTTTACACCGTCAAAGCTTGGCGTTGTTTACAAGACAACTGCGATCAGACGGGCGAGCTGATAAGTACGTCCCATCGTGAGATAATACCGTCACAACACCTCCGGGCGCGGCGACTCAAGGTCATAACCACGGTACATAGTCTGTGTTACCGCACCCGGTTTTCACTGTTTTTTCTTCCACGGCCGATCGACGCGTTTCTCAGTTTTCGATAGGTACTTGTTTTTTGAGTTTTATATTTCAAACAGTAGCGCAATTAAAACTTCAAAATTCTAACGCCCGTTGCAAAATAGTTCAGCTGGCCCTTAGTTTTACACATTTGGAGGAAGGGGGTATGAGGGACATGCACACGCCCACAAAATTTATCTCTAGGTCTACCCTAGCACGTAGCTATATTAGGTCCAGGTGGGGCTGGCCCCGATTAAATTTAATCTGGCCCAGAGCCGGTCACCCAAGTTTAAAATATTATTATTTACATTATAATAAATATTATGTACAATGAAATTAATCTATTGTGATTACTATTAGGTAATGCAGTTATTATTATGACTGCATTTTCATTTTTATACTCATAGAGAACAATCACGTATTCAGAATAAATATTTTTTTTTTTTTTTTTTTTGGGGGGGGGGGGGTGAAGGGGGTTAAAATATTTTCAATTCATGAACTTGCAGTTAGTCTTTTTTATATTATAAACACATGCTTACTTAAACATTTCGGGGGTGGGGGGATTGAACCCCGTTGTAATTATTTTGCCATAATATGGTAATAATAAGTTGTTGAAAAAGCAACACTATCATCTGAACTCAGCTCAGAATCGTTTTTTCGTTAGCAATGATTTATCGTTGTTTACAGATATCCATTCAGTTCCCGTCTATATCCTACTTTTTAAATTTTCCATCTTCAACAATGGCTGCGCCCACGCGAAATATGGTAAAATAATCTAACAATCTAACTTAACCTAAAGAACCGGGTTTTCCTTACTATCTCGAATATGAATGAGAATTTCAAAAAATTATCTCTTTTAAGTACCATCCAGAGAACATTTCCTTTCAGAAAAGGTGCTATACTTGGAAATCTGGAGTGAGTTTTCTGGCCGAAAAAGACGAATTTAATGAAAAAAAAAAAAAACGGCTAATTGGGAGGGGGGGATTAAACTTAATGACTCCATCCCCGTGAGTACGTCCATGGTGCTCTATGTATAGTTTTGTTTTCAATTGTTATGTATTAAAGAATAATCGTAGAGGCTGGAATTTCCGCCAAATACTTATATACGTATATTTCTTTCGAGACACGGTATAATATTTAAAAAATATTCTAGACATTTTTCTGGTTATTTATAGACACTTAAAATTTTCGATTTGTTTACGTTCTTATTTGGTTTTATGGGATTATATATATTTTTTTTTTTTGTTACGAAGATGTTTAAAAATTTAACACAAGGTTTATGATGAATTTTAATTAGTAGTAAAAAAAAAGTTGAGTTTGTACTTTTTACTTTTTATTTTATATTTATTATAACATTACGTATACATTTTTTTTATAAGCGTTTAAACTGTTCAAAGATCAAATTTTAATGTTAATGCATTTTGATGAAAACGCAAACATATTTTCCGTCCTACTTAAAATAAACAATAGGTAAAAGTACGCTAAAATGTCTGAAAAATTAGTTGATGCACAAAGTCCCATTTTGTCCCCCCAATTCGAGCACTGAAAAATAGTATAATTACTCGTATCAAAACATAATAAATTAATAATATCTATATAATTAATTAGTAACAATTAATAAGTTTATAATATATACATATATAATGATACTAATAAAAAAAAAAACAGTTGAATAGAATATTATTAATTTTAGAATATTAATAATTCATAATGGTATTTGAACAAATATTTAAACAATGAATTAATGCATTTCAAAAAAATTAAAATAATAAACTACTGTAGTTTAATTAATTAAATTACGATTGTTTTATTCACTCACAATTTTATGTAATTAGCCATTAAACTCTGTGTATTTATTTACTTTTTGGAGGGACTCCTTTCAGTTATAAATTAAACCAAAATAACATCGTTGCCTGTTTGAACAATTCTCAAATAATTAATAAAAGTCCATGATGTTGAATAGTGACATTAGGAATTTAGAATTTTAATGGATTGAAGTACCGTAGAAGACGGCAGTAGACCTAAAAGTAAGGACGGGTAGAGATTAGACCTGGGTAATGGGTGTCAAGTAATAACAAATCGTTAATAAATATAAATTCAGATACTAATATAGATAAATTATTAGAAGAAAAAAATTTAAAATATTGTAGTATCAATAAATCCGCCGAGGAAAATGTCTATTTTAGTGACGAAATGTTATAGACTACCGTAAACCTGTTATTTTTCTTTTATTCTATTTCAGATTTAGCATAAACAGTAATAAGTCTAAACTGCAGTCACAGATGAAGTGGGAGTTGGGAGTTTTAGGTGATCAAAATTCTTCCCCTCTTATTTTCGCTCAGTTCGCTCATGTCTCAAGTAAAAACGTATTTAGCTCCGCTGAATTAAAAATCCTGACTTCGCCACTGGTTCAAATTAAAACGCGAGAAACATTTGTAAGTAAGAACGTATTTTATAGGGTGACACGGATAAATTTTAATCTGCTAGTCTGAATTTTGTTTCCACTCCGCTCTTGATAGTAAATTACATAATACAGATATTGATTTTTATGGTTATAAGTACCAAAAGTAACCTTTTAGGTTATAAGTAACCTAAAAGTTAATTTATTAACTTTGTTTCTAATGAATTAATTTAAAAATAATACGAAATGATGCTCAACATTTTTATTGTACTATGGAATAACATTTAATTTTAGTAGAAATTAAAGATTATTAAATTTTTGTCTTTTTGAAAATTATAAAAATAGATGTTTTATTAGTAAGTTTTGCATTTTTTACAGTGGCGGCCGACCTTAAAATGTTCCTGGCCCCCGACTGGCCCATCCTATACGATTACATAGAAATTCAGGTTTACATTACATATTATATTTTTAAATATATAGAAATATAAAGAAATTTATAGATTATAGTTATATTTTAGATTCTGAGTGTATCAAAGAATGTATTGGTTTTACAACGATTTTTTTTTTATGTGAACACTTTCTACAAGAGAGCTTACTTCGATGAGTCCGATATATACGATGTAGACCTTTTTCTGAAAGAAAATTGTCTTGGGGTGGTATTTAAGGGAGGTTATTTTTTGATTTTCTCAATAGTTTTCTCATAAAATGTGAAAAAACGAAAAAAACAAAGGAAAACCGGAAAATGTATGAAATAAATTAGTAAAATATTACCATTTTTTTTTCTATGGATAACTTTTCTTCAAGCAATTTTGATCCGATTTACAATGACACCACTTTTTTTGAAAGTAAATAAAACTGAAAAGGTATTTTAAGGATGTAATTTTTCGATTTTTTCAGTTTTTCAACAAATGTGGAAAACAGGGAAACACGTAGGAAAATCGAGAAAATCGCTACAATATTAAACAATTATTATTATTATTAAGTAAAATGCCTATTAAATTATTTTACCATAATAATCTCCATGGATTGATACTTAGGTATCAAGAAAAATGTTGGGCTCAGCTTGGCCCACCTGAAGTAAAAGTGATTGCTTAAATGTAATATTTTTCAGTATAAGTCCTTACTAGGACTTACAAGTTAAATATTGATACATATACAAGGTATATATTGTTGGTACTTATCAAATATATACAATTATATTTTTTTTTCATATTAAACTTTATTCAAGATATTTAAATTTTTATTTTACATTCGTCTACAATTTTAGATTTGAAGCGGATCTATTTGTTTTACTATAATTACATTTATTTTTTCTGTCTGTAAATAATTTGTCGAAAAGAACAAACTGCTCGATGCACCTATCAAATTTAGCATTTTTCTGAAAGGAAATTTTATCTCGTTGGTGCATAAGTGAGATCATTTTTTGAGTTTCCAAGGGATTTCAAAATAATTGGGAAAACCCGGAAACAAAATTATGGGTCAAACGATAAATATTTGTTTAATGACGTTTACGACTCGACTGTCGAAGTGACCTTATTCACGGAGAGCATCAGATATATCTGAGGTAAGGGTCGAGTAGTGAAGATTTCTTGTAACAATCTTATAAGGTCGATATGTTAGTGGCATGCAAGTGTGAAAGGAGGCATCAGTGGCCAAAAGGTGTTACGTAATTATATTACACTTTAGACGTCCATGAGGACGGACAGTCAAATGAGAAAGCGACTTACATGAGAACCCGATTGGGCCAGTGAGCTGTACTAACGTGTTTCTGAGAGCGGGGAAATTATTTATGTTTTGGACATAAATTGGCGGAGCCCTGATATCGTCATGTTGAGGGAAAACAATAGTTTCGTCGATTGCGTTGGAAAAATCACAGATGTTCGAGTTCGATTTCGTTGTCCTCCTCGGACGCCAGAACAGCGAAACTGTTCGGTGAAATATGTTTTTGGTTTGTTGTCATTTTGGATTGGCGACAATGAAGAAGTAGACAAATTTCTTTTGGAGGGAATGTGTGGGCGCGGAGAAACTGGGCCCGCTTTATGAACGTTTTTGTTGTTCATATTCCGTTGTTAACAAGGGAAATATTTAGTATTGGTAATGAATGATAATTATACAATTTAATGAGTGTGCCCAGAGATAACGGAGCGAAACCATACAACGCAACGTGCGTGTGTTCATAATGTACTTAACGACCGAACTGATATGTGACATACTATGGTAAAATAATTAAATAAGCATTATATACTTTCTTTAATAATATTTGTTTTATATTGTATTGATTTTCCCGTTTTTCCGTGTTTTTCCCCGTGTTTCACATTTGCTGGGAAAATTCTTGAGAAAATCAAAAATTGACCTCTCTAAGGCACCTCTTCAGTCAGATTTCTTTTCAGGGTCTGCATCGTATACGTCGGAGTAAGCTTTCTGGTGGAAAAAATGTTCAAATAAAAAAAAAAAAAATAATAAACATCTTTGTTAAATCAATACATTCTTCGTTCCACTCAGAATCTAAAACGTAGAAAATAAGAATGAAAAAAGTCTACAGAAATTATAGTTTTATTATTTTCAATTTTTTTTTTTTTTAAATTCATAATAAAATTGAAATTTTAACAGAAAACCTATATTTACGTTTCTTAGACGTAGTTAAATTTTCAAAATATTTAGGTGATTTTTGAGCTATTTATAGGTATTTTATGTTTGCGTGTTTTTTACGTAGTTTTCATTTGGTATAGGTATTATGTAGGTATACGAGTAATTATTTGAACAAACAAAAATGCAAAAAAATTTAACAGAAGGTTCATTATGAGTTTTACTTAGCGGTCAAAAAATAAAAGTAGACTGTAATTAAGTCATTTTTTTTTTTATAATTTTTTAAGATTAAACATTGAAGGAAATCGTTAAAAATTACGGCCTTACAAATCATATATAAACGAACTTCACTCAGAAAGTCAAAATCGTTTTTCGTTAGCAATGGTTTATAATTGTTTACAGATATATATTAAATAACTTTATGCATCCTACCTTTCCAACTTTCCGCACACAACAGTGGCAACACCCGTCCTCAGTATCGGCTCTTTTTTTTTCTTAATATTTTTTTTTTTTACTTAGTTAGGATAAACATAATGTGAATCATATTCAATTAAATTGTTATCGTATTTCTGCAAAAGTAGCTTTAATTAAAAATACATATAATGTTACAAATTTTAACAGTCAATTAATTTTCCATTAGGTGAATAAATTCTTAATAGAATTTAGTTTATTACACAATTTAATTGACTTAATATTCAAAATGAAAGACCTTATTAGATTCGGAGCGTAGCGAAGGATCTATTGGTATTACTATGATGTTGTTTTAGATTGAGAACGTAGCGAGGTTACGCTGGTATATTGGTTTTACTATGATGTTTTTTTTTAAAATTTTTTTTCTTGTATGTAAACAACTTTTCAAAAAGAAAATTTGCTCTGAAGTATGATCCTAAGGAAACGTCCCGTAACCAACGGATGTTACAGGCTTGTTAACCGAATTTTAATGGTCTCCACGATTTAAGAAAAATAATCGTGATGGTTTCCGAGGTCATCCTTTCATTTGACAGTAATAAACGGAGTGACTATAGCCACCCATACATTACAATGAAAAATTGAATACACTCGTACGTCAGTTTTCATCGTTATCTACCTAAGATAAAACACAACGCATCGGTCAAAACTAAAGTGTATGGATGAAATCCGAAACACGACCGTTTTTACATCTGTCAAATCTTGATTTTAAACATGACAGTTTTATTTTGACGATAAAAACCTTAGTATTTTATCGTCGTGTTAGTCTTATACCCTGGTTATAATAAGTGTTAGTTAAACCAGCAGTTTTCAAACTTTTACAGTTACGGTACCCTTAGGAAATAATTTGTGTTTCGCGAAACCCCAATTTCAGCTCAATCAAAATTTATTTGTATTCTGTTAAATGTAAAGATTAATTTGTTATAAATAAATTCGTAAGGTGTGTGTGTGTGTGCGGAACCTTTATAATTGTTAACCGGTAAGTTCCTTCTGGGAGTCATTTGGTTAGACTGATAACCCGTCCGTCAGGTATTAAAATATTCTGATGTATTTCAAAACAAATTTAATTTTGAAAGGTATGAAGGTCTTAAACGTCATATATTAAACTATATTCAGTAATATAATATATCTTATTGTATAATCAATTCTAAATTATAGCAGCTGTATAATACAATATTTGGTATTTATATATATATGTGTATAAAAAAATAACAATTTTGTATAGGTACCTAATATTAATTAGGTATCGGAAATATCGTACTTAAAGTGATTAAAGTAAATCTTAACTAATTTTTAGCGATATTTTATTACATTTAGTTGTATAATTATATTTCATAATATTAAATAGGTAGGTATGTTAAAAATATATACCTATACTTTACATATTTATAGCGTTTAGGTATTAAATTCTAAGGTCTGCTTATTATAATTATAAATTACACAGTAATATTTGGTAGGTACCTATGATTTTACTATAATTTTGAATATAAATGTAGTTATTTTTTTTTTCGATTATAAAAATAGTTTGTACATAATAATATTATATAGTATATATATATATATATATATATATATTAGTAGGTGGTAAATAAATTTAAAGTTTAAAATTTAAAAAAAATGGTAGACGTTTATGATAATATTAACATAAGTGTAATAGGGTATACCTAGGTATGTAATACCTATAGGTTTATTGTAATGTATTTATTGATTATCGGCCCAGGTTACGTGTCTCGGTTGAAAGTCAGAATTTAAAGTTACACGGTCGTTCAAGACCTTTTGATTCGACCGCCGAAAAAACGACCAACACCCTATTACGATTAGTGTCTGCATAGTGACTAGAATTATAGTGATCGCCAATCCTGTTGGCCAAGTAATGCACCATTCATTGTTACGAAACACTGTAAAAATGCACAATAGGTATAAATTACACAGTAGAACTTTACAAAAATAGATTCCTATATATTATGTATTATTTTTAATATAATAGTTTACTATTAGTTATAACAATCCGGTCATTCAGTTATCGTTTAATTAATTATTATTAGGGGAAATAAATAAATATATATATATATATATATATTATATTTGATTTTTTTTTTTTTATCAGCTTATCTAATTCTTACAACAGATTTCAAAACTCAACCCAGACAAAGCTTTTTTTTTTTTTTACGAACAATTATTGTATGCGCCCACGTTTAAAATACATTTAAATTAATAATTGAATCGATAAAAAATACATATAGGCTAAAACTACAGGTAGACAGCTTAAAATAATATCGTGGTCAAACCTGAAGCTTCTAATTTTCTCGGCGATCTATCGTTATTGTTATTGTCATTATTACTGATCTGGCTTTGACTGTCTATAATTTCTTCTTGCTCTTCGAGTGATCTTACAACGATCGCAAGTTGTAATGGCACTTCTTTTGTTTTCGGTTCTGTTGGAGGTACATTGCGTTTGCGTCGACCGTGTGACACTTGTCCGTTACCACAATCGCTCTATAAAAACGACACAAGCAAATATTAGACGTACCACTTGGAAAAAAAAAACATAGAATTATTGCGCTTACCGGTTTACACTGTTGATCACAAAACATCATCATGAGGCTAAACCGTAGCACAGGTGACGAAGGAAAGCGGAATGCTTTGAATTTAGCAACCATCGAGTTTGGTGGTGATATATTCAATACCGGGAACGTCGATGGTTCCGGAGGACATCCTCTCCAATCCAAAAGTAATAATGAGTCGAGTCCGTCTCCAGAACTAGCGACCAAGTGGCCTGCTCTCAAATTCGTAGCGTCTGGGAAAATTAAATGAAGTATACGAATTATGAATATTATGAAATCTATAGCACCTGTAGAGGTACTCGGTGTGTTGTTTATATATAAATCTCGTACTATAAGGGTGATTTACGTCGATTCGAAGTTCTAGCTCATCACCAAGTTTCACTTCCGACACCTGTTTTACATTTCGGCCCACTTCTAAAATTCTCATCTTTGCAACTTGATTCGCTGAACCGACTAAGCCATTTGGATCGTATCCACCATCGTTGTATATTGTATTATGAATGCTATAAGACCAATAGTAAATAATAATATGTTTTAAATCGAAACTCATAGTTACAAGTTATAACATATAAAATGATATCAGAGTGAAGGTTTTTTGTTCTTTTGACGAAAAAGGGTTGTATCTTGAAATACGTATTTAAGAATATTATGTAATTACGTAAAACAGTCTACGATGAAAAATTAATTTACAAAAAAAACCCTATAGCTACGGTTTTATAAATTGTAAAAACAATGTCTTTAATTTAAGTAATAAATAATATAAAGTTTAAAACCACTTTGAACTTTGTTTTATGTTGGGCATGGCACGTAAACATGTTTTTGAATAAATTTCATAATTACACGGTAGATACTTATAATAATCGATTCAGGACATTTTGGCGTGGTTTGCACTCTGGCGTATATTTAAATATTTAATATATACAGAAAATAGTCGTCAAAACATTTGTTTTGTTTTTTTATTTTTGATGTTGACAAAGAATTTTTAAAATTACAGAGGATTACAGCAATCGCAACATAATTAGAATTTAAGGGGTATGGCTCAAAATATAAATTAATACTAAATTCAATTGCTTTTTATTTATTTATAAATTATACTTATTTATTTTTAAAATTATTTCCGAAGACTAAAACAACCGCTACATAATTAGTTTTTTAAGGGTAATAGACATAAATATAAGTTGCTCAATATAAAGTCAATTGCTTTATATTTATTTTCAAAATTCAAAATATTTATGTTTTGTATTCCAAAACAGTCTCGTGCTAAATAAAATAGCGTTACGCCAAAATGGCCACGCCAATACGTCCGAGTCCGTATAACAATGGGGCACAGGACCACTTTTAAATATTTTATTTTGAGCTTATAAATTGAAATTTGTCTTTCATTTCGTAGAAGTGGTCAACACGCAACCCCCTTAAATGTCGGGTGTGTGACATTTTTTAAAAATATACCTATTATACATACCTCGGTTCTTCCACGCCGAATGTGGCGTCTAATGTAATGTTTTGTGGTCTGGAACCCAAGAATAAAGGCCGGGGACTTGAGCCGACGGCACACGACACTTTTGTTACTCGATCGCCAACAGTTTGTATAACCGGGTGGTGTTGAACTACGATAACAGCTGTAGCCAATTTTCTGTTGCTACTCGCTGACTTGGCCACTACGACGTCACATCGATTACGTTGTGTATTGCTTCCTATGATCGGCAGTGTTATTGTGGTCATGTCGGTATGACGGCCATTAACACCGCATTCTTCTGGTCTACCCAACACAAACATTCGTCCTTTGAAGCCCGGAGATCGCAACGTTACCAACATAGAGTCGTCACTACACGAAACGCTTACTGAAATGTAATATTGACGTGTATTAAAATCGATGTTTTGATTTGCTTAGTCTAATTGTGTTATTACAGTAACACAAAATGTATAAAAACGATACGTTTGGGTTTGAACAATGTTTAAATTTAATTTTAATATTAATATTGTTGTTAAATTGAATTTAATTTAGGGGTACGAAAATATTGTTTAACTTGTGTATATCATAATATTTTCTTACAGTCGATACAAGTGATTCTCTCCATGTAAGTGGAACATGACGACGGAATTAGTGGGCCAGCTGAATTTGTGTCATCACTGTGTAGAAGACAAAGCGTACCTCCAAATCCATCCGTAGGACATTTAAAAGTATAGCCTCTACAGCTAAAATACTTTTCGGTTTCACATCTTTCTTTGCACTACGCAATACAACGAATTCAATAAATTGTCATTAGTGATCGTGATTTTTTTTTTTTTTTTTTTAACTCTTTACTTGTTCAATATTAATATTTTCTATTTGCAAGTCTACTTGTTGTAAGGTTCTTTCGTATACAGGTTCGTGCCAACATGAACTTATTTGATTTGAATCTAAAGATTTAAAACATTATTGGACAGAGCGTTACATTTATATTATTCTCATTATTATAGTTAATATTTTGTAACCTGGTGATGTATTGACACATTCATTTTCTAAATATTCAACTTGATTTTGATTTGGATTGAATGCCGTGGGTTTAGTCCTACGAGTTTCGGCGTTCAGAGAACAAATTTTCGTCTGCCGGAAGTAGTTTGCTGATTTGCAATTATTAGTGTCGTCAATACATATTTGGGCACATCGCCATTTGTCGCCAATATTAGGTAAAACAGAGTATTGAGAACCAGTGAGCTCGTAGTCCATAGAAACTTCGATTGGCCATGCTCTTCGGTTACACGATTCTGGAACTAAAACGGATTTTGTTATAACATATTTTGTATTGAAGTGAATGTATTATAATTGTACGTATATTATAATAACTAACCACGAAGACACGCTTTCCTAAAAAAGTTTACTTTCGGAGTCATAACGATATTGTCGGTAGAACTGCCCATGTTGGGTACACGGTAACACGATGTCGCGGTGTAATCTATAATGAATCCGGCGCAATCCACCGATTTTCTACATCTAAAAATCCATAGTCATATTATTCGTGTTAATTTAAAAGCAGAATTTTTTTTATTTAACGAAATAAAAATACACGTATTACTTTAATTTTTAATTACCTGTTGTAGCATTCAGCTGTAATGGCAACTCCGGGAGTACTGGCATATAATAAAATCGGCTGCACTAGCGATCTCGGAGCAGAATTACTGTATTTAACATATGTTACCGGCACATTATCCGGACAATCTTGACCTATAATAAATTAATATTTAAATTTCAAATTTATTATTATGATATAGTGAACTATTTTAAGTTTTTATATTGGATACAATTCGAAATAAAGTAAAATTCGCATAATAACTTTTATAACAGAAACGTTTTAGTTATATTATAAACATATGTTATTGCATTAATAAATTAAAACAACTGTTTGTCGGTAATAGGTGTTAATTAAATCATTTATAATCGTAGTTGCGCGAAATCCGCGCACAAAAAAAAAAATATCATGGCCGGCGATGTACCTTTTAGTCAGTATCGCCTGTTTCGGTTAAATGTCCAGGATTGAAATGTATGGTTGATTTTATTTTTTCTAGGTTTTAAATATCATATAAGTAACAACATGCATTTGCGTATTTTAGAACATAGAATTTCTTTTATTGTGCGTGTCTGTGCGAGGATAACAGTCTTCTCAAGAAAACGTCTGATTTCCAACTATTTAGAATACGTATTGAAATAAATGAGTGAACAAATATTTAAAATACGTGTATGTATTTTCGAACACTATTAATATACACATAGATATTTTGCATGATAAATAATAGGTAATCTATGACGGTTTTGGAACGATTTGGAAATTAACGGTTGTCGGCACAAGATTATACGATAATAAAGTATATTAATTCAAATAAGTAATTAGTAATATTTTGTATCATTTAATGATTTTAATGCACTGAATAATCAAATTTTTCCTAATTATATTATATTTAACTCGTGTTATTATTTTGTTTTATGTTAATAATAAAAATACATCACACAGTATCAATAATAATATTATTGATAAATAAAAAATACATTTTTACAAACATTTCGGTTCTCCGCGTAATAGTTTGTAAGACTCAAATAGGATACATAATTAATATCTAATAACAATATGTCAAACACGATGATTTAAATTTAAATGTACGACAATAGGGTTTTATTATTTTCGAAGTATTTTTTTTCCTTTGAATTCAGTTAAAAATATTTGTAAAGACTTGAAATTTCGATAGAAAACTTACATTTGTTTTTTCTAGGCGTGGTTAAATTTTATAACCATTTGAGCCATTGTTTTTTAGTTATTTAGAGACATTTTAATTTTGTGACTGGCTATTTGGTAAAAACGTATGTAAAATTATTAGACTATACAAAAATGCTTGAAAATTTAACAGAAGGTTTATTGTAAGTCACACTTAGTGATAAAAGAAAAAAAAATGAATTATGGCGGTTTATTATTGTTATTATTTTTTTTATTAGTTACAAATTTTGACGAAAATCGTACATATTACGGGCCTATCAAAACATGTATAACCGAACTTCGCTCCGAATCGTTTTTCATTAGCAATGGTTTATCGTTCGTTACAGGTATAAATTAATTAACTTTATGTATTCCAGCATCCTAACTTCCCATTTACAACAGTAGCCGCAACCGTCCCCAGTATCAGCTCTTTTGAAAAACATTTAAACACTTAAACATTTATTTTATATTCTATATTCGTAGCTTACTTTATTCTTGGATAATTTTATTTATAAATTCAATAACATATTATGACCCCGGCACCGGACACGATGAGGAAAAGCTCGTTTTTAATTTGTATTTATTTAACTACATTATATTGTTGTCGAGGCAGCTTATAATCACCTGCACTCTGCAGGTGGCAATTCTTTATGATAAGTACAGATAGATATTTTATAGATATACTGTTTTTATAGTAGGTGTTTATTTTATCATCGGTGAAAAATTTACTTGAAAGTTTTTGATAATAATAATTGTAAAACTAAATACTTTTCAATACGTAAATTTATTTTTTGAATTAGGTGAAAAAAAAAAACGAAAGTATAACGAATAACATATAGGTACAAGTACGAGCGTACAATTCGACAATACATATATTGTGTGTAGTCCGTATATGGTGTACCCATATAGATATTTGTGAAGGTCATCCCAATTGTACGTTAAGTATTATTTTCACGGTGCATTATTATTTTTTTTTTTTTTTTTTTTCGAACAGGTGTTCTCCGCAAGTCGAAACAATGAATACTGTTTTATTATATAAGATTATTATATTATCGGTATCGCGATCAATTTTATAATGTTATCATAGATAATTATGTATTATTATAAGCTATTTAGCTCCCGCTGATCGTGCATCATCGTGTATCGTTATCGCCGAAGTCGAAATTATTCTTTTATACAGGGTGATTGCCATAACGTCATAAGGCACTCATTATCTCGGAGAGTATTAACTTTTATCGGAAGTTGTTTTTTAGAACATTTAAGAAATACACTGTTTTAAAAAAAAAAAAGTTTCGTTACTTATTCCCGGGTGTGAACCCACCCCACCTACCAGCTTTTAATTTCCATATATAGTAACCTATATTAAAAATTCCATAAATAGACGAAGTTTTAGTTTTTAATCACTTTCGGCGACGAAATTTTTTAATTTCCATCGTCCAACGAATATTATTATAGTACTTTCCGAGATAGCGAGTGTCTTACGTATAGACGTAACTATAGGGGGGGGGGGGGGCTAGGGAGTCTTTAGCCCCTTTAAGTTTAAAATTAGTGCCCCCGAAAATACCCAATAAAATATTTTATATTATCGGCTAAATATTTTATCCGTGCATTTCATAATATTAACAAGCGGAAAATATATAGATTGCCTACAGACAATGTATGTGTGCATAAACAAATAAAGTTAAAAAAAATCACGGTACATTTTTATACGAAAAATTGTAAATGAAATATATAGTCGCTTATAATTAAGTAGAGTGCGGATTTCTATGTAAAAACAATATTTTTAATGGATGTATGCACAACCACGAGAGTTGGATATGTCAATTTAATGAAATGCCGAAACAGCAATCTGAACAAATCAGTTTATAATGTATTTTAATATTGTCATTGATTTTGTTAATTTTTGTTCGTTAAATTTGTTTTGCACATATTTTGATGTTAAGAGAATATATTGATATAAAAACACATTTTTGTTTGCGTATTTTACTAATATTTTTAGAGAATATTACAAGCATATTATATCGACATTTTTAAGTGAATACAAGCATCGTATTTTGGCTATTTTAAGCGAATTTAAATCCGCGCTCCGATTATTAAGCGCCGTGTAAAGGGGATCGCGGAGGCGTTGTCTTCGTGGGTCTGTGTAACGTGTCTATAATTTTTAACACGCTAAAAATTGGCCGTCGGTCTTACGTTATGTTGATCGCCCCGTATGCTAGGCTCCTATAACGATTTGTTTATACAATTTACAATTACCCATACCTATTATACGTGTGTAATACGTTACGTACCGAGTTTAATTTAAAAAAAAAAAAAAAAAAAAACTAAACGCAACGTATACACCTAGGCAAATCTACTTTTATTTTGTCGGCATAGGGTATTGGATTAATTGTGCAATTACTAATGTAAATCTGATCGCTTGTACGATTCATATTTACGCTAGACGTTAAAAACACGTCGCAAGATTGCAAAAATAATATTATTGAAACACATAATACAAGCCACAGCAGTCGTCAATACGGTCTGTTAGCGCGGCGTGCAACAGCGGACACCTCCCAAAACGCTGCAGACCCGCGGTATTGCAGAGTGTATGCAATAAGCGCACTATTATACCTATTTATTAAAACCGCGAGCGCAATAATAAACCCGAAAAGACTTCTCGTATAAAACCTTAATAAATATACGCGCGTAATTTATTACGTTCTGTAATAATATACGAAGTAATATTACCCGGTGCGTAATGGTGCGTTTTTAAGTTTGAAGCCGTTTATAATGAATCTTTTTGCTGCGTATAGGTATACCTATTCGGGTTATATTAATATTAATAGAGCGGTTTGTGGTGCCCGTATTAAGCTGGAAGACGCGATATAATAATATCGTACGAACATTGTTTTTACACAAACGCGTATGATCTGTGAATATTTATTAGGCGGGTACATCGGGTACCTATTAGTATAATATGTAACGTGATATTTACAGAGAGACATTTACTTTGACACCGTTTTATTTGTAAATATATTCACGTCAGGCTACAGTCGGTATCGGCGTTATTGTAATGTTACCTAGGTAGGCACCCGTAGATACGTATTATTTTGTTTTTTTTTTTTTTTTAAAGACGTTTTAATTTATGACTATCCGGAGAAAAATAAAATTACGAGTAAAGTATACCTATAGCTGTTACGCTGATTATTGAAAAACTATTAAACCTATACACGCCTATATCATAATTCTTTATAGTTGCCTACTTATAATAATATTAAGCGGAAAAATAAATGATCAGAAACGCTTAATGGCTACTGCAGTGTAATAGGAGAGTACACTGAAACGCCACATCGATCACACGAAAAAGGAGAGAGAAAAAAAAAAAAAAACGGAAACCTCATAATAATATATATATTTTTTTTAATGTTTTTTCGTTTGTTTTTGTTTTCGCTTCAAATTTATGACGCGAAATAAAACAATACTATCATCGTGACGTCACTCGTATTTGATATTAATGCCATTGATTTATTCGGCTTGCGAATCAACATCGTCGTAACGGTGATAGTGACGATTGCCACTTACCAGGTACGCCTACCTATATATTATATTATTAAATGCGCGTAATTTCCAACATGACAATAGTAATCGTAATTTGTCTTGATTAATTGTTAATAATTCAGGAGAACCATTGTTAATGGTTGACATAGAAAGTATATAGGCATACATAGTACATATGTATCTATTTAATTAATGGACGATTTAAAACTGCCTTAGGCATACAGGACAGGTTGTCTAGGTTGACCTTTCACGATTTCGTTTTAATAACAACCACGGAATTACCCAAGTAATATACAACTTTGAACTGTCTACTTAAAAGGTTAAGTATTACAACTCCATTATCATATTATTATATAGATACACGCTGATTGTGTTAGGCTTAATTTAAGGCAATTGAACTAATTGAAGATATAGTGCAGTATACGTGAATACACGTGCAGTATAGGTATGTGCATATGTAATCCGAGTATGGTGAATATGTACAAGTTAGCAATATAATTGTGAGTTGTTGTAAGTTGGGTAAATTGATACCACGCGTAATATTATGAAAATTCATATAACATGTATTATTTCGAACAGATTTAAGTAAAGCAGTTTTGAACGAACTGTTATAATTTATAACGCACCGTATCTTTAGATTCAGTTAAAATCGTATTAGTTTAAAACAGAAGCACGAGATTATAATTGCACGTATAAAAAATGATACATAGGATGCAATGACCCGTATGGTTTTAGGATGTTTGTCTACCTATTTTTCAAGTCATTGGTGCGGTATTATATAAGCCTATGTTGTAGGGAACGCAAGTAAATACTTTAATTAGGTCCAAGGAGTCCAAAGGGTCATGATCGCCTGGTCGCCCCTTGAAAATTCGACGCTGGTTAATAGAACACTTATTTATAAATCCTAAATGTTCAAACTAACCGAGTATGAAGAGTATGTCAAATTTCATAATTTTAACATACAAATTGTGGGTACACAATACTTTAAACACTTAGAAAAATATTTAAGGACATAACGCTGAGCTTTGTTTGATCACTAAGCAAAGACACAATGCAGATGGGTTTTTACGATTTTCGTCAAATTTAGAAACTTTAGAGCATATAAAAAAAATGATCATAGCTTTTCGATATTTTTAGACAAACCCGTGTGTTTGACTATGATTGTACCTAATAAGACGTATACCATTTATAGGGAAAGCATGAATCTACAATGGAAGCAGTTATATATTCTGCTCCCTCCCCCCCCCCCNCCCCCCCGTCTATCGGTGAGTATAACGTATAGAAAATACTATTTCGCGCGGGCCACTGAATTCGGGTGCCCGGGTCCGGAAGGTTCCAGGGCACTCAGAGTGGTTTCGGGCGTACTTATGAAATAAAGTAACGAGGAACAGGAAAGAGTTCATATTCGCGTGGAACGTAAACGTAAATCTCCGGTCCTTTTTTCCTTTTTCTATTATTCAATTTACCGAACATACGATTGTAAAGACAGATATAATCGTGATTATAATTTATATTAATTTTTCATTATTGAACATGAATAATTGATGATAATAATAATAATAATAATAAATTTATAAACATTTGTATTCAGTATCGGAAACACCTGTCATTCGTACACAGTTCCAAAGCAAATTAATTATCGGTATTTTCAAATTAATAAGAACATAAAAAAAAAATTGGTATGGACTTTGAACTAGGGATTAACAAGAAAAGAAAAAGTAAAACGGAACGCTTTAAGATACGAGGAACGGGAAAGAGTTCCTTTTTTTTTTTTTTGCAGTAGGGAAAAGGAACGGGAAGAAACGAGTTAGTTTTTAAAAGGGACTTAGTGAACACTGCGACGTCTGTGCCGATAACGGCTATCGCAAAGTCTCGCGGAGACGACGACTTACCGTGCGCCCGGACCATCGTCAGCGCCGCGGCGGCAACGTAAACGAGCCACGACGGCGACGGCGACGCTTCGCGCGTTCTCATCCTGGCGTTGGCTTCGCGGCGACGGTTTGGACGGCGGCGACCCGCGAGGATCGCGCGTAGCGTAAGCGCGTAAACACGAGACGGCAAAGTTGCGCGGGAAACGAAAATCGAATCGTGCACAGGACTGATGAGCGGCGCGCAGTGCTGCGTGATGTGTTCCCGGTTCGCGCGTAGGCGATCGTTTAAACGCGGCGTGCGAGTCGACCGTGCCGGCGGTGGCAAATATTATGCGTTCGGTGCGGGCGACTGTGGTGACGGCTGGTGGTGGCCCGCGCGACCTTGCGAACGTCGGGTCACGTGTTATAGTAATGGCTATAATATGATCGGTGTCGTCCGCGTTGACGTCACCGCGAGTACGGAGCGGACAATATTATTGTTTGAACCGTCGTCGTTTTTCCCGCTCGGGTTGGGCCGATGTTGAACACACACATACGGAAAAAAAAAAAAAATATACCCGTCGTACGAAAACACATAATATGTGCGGCAGTATGCGGAGAGGGGCCCGGCCGAGACGGAAGACGAGCGTCGTGTAGAGGAGGTGCTGTGCGTCTTCTCCACGCCGTCCCGCACTCGTATGCCAGTGGCGGGTCCGATACGTCTCCTAGGAAGGGGGGCGGGCAACATTCTTTCTGTCCGAACGGCGAACGGCACACTTGAATTGGCTCCCTTAATCCCCCGAGTTGCTTCCCGAACAATTTTTCAAAAAAAAAATTACCCGAATTGTCTCCCGATTTAACCGATTTACCGTTAACTCGAATTGCCTACCTCATCGAATAGTCTACTCGAATCGCCTCCGATATAAGGCCGGATTAATCGATATAAACTCATAAATACTAATTTACGTCTGTAGTCGTTAATGTACTTGCACTTACATTATTTATTTCAATTTCTTCGTGAAGTAATTTTGATGGTCGTTCAGAAAGCTGTTCTAAAGCTTTTCGTTTTAGATTGTTTACTTACTGTTTGCCTGTTCATTTTTCGTTTCGAGTCCTTCGTGCGTGTGTGAATTATTTTTGAAACGTCGTACTGAATTGCATCGATTAAATTAGTTTTTAAGTAGGCACAACGTATTTTGTTTTATTTATTTCGCATTAACGTCCATCTCTTAAGTTCATTTGTAAGCTGTTTTTGGAATCCAAATTCAAATCCGTCGATTATTAAAACAATATTTTTCGTTTTTCACACAAACCTTTCACAGATATTTTTTTTTATAAGGAAATAAACTACATTCAAATAGAAATATCAAAAGAGTTTTAGGTATTAATTTTGATAGCTCGTAAACGAAAACTGATGTGATTTTAAAATAGTTACCTACTTCCTAGTGTTAATCTAAGTTTTGATTTGATACATTTTCTCAGTTTTAATTTTAACCCACATATGCCCATATTTTGTGTCGTTTCTCTCTCGTTTTTTCCGATTCGTTTATAATATGAACATATTTATTTCGCGCATTATCGTGCATTATTTGAAATCGAACACTGATATATGACAAGTTCGATAATATTTGTCAGTGAGATCACAGATATATAAAACAACTAGATAGCCGACTTTGGTATTATTATTGTCGTCAATAAAATATCGATGTTTGATTGAATTGATGTAATAGTGAGTAGACGATAGGTATGCTATGGGAGGCAATTTCGTGTAGGCATACGCATAAAGGGGTACTCGAATTGCTTCCGAAACACCCGGAGACGATTTTAGTAAAAAAAATACGTATTACCTGGACTTGGGAGGCACCGACGGCGAATACTCTCCGTTAGAAAATTTTAATATTTACTATTAACCCGCTCGGATCCATAAAGTAATAGCCGTGATTGATTGTTTAGATAGCACAACTATATCCGGGGGGAGTTTAAGTGAGCCGAGTGAGAGGAATGCAAGGGGACTCCCTACATCTGATTGTATTTAAAAGGCTTCTTGGTCACCACTGTCTTTTATATCTATTTATTGCCTATAAACAGATAGTAGTTAATATGTTATACCTTATCAGATAAATTTAATTTAAAAATAGATGGGCATTAACCGACATTGTATTATTGATTACTTGTACCTATCTTTTGTCAGTATCCGTTCAACGCGATTCGTGTGTGCATGGTGAGAAATTCTCTATACGCGACCAAACCGCAAGTAATTTTTTAAATGCGACCAACAATGGTTTAACACAGTATTTTAAAGGTATGCAGGTACACTGAAGCAGAGACGGAGTGGCTTGACGGGCAACTAGGTAAATGCCGGGTGGCCTGGTTTATGAGTGGCTCGACGTGTAGTTAAGGTAAGAATTTTCGAATCGCTGCACTCTTACACTGAAGCCTTTAAGTTGAACCAAAACAAAGACTCGAACGAATCTCATTTTTACCATTCCTATGGTATTTACCATACCACGGAACTGAATTTAATGAACAAACCCATTCCTTAAAATGTTTGTTTGTTGTTTGAGTCAACATTGTATGAAAAAAAATAGAATAGGGATCACAGTACCTTTGGCCATTTTGTGCCACTTTAAGCTCTGACTCTGTCTACACTGGTGGTATAAACTGATAACTTCTATACCCGCAAATTTCGATAGGTATGAAAAACACTAATGAGAATTGATGTCAATGGTGGTGGATATCTGAGAAGGAGGCGGATGGTGGATCTTTATATATTACTACTTACCTATAATCATAGATTAAATAAATGTATATATCCTACATATATTGAGTATATTTAATTTATGTTCCAATCTAATACGTGTACACATTTTTTATGCAGATAGTAGGTATAAGGTGTATTATACTTATTCATAAAATCTTTGAAATACCTAAGCATAAACTGTTAAAATATGGGAGAAATTGAACAGGGATGCGCTCATAACATGTTCAACGGGAAGGGCGATTGTTCTGATGGAAGAGGGCCGCAAACGAGTTGAGTTATTGTTATAACGGTGAGTTGATTTCAAATGTGTAGACAGATAACAGATAAAACAATAATTGTAGCAATTATCAACGCAGTACATATAATAAAAGTTATAACATATAGGTAATTGGAATAACGTAAATACGCTTGTGTATAGTCTTTGGTGAGGGCGTGAAAATATTTTATTTTTATTTTTTACGGACCGCGGTACTTATAGTCGTCGTCCCCCCCTCCGTGGAAATTTCGTCAAAGCCGCCACTGTTCTGAGGCTCTACACCCAATATTTTAACCCGAACAATTCTCAATGGTGTCTATAATTTATTATTATTGTTTAACATGCTGCAATTAAATCGCACACCGTCAATCGCGCAGTGCGACAGTATTACAACGGTCGCCTTTTTTTTTTTCGGCGCGTTCATCCGCCTCCGAACGACGACGTACTACAGCCCGGGCGAAGCTGTGCGTATCCGCAACAGGAAAACACAATCAAACAACGAACGCCCGTGAACGCGTATACACCGACGTAAAATTGTTGTAACTGCGGTACATAGTGCACAACACGCGTGTTATACGCACACGACTATGTAATGTGTAAATGGAAGTTATTTAAATGTGTTTTTTGTTTTAAAACTACATACACACACACACACACACGCGCGTTCATGGAGGTACCTAGGCATACAATTATGCGTTTATATGTAGAAAAGGGGAAAAAAAAAAAAAGGAGGACATACGTGTGCTTTACAAATATGTATATTACACGAAAGTGAAATTGACATTACGCGAGTATAATATTTACGGAGATAAAACGTTTAAATGACCGGTTACGCAAGTAGACCTTCAGATATTATCATGTACCTACGTGTGTATATATATTTTTTTCTAAACAAACGAGAGAAAATTGACTGCCTAATCAACCAGTGGTTTTTTTTTTTTGTTTATTTAGGATGGCTCTTTAGCCTAGTACCTACCTATTCAAGGAGGCTTATTAATTATTTCCACTATATAACATAATATACCGGATAAGTGTTTCGATTTAGTGCCGTGTTTAAGAAGGGGAAACAATGGCCATCTCAATGGTCCAGAGCAGGAAAATATTATAGTGCTTAAGGAGAGGCCAATTTTTGTTAACCGAAATATATAGTAAGCCAACGAATTCACACTGAATAGTCCAAGTCCTCATTTTTCCTTCTTTCGTATTCATTTCGATTTTGTATGGATCCATATATTTTTCGTAGTATTTTACTTTCAGATGGACGTAGTTTTCGTCGTCCTCTTGGGTAGTGGACCAAGTTTCGTATGCGTTTGGTACATTGGGCTACCTACTGGAAGCACGTAACAAATGTAAGGGTTTTTATTTTGATGTTTTTGACACCATCTTGGAATTCAACATTTTATTCATTTTGGATGCTTATTACTAAATGAGATAAAATAACTGTTTCTAAGGGATAAAATAAAGAGAAATGTTCAAACTCATTTTCCTCACAATTGGATTTTCGGAAATATTGTTTATCTCTATACCACCTATTTATTACATTATATTACAATAATAATGCCACATTATCTTTATGTGATGTTGGCGAGAGTCTGGTTATAATATTATATTTGTAACCTTTTTTACTTGTTTTAAGACACTATTTTATATAGGTTTTTATTTGATAGAATTTATTATGTCGAGTATTTTAGTATCGAAAAGCGATAAAGCTATTAGTTTTATGGTCTCTTGTAATTTTTATTTTTTTGAAAACATTTTCTATAAAAGTATAAAAGCCAAAAAAAAATTATAGAGATCTAGTTTGAACTGCTTTTAAGGAGCTGCAGAAAACGGTCTTAAAAGTTGAACATGTTGATAAATTTATTAAATTAGTAGTTTTGTCGAATTTTCCCCGAAAATAGACTATTTCACTTTATAATGTCTATTAAATACATATATTTATTGTTTTCCCGTTACTTTGGATAATATTAGTAACCCCTCAAATAAACTAAATGAGCTCATATTTAGAAATTAGAGTTCCTTATGGGCGAATTAAAGTGGTATAAGTTGGGTTAAATTTAAATATAAATTGTACCACGTTGTTTCGGCAGAACGGGTTATTATTTAGATTTAAACACTCTCCCAACAAAAATATTACCAATTCGCATTACCGCGATGACGTATAGTTGTTCCTTAAAAATGCTTCCTTAATTGTTTACGAGTAACATTATGTTGATGTTTATCATTCAACATTGATGTGATATATACAATAAATATTACTGAGATGACCTATACAAATTTATTTTATAATTTATCACCAAATAATATCGTTTACCTA